AAATATTCGGAAAGTTGCTTCTTCAACCCGTGAATGATAAAAAACCCCATAAAAATGGTTCAATTTTCACACGTCCATAACTCCTACAATAGCGAATGGATCTCATTGAAATTTAATCTGGAAGTAGAGCTCATGGATACCTTCAAAAAAGTATTAAACAACTTTTCTGTACAGCGTCAAACAAAGTTGTTAAAAATCGAAAACGAATTTTCCGAAAAATCGACAGGGGGTAGGTGCCTAAATTTTTCGACAAAATTAAATAATTTCAAATCGTTTTAAAAAAATTATTTTCGTTTGCGGGGGTCAATTACAATCATTTTTGGTCATTAGACATACCCCCGAATTCCTACGCACTTTCGAGAAAAAAATTCGAGAAGGTTTGAAATTTTTCGACAAAATTAAAAAATTCCAAATCGTTTAAAAAAAATTATTATCGTTTGCAGGGGTCCATTACAATAATTTTTGGTGAATAGACATACCCCCGAAATTTTACCCACTTACGAGAAAAAAATTCGATAAGGTCGACCAAGAATCCTGTTGCATCCATTCTTTCCACTTTTTGGGTAGATAGAAAAACGTTAACATAAATATAATACGAAATTTGGTTCTTCAAATGAAATTGAAGATAAGAGTTTTGTAGGTTTAAACGTAGAAATCTGAAGCCCGTCAACTTAACGACTAATGTAAATTTAATGATAAATCTCGTTAAGCTCGTCTTCTAGTTTCCGAGATGACTCGACAGATGAATTATTTGAATGACAATCTGGCGGCATTCGTCGTGCACGTACAAGATTAATTAGCCTTCCTTCTTGGAAACGAGTGTGGCGATCAATATTTATCGCGAGCGACTCCACGTTCTTGAACGCGTCCTTCGTCAGATATTTTTTCTCAAAGGTGCGTTAGATTGATATTTAGACACAGTCCAGCTCGACGTAAAGGGTTAAGAAATATAAAATGTTTCCTTTGGCATCCGTACCTTAGGGTACGTACAAAGTTTATTGCCGCCAAGGATCGATCTTATTCCCGAAGCGTAACATTCGCTCCGAAGATCGTAAGTTCCGCGACTCTCCTCTTCATTCAGACGCGACGAACGAATCCTATCTCGGTGTTATGTAAGCTTTCGTATTATGCGAAGGAGACCTTGTCTTCCATCGGCCGTGTATTACGTCATCCCAGGTTCTATCACGATGCACCAACTACCGCTGCCGCTTCTACCGTGACGCCTGCGTTAGTCCCGCAAATTACACCTCGTATGCGCAGTTGCTATTTTTTTTTTTTCTTCTTACCACCAAGTCCGTTCCTTCTCTCTTTTCAGTCTTTCGCTCCTCGAGCTGAAATTCCTCGCAGGAAACGTTGAACGAAGCGAGGAACGATCTCCATCGCGGGGAAATCCATTCCGATAGAGCATAGTCACCGTTACGAAGTTTCTTTAATCCTTATTCGAGTTACTCGACCGTTGTTCGAAGCATTGAAAATCCTGCTTCGATGCAAAAATCGTTTCCTGGTGTCCAATATTTTCGATTTGTTCAAAAATATCTGTCAAATTTCCCGCGAAGCTTCCCTCTCTGTCCGCGTGGGCGCCACAAGTCTGTGACGCGATGGCGCACGCACAGAGCCAGACAAAAGTCACCCATTATTCGTAGAAATTGATCGACGACCTTCGCGAAGACTATTTGCAAGAACGATTGGCGCGTTTTGGTAAACGCAGGCGAACCGCAGGACTGAAAGGCAGCTCTCTGTCGTACGTGTCCGTATTTGGCGCGTGCCCACGTAACTCTAAGCGACGTACGTCGGCCGCCTTATTGAAACGGACCATGCATTTCTGCATTCTTTTCATTGTATCGACCGACAAAACGTTCCTCGAGTCTCTCATTATCTCGGTCAGTGCGCGCGGTGCACCGCGTAATAGATAGCCTGGTTGCCAGGAATCGGCGCGCGACTCGCGATCGTCGTCTCACCCTCGGCTTCGCCCCCATCATCCTCGACAATTTCTGCATGTTCGATCGCCTATCGATTACCCGGCCCACCCCTCGGTCCCGATTTCCTTGCCAACAAGATTATTTATCGCGTCACCGAGCTCCCGGCGTTCCACCAACAAACTTTCAAAGAAATTCGCCATTGCTACGCCGTTGACACAATGGCGGATCTCCATGGTCGAAAACGATTCATAAGTAGATTCGGCGGTAGTAAAAATTATGAACGAAAAATTAACGACCCGAGTCTTCCCCGACGAATTTCACTTTCGTTCGGAAATTACACGCGTCTGAACGCGGTTTTAACGAACGCGCAGATTCTCGAAGAGTCCGCGGCGTGGAACATGATTTGAACGATAGGCGTATATCGAGGGAGGAGGAAACGTGCAAAAAGTCGGTTAATGTGCATTAACGTGTCGGTGGTTCCCCGTGCAAGGACGCCTGCTGAATCATCGCTAAAAGCGTCGTAACCGGTTCCACCCGAAGCACGCGTTACGCGATTGTTAATCTGCCGCGAGAGATTTCGAGGTTCGAGGTTAGGTTGACGAGCAGCCTCTGTACGAAGACGTTATGGACCGTTTTATTGCGCCCGTACCTGGTGTCTGGGGCACCTTACAACACCCTTGCGTTTTCCAAGCGCGTGTTCCGTGAAACTGCGACAGCAACGCCGACCGTTACGAAACCTTTCGTACAACGACCATAGATGTACATACACAGAAATCCGTGGCACGCGTTCCCGTGCCCACATCCAGCTCGTTACGATTTCCATGGACCAACGTCGACAGGAATCTCGCGCGCCTCGGTAAGGTGTAGGTCGATTCCATTAACGCGATCGTTTCGAAGCGATCCGCGTCCACGGCTGGGCCTGTTTTTTTCTTTCGAAACGCCTGTCGCTTTTCATTGCTGTACCGCGTGTGGTAAACGCGCGTCCAACTTTCCCTCCAAGGTCTCCGTCGTTGCACGGTTTTCTTATCGTTCTACTCTCCGTGGCAATAATTCAAAATAAAACAGTTTTAACTTTGCATCGTATTACCACATCGACGTACGGGACATTTAAACTTCTTGGAACGCTCCGAGCTCTTCTCGTTCCCCCTTTGTCTTTCTCTCGCTATCCTCCTTTAGGAGGACGGTAGAGGAGGTTAGGTCGAGGCTCGAGTTTCGTGTATCCAGTAGCCAAGCTCGAACCAAAGTCGATTTCTTATCATCGTTGCTGCTCAGCTCATTGTATCATCGACGACATTTTCGCAACGAGCCTTTGTAAATAATATCGTTTAGACGCCCACGATTACCGAGCAAGTCGACCGCGTAACGAATCGATGTCCTATGAAACCCGTAATCAAAGATACTGTACCGTATTTCTTGTCTCTGCCTACGCCGATCTCGATTCTCCACGAGCCATATACTAATCGCGCGTAACTTCCGCCGATGCAAATCGGTTAGGATTTTACAACGAAATCGATGATCTCCTTGAACGTCCGTGACGCAATCGATCGTTATTTTTCTTGCACGGTCGTTCGATTTACGCAGAATCTGCGCGCGTCGTCCCGTCAAGATGGCCGCCACGCGGGAACGTATTTCGCTTCGCGTTGGGCTAAAATCGAAATTTAACGAAGAAAGCTCGCTCGCTTTCGCGAGATGCTGCGTCGATTTGCAGGAAATTGGCACAGTGGGTCGTAATTACAAACAAATGATCGATGAAAGTTCTAGGGAGAGCGCAAGTGTCTTCATCGTGCCTCGAAGGAAAGTCGCTACAAATCAAGGATCGTTAAGAGTTGCGTTCGCGGTTCCAGTCAACATACCGCCGCTTTCTACCAGCAAACTGTATGTGCGGTAATCGAGATGTTCATGCCGTCGATGAGACCTCTTTTGCACGAATAACAGCCATTTCCAAATTTGTCCAGTCATATCATATCCTATATGGCGTATCATAACGCGTCAAGGAATGACAGGGCAAGGAAGAACGAGATCAGGCTTAAAAAACTAGAAAATCTCCAAGCCTCCCGGTCCGAGTATTTAGGTTAATCTTTACGAGGGGCAAAGGATGCGCAATTACGGCAATTGTCGCGCCGACTCTTGTCAAGGCCACGGCTTCATATACATACAACTGCCTCTTGGAACAAGGAAAGCTAACGTCATCCTTGTTAGACGCGCGTCTAATAATATGTATAAGTAAATCCGAGTTACTGGCTCGCAATTTTTCACGCATCCCGTAATTAACCGGCAGCGGCCTTGTCGAGAATCGGCTTCGAAACGTAGAATTTTCTCGTCACGCAGCGCAGTGTTGCTGATATCGATCGAGCGAGTTTCTCTGAACTTCTTCCGAGAGCTGTGGAAAAAAAAGAGAAGAAAAAAAAAACGGAAGCACGGCTGCGTTCACAAATCTCGCCTACGCGATGCATTTCAGATTGCACCGATGCCCCACTGACGATCGAATTTTTTAATGAAATTAAAACATTTTGAATCGTTCTAAAAAAATTATTTTTAGCCAGGGAGGTCAGTTACGATCACTTTTGGTGGATAGCCGTACCCCTGAATTGCTACGCGTTTTCGAGAAAAAAATTCGAGAAGGTTCGAAATTTTTCGACCAAATTGAAAAGTATCAAATCATTCTGGAAAAATTATTTTTAGTTGCGGTGGTCGATTACAATCATTTTTGGTGGATAGACATACCCCCGAATTGCTACGCGTTTTCGAGAAAAAAATTCGAGAAGGTTCGAAATTTTTCGACCAAATTGAAAAGTTTCAAATCATTCTGGAAAAATTATTTTTAGTTGCGGTGGTCGATTACAGTCATTTTTGGTGGATAGACATACTCGCGAAATCCTATTCGCTTTCGAGAAAAAAATTCGAGAAGATGTGATATTTAATTTGAGGTTAGAAAATTTTATTCGACAAATTGCAACAGAAAGACTCGAGCTATTATTGTGACATGGCTGTCGGTGCTTGGACGCCTTACGTATTTAGACTAATACTTTCGAATGTGTTGGAAAGTATGGTTACGATGATTTTTATTTGAATTTGTTGCAGATCAAGCTGGAACGTGTGCTTGGCGTGACCGTGTCGAGCAATGCAGCCCTGGACTGCGACGCAACTAGCGAGCTGGTCGCCTATCCTGCCGGGTACGTCCAAGACCGGTCTCTTCATTTTCTTCCATCGATTCCTTCGACGTCATTTTATTTGTACGATAGTGATTGAAACATAGTGGGAGAGGAGAGTTTAACGACACGAATCGTAATAAAAATCTGCTGACTCAAAGGCCGGTCGATATTCGTGGGAACGACCACGGGAAGAAACACAGGCGAGACTTTGCATAACGCGGCACACGGAAGAACGGGATTATCTCGATCAGCTGGCAGATATCAGATCGCGATATTTCACCGAAGAGATGCTTGCTTCGGTCGACTTTAACCAAACTCGATCGAATCGGTCGCGCATCTGACCCGCGCAGCTTCCACGGGGCCCGGCTGGACCGTTAGTTTTCGCTTTTCCCAGCAAATTTGCGTTCCCTTCGAGTCAACTGGCGTCACAGCAGACCCAAACGCATTTCGTTCGATCCTAACGATGTACTTGTTAGCCGACTTTCCGACTTCCCAGGGCGACTAAATACATAGACCGGATAACGTAGATAAACGACGAGGCGAACTGGTTGCGGCAAGATGGCGGCGACCGTGAAAGAAAGTTCGGGTTCGTTAGCGCGAACGGCGGAGGAAAAAAATGCGCGCGCGATTCTGTCGGTCACGGATAAACGCGGACGGCACAAAAGGAGCCTCTCTCGCAGCTCGTTTCTTCTTTGGTCGCGTGAATGGAAGAATGGCGAAAGTGCGATGAGGAGATTATGCCGGTTTATCGCGCGCTCCGTAGCAAAGGGGGAACCGTTTCGTCCATGTCCTTTCTCTCCACCGATTTCTGCCATCCTCGTCCTCTCGTTCCACATTTTTTCCTTTTTCAAAGAACCCCCTGTTGTCCTAGGAATTCGAATCCGAATCCGATTTCGTTTCGTTAAACGTCGCCGAAGAGAGATCGTATCTGGGGCTTGCTCGTTAGCCGCTTGTCGCTAATTACCCCCGGTGATTCGAAAAATGGTGGCTTCGACTCGTCCGCGTAATCGTCGATTGCTCGACCGAACGGAAGGGAGGCTCGATCTTTGGGGGATTCCTTATCCCCCGGAACTCGGTTTTGCAGTCGTTGAAACAGGCCTAAGTCGGACGACTGGTATCATCGTCGTGGCAACGCGGCAAATATCGGACGCGAGCAGCTACGTATGGCACTCGGAAATCGGGTCAAGAGAGAGGTGAATGGACCAAAAGATTCCGCGTCCGAGATACTCGCGTATCGGCGACAATTAAATCGCTCGATCGACCTGCCAATCTCTGCAGACTTCCTCTGCGTTGCGAGTATCCCCGCGACCTGTTCGACGGACCGGTTTCCCGAAGTCTCGAGATATATTTATTATCGTCGTTGTACAGCATCCGTCGATTCACGGCAAATAACGTCCAGAAGTAATAGGTATCTGCTCTTGACAAAGAATGAACAACGAAGGTACTATATTTTGACCGGTATGTATCGGTTACAAATATGAAAGGTTTATGAAATTTTCGACACGCATTCCGTTGCCGTGGAACAACATTATGGCATTTCCAGCCGGTTAATAAACTGTAATTGCATAGAAACTGCAACGAACTCGACGAGATATCACGGCCCCCCTCGCCACGGCGAGTACGCGTGTTTACGCGTGCGTGAACAAGTCTCAACAGGATCGAAAGTAGCTGGAACTCGCGTGCTCGGTGTTTCTCGCCATGTCCGGTTATCGCTCGAGCTGTTACTTCAGCAAATCTTATGTCATCGCATTTAGGAATATTTCTTGAAGCGTCGTTCATAATTACCTATCAAAGAATTCGATTTGCAGTGGTACTTGTAGATTCACGGCAGATGGCGTCATCGAAGCGCCATCGTTCGGCGATTCGTTGGTAATTTCGTTCCGATTCGTAAGAGATTACAAGGTTTCACAAATATTCCAGTTACGTGCATTATTATCGCTGGATTCGCGGAATCTGTAAACTCGAATCCATACGTAATTAACGCCGGCGAAGAAACCGCATCGTTGGCGCTGCTACGCGAATTGCAGATGCCACGAGTCGACTAATTGCAATTCGGTTAATTATCGCTTGTTCGTAACATCGCGCCTACGGTTCAACAGACTACAGAGTCGGGACACGGTCTTGAAAACTCTTTCTCCGTTTAACTTGTACGCTGTACAATGTTTGGTTTCATTTACATCAACCGCGTGATTTTGGACAACCTGTACAGCTTTACGCGAGTCGGTCGACCGAACTGAAGTCTTAATAAGCAACTCGTTCTCTGTAAAACCGGATGCGCGCGCGAATTTATGCGTGCTTTTATTTTAATTTGGCACGTTCGATCGTTCGTTTCGGTAACATTTTAGAAAAGTATTTACCACGAAATACGCTGCAAGTTAAATAAGCGAACGGGTAGTTATCCCCACTCCCCTCGACACGCCACGAAGCTCGTCGCGTAGTGTAACCTGATCCGGGCTCAAATGTCGACGAGATAATTGTGTTATTATAAGCTATCCTTCGTTCTTTGTCCTTTTTTTACGTTCAGCGAGATACGGGGTTGGAACACGTGTCCCGTGGTTTCAAATATCGAAATTTCGTTGCAATTAAAATCGCGTCTTGGCCGTGGCCAAGAAACAGGACTCTCGTTTTCGTCCGTGGCCATTTCGCGACAATTGAATACGACGTGCATTTAACTGTGTCGAGAACGCGATTTCAAGGTTAGAAAGTGCTTGACATTGCATGTACACTGTGTTACGAACGAAGGAGGAAAGTTCCGCTTTCCCGGTTTCTCGATCTACTCTGTTTCCCAGTTTCGAGACTCCACATTCTTCGAGCTTAATCGAGAGAGGCGATATAAAGCAAGAAAACGATCGTACGCTGATCGTCGGTGAAAATTTCGCGCGAAGAAGTCAGCTCCTCTCGGAAATTTCACCCATTTAACGAACGCGACGACGCTCGTTTCTTCGAATTACGAACTTCGTCGACGATAGAATCAACTTCGGGATTTGGACACGTTTCGAGTCGATAATGGCGATAGAGATTTCTACTCGACACCATGAATTATCTTCGTTACCGACCGGAGCCACCGAGATTCCCACAGACGCCTGTCTTCGCCGCAACAATATTGCTCTTTAATGTTGTTCCGGCTAATTCGATTTGTTCCGGTAGCCCCGTCCAGTTGGTTTTTGTTCTCGGCTCCTGCAAACTGCCCATCCCCGACCCCTTCCCACAAAAAACAAAACAAGACCGGTTAAATGAGACGGGAAGACCGTTAACGTCGAGCACGATTCAAGTTGAATTCTCAAAGTTCGTAAAAACAGACTCAATTTCGATGAAAAGTTTTCATTGCTTAAAACCAAGTTTCCTACAGATTGCAAACATTCGAATGCAAATGCATGCACCCTGCGATAGCTACGTTTTCCCGCCTTATCCTAACTTTCCCTACAACAGTTTATACTTGAATAGAAACGGTAATCGGCTTGTTTTTAAATTTGTTCGCTTCCCAGGATGTAAGTGGAGTTTATTTCCAGCAAAAGTATAGAAGACCGTAGATTATCCTAGACTTAATTTCATGCTAGAGCCGGGGAGTAGCGTAGCATTCGATCCTACAAGGTTTGCGACGTTATGCCGCAACCGATCCGATAGCTCGAGGAAACCTCCGGCGTTTCATTTCACGCTAATTACGCGATGCTTGCTCGAGCGTTTTCCCATCCCGTGCGTTCCAAAATCGAGATTGAACTTTCCTCCAAGGCCGTGGATAGATATTCGGGTCAACATTTTTCTCGATGCATCTTTACGAATCCCTACAGATGGCGTCATTATATTACATCGGGCTCGCGTCGAATAAACCGCGCATACTTCGAGGGATAACCTTACTTTTCTGCGATCATAATTGCCTGAAAAGTCGCGAAACAACGAGCAGAACACGCCTAGCGTAATTTTCTCAGCCACGACGACAAAGGGGAAGGCAACGAAAGTTGGTGTTCTCTCGGGAACGTTCGAAACGAAGAAAGTCCCATATTAGTAATTACGAGAAGCGGCGGACCGCTCGTTTCAACGACACACAGTTGGAATTAACGACACCGGGACAATCTTTTCTGGCCGACGAACATACGTGTTACGCGTCCGTACGGGATGAGCGAGAAAACGAGAGTTTCTGCTTCCATTTGCGAACAACCTAACCTAACCCTCTCCGCTCTTACCTATCTTCTTTCCAAGCCTCCGAAACTTGAGCGAGAAAAAGAACGAATACAGCGAAGATAGATGTCGTGATTTAGAATTTCTGCTAATATTGTGACCTGGTCGATGACGTGACATTTGAAAATATAATTATCCCGTCAATGTGCCCACACGTCCACCGAACAAGTTACGAACTGATATAACGACCGTTCGATCGCTGTCGAGAGTTTGAACTTGGATTTCTACGGCGAACTGGCACACACTGATTTTCCACGGCGAAACGCGCATTATTCGTGACGGGAACGTATATCGTGACCGGTCGCTGTCATCGAGATAGGAAAGATCGACGCGGGAGCTGGCGATCGGCCGTTCTAAATCAGCCGGGGTACCATCGACCAACTTATTAGACACGTCGTCGGCAGACCGGTTCCCCAAGCTCGATAATCGACCCAGTGACCTTTATACCTTCGGACGACCTTACGTGTTCCTTTTGCACGCAACCAGCGACTATGAAATTACCAAGCACGGGGCTTCCTAGTACGTACTTTGCTGAATTTTTCTATGGGAATTGTTCGACGTTTCGAAACCGCGCCCTGCATTGACCTCTAGCTTTTCCTGAGCGAAGTTTTCAGCCATAAAGGACGATGTGTCAAAAAATAATGATTCCACCTGCAAGATGGCAACGGGAAGAACTTGTGAATCGAACCGATAGGTTGCGGTCGTGTGTCTCGGGCTCGATTCAGACCGATTCAGCTTGATCCCGTAGCTCGTGGCCAGCGTGCTAGTTTCAGTAGGTCGTAGATACGGTGAGTGTGCCTCCTTCGCACGGCCTCGTCGACGGGAGTCTTCTCCGCGTTTCTCGTCGCGAGAGGCCTCGTTCGTTCCCGCGAAAAAACCGTCCGCCATGATTACGGTAGAACGCGTTCGACCAATCAGAGAAGCCGATCTATAACCGTCTGTCCAATCAGACGAGTTATCACATCGTACAGATATCGGATCTCTAAAAATTCCTAATACTGCATTAATTATTCTAACATTTTCTTTTATTAAAAATTTGATGTTGTTAAATAATTTTAGAGAGTAATATTATGGATCGAACATTATATTTTATGCTTTAATTTGTCAACTGCCAATGGTCACGGACAACTCTGTCCCGCCAATATGAAACGTAAATTTGTTTGCTTTTCATTCCCGTTGAACAGAATCCAGAATCTTTCTCATAAAATATAATTAACTGAATTCAATGGAGCTGCTAAAATTCGACAAAGAGAGAAAAGCCGATACGATACGCGGCTGAAGATTTTACCTTGAAACATCCCTCCGGCGAGATTCGCGCGGGAAATATAGATTTCGAGGTTATTCGTATCAAAAGTTCTCTGCATTGGCTCCGAGCCACGGGATCCGTGTCCTTCGTCCTGGAACTTGGCTTTTTTCTCTCATTCGAGTTTATTGTTCCGGAGAAACGAGACAAAATTGCAAACTACGCGCTCGAGCGATATCTCTGCAGTTTCCGCCGTGCGTGTGCCCCATTTGTGCTCGTTTCATATCGAATTGAATCGAAGACTCGACCACTCCTTTTCGATGTTACTCGGTGTATTCGACAACGTTTGCCAGAGATTGTTAGCGGAGGCAACAGGAAGGTGTTTAACCTCCGGCTATCCGGATACTTGCTTTTGGCAAACCGGAAACGCGAACGTAAATGGCAGTGGATGCGAGCCCGCGAGTCTCTAGTCTCGATAATAGCATCGCAAACGGAAGCAAAGCAGCCGGGTAGGTCGATGATACGAAGGAAACTGCTCGCGATCCTCGACGAGGTATCCTTTGTTCCACGTTGCCACGATCTGTTTCCTACAGCGGATGAATCATTCGCGTGCGTGCAACCGTTTCTTTACATCTGCCCGCGATAAGGAAGTCGCATATACGATAATCGGTCTAATCGATCTTCTCGAAGGATTCGTTACGCGAACGTTGAAGGTAAAGTAAAAATTCTTAGTTCGAGAATAAAGTTGATCGACCTCCTCGTTGCGGGCGGGTATTACGTTGCGTCGGTCGTTTAGCCGGCGTAATGTCGGAACAAATGGTAGCACGCGAAAGAAATGTCGATCGTTGGAGGCGAGTTTATTGACACGTTGCGGTTTCGGTAGACAGTGACGGGTAAATCAGCTTGGCGAACGACGAGATGCATCGGGTCACACCGGTCGAGTTTCGAGTTACCGCAAACACTGCGAACGATTCCTGGGACATGCAGTTGTATACGCCGGCGTATAAAAGTGGCTCGAAGGAGTGTCGGTGGCTCGAGACCGCGCGCGGTTAAAGTCTCGATGCGTTATCAAATCGACCAAAGAACCACACGCGTGCTCGAAGACGTTCAAACGAGCGTGACTAATTCACGCTTGGAAAGTCGATCGCGAGTTAAACGTTGTTACGCGGTGCAACGAGACGGCGTGTTATTAGCAAGATGCAGTCTCGTGTCTTATTTATTTCTCAGACTCGAGAATTTCATTTATCGTTTCTAATTTCCGCGCAAAAAGAAAGTTTGGAAATGTTTCGTGTTGTGTTGCAGCTGCACCGTGGTATTGTTCAACCCGCGGAAGAACACTCAGGCCCACGTGTTGAACGCCTGTCGCAAAACGGTGACCTCTCTGGCACTTGCCGGCGACGGTAGACTGCTAGCGACCGGCGAATGCGGTCACATGCCGAACGTCCGTGTCTGGGACATCTCCGATCCGTACAATGCTGTGCAGATCGCTGAATTTTCCGGCCACAAGTATGGCATCAACTGCGTGGTGAGTAATGAAAAAATGTCATCTGCTCGAGGAGAATTTTCTATCAAAGCGTTCTCGCTACTTCCTTTCCGCAAAATACACCACAAAGCTTTTCGAGCCCCGTTCTCAACGAACGGACAACCGAGCGTATGCTGAATGTGTACAGTGGAAAAAAAGGGCCGCGCCCAATGCACTCGCACGACCGTGACGAGCTTACGACCGCCGCGCCATTCCTCGCATGTTAATTAAGGTCCGTGGCTTTTATCTCCGCGACGAAGACGCGTCGTTTTCGAGGCCATAAAAATATACACCGAATAGTGGAATGAGGGGATCGTGTTACCGAGAGTTTTTTTAACCGTATCTCTTAATCCGCCCGTCAAAACAAACTCGTCGGCGGTAGCGTGCTATGGATGGCCTCCTAGCGGTGTTGGAGGGAGATACACGTACAATATACCCTGTTCCACCAACGAAAGCAAACTCGTTGGCGGAGGCTATGCGTTTTAACGAAGGATTAGAATCGTTTTTATTCGCGTCACGCGGTCGTGCACGTACGCGCGCGGTTCGGTTACAAGGCGTCTTCGGCGACAGGCTGAACCCACGTGAATACAAAATCGCTGAACGGACAACGGTATCCCTTTTATCGCTTGTTCTGCGTTCCCTGGATGCCTCGAGTACGATGATCTTTCCTCGAAACGACCCTCCACGCGCATCCTATGCCTTTACGCTTTTCTCTTCTCAAGGCATTTTCACCGAGCAACAAATACGTGGTGTCCGTGGGCTCTCAACACGATATGATCGTCAACGTCTGGGACTGGAGGAACAATGTTAAGGTGGCGTCGAACAAAGTCTCGAGCAAAGTGAAGGCCGTCTGCTTCGCGGAAAACGGCAATTACTTTGTTACCGTGGGCAACAGGCACGTGAAGTTTTGGTATCTCGAGTACTCGCGCAGCGCCAAGGTAATTCGATGTTAATTCGTTCTCTTTGTCTCTCGATCCAAACCGATCCGATCTACTCGCTTTCGTTCGAAATTAGCTCTGTAATTGTCGATTGTCGGTTTGCTCGAGTCCACCGATCGAAACGACCAGAGAAAATGGCGACGCCGGGAAACGTGTTGCATTAACGGTACTGTACGCTAAATTTCCATGGTTCCGTTAAGCTTTTGACCGAGTCTTCGAATTCTAACCTCGATTATTCCGTGTCGCGTTAATCGATTTTGTCACGAAGAATTTATAACTCTCGATGCAAGTTGGTCGAAAGTACGAACTTAAATGCAAATGGCCGCCATTGCGGCGCGTGCACCGATAAGGTGCATAGGTGCCTAAAACAGAAAAATAGCCTGGCGAGAGCAATGGTGGACGATGGCAAGTAACGGTAATGCGAAGGTGGTGATAGAGGGGAATTTTGTTGCACAGTATAAGGAACCTGTGCCTTTGATGGGTCGGTCTGCCATATTAGGAGAGCAAAGAAACAACGATTTCGTGGACGTGGCGTGCGGTCGCGGGGAAATGGCGGATTCCACGTACGCGATCACCAAAACGGGCCTCCTATGCGAATTTAATAACAGGAGGCTTCTGGACAAATGGGTGGAGCTTCGCGTGAGTACTTTTACCCTTCGAGACTATATTTAAATAATAACTCTTTAAAAAAAAAAATCATCTTTCCAGACGACTAGCGCTAATTGCATGGCCGTGGGGGACAAGTACATCTTCATCGGTTGCGCGGAAGGGATTGTCAGATGCTTCAGTCCCAGCACCCTTCAGTTCATCACCACGTTACCCAGGACCCATTACCTAGGCGTGGACGTTGCTCAGGGATTGTCCATTAGGTACCTAAGACAAATGCCAGACAAAAGTTCTGGTCGTTTCGTTCCCGTTCTGTTCCTCGTGTTGATTAATCACGAATCGATTGCAGTCACATGTCTCAGCATCCGGCGAACGCGAGGTACCCGGACGCGATCGCGCTGGCGTTCGACGAGCGAAACAACAAGCTGACCTGCGTGTACAACGACCACAGCATCTACGTGTGGGATGTACGGGACATCAGGCGGGTGGGGAAGTCTCATTCGTTCCTCTATCACTCGGCGTGCATCTGGGGCGTGGAGATGTACCCGACTGGGACGGATTCGATCGGCGGTATGCCCGGTGGTAGCTTCGTCACTTGTTCCAGCGACGACACCATCCGCGTGTGGAACCTGGAGAAGGACGTGTCGACGTCGGACACGATCTACAAACGCAACATCTACAGCAACGAGCTGCTCAAGGTTCTGTACGTGGACACCGAGCTGACCTATCTGAAGGACCTGGACCTGGCCGCTGCCGGGTCCACGGAGAAGAGCGACGCCTCGTACGACGGACGTAACGGGGTCAGGTCGATCAGGGTCAGCCCTGACGGGAAGCATCTCGCGTCCGGTGATCGATCCGGCAACATTCGGATCCACGATCTATCCACCCTGGAGGAGCTGTGCTTGATCGAGGCGCACGATGCGGAGGTGCTGTGCCTCGAGTATTCTAAATTCACCAGACACTCTCCGGACGCACCGCGACTACTGGCCAGCGCCTCCAGGGATCGACTGATCCACGTGTTCAGCGTCGACCAGGGCTACAATTTCCTGCAGACCCTCGACGATCACAGTTCTTCCATTACCGCGGTCAGGTTCTTCAATCAGAGCAACCAGGCTAATCAGATACAGATGGTGTCCTGCGGTGCCGATAAGAGTATTATTTTTAGACAACTGCAATCGGTGAGCCCTTTGGTTCCCGTTAACATATTGATTCCTCATTCTATATTTCACGAACGATATCTGATAGGAGAGTTTTGATCGATGGTAGTATTGTAAAGGTTAATTAACATTCTTTTGGATATCGTTTTTGACGTATCGAGCGACGAATCTATTAACGCTGCATATTCCCGACTGTTCCATACGTGATTATTGCCGTAGACACCGGGAGGAATGCCGCAGTTCGCCAGAGGTCACAACGCTCAGGGCAAAACTACCTTGTACGATATGGAGGTCGACTCCGGGCAAAAGCACGTCCTTACAGCCTGCCAAGATAGAAACATAAGAGTTTACAACGTCGCCACTGGCAAACATAGTAAAACGTTCAAAGGTTCCGTCGGCGAAGACGGATCCCTCATCAAGGTCGTCCTAGGTAACGAAAGATTTCCTCGAACCTGATGTTGCAGAAAATAGTTAAAAATCCTACGGTTTTTATTCTGAATCTATTTTCAGATGCATCGGGAATTTACGTAGCTACCTCGTGTACAGATAAGACGTTGTGCGTGTACGATTACTATAGCGGCGAGTGTATGGCCACTATGCTCGGCCACTCGGAATTGGTGACGGGGCTGCGTTTCAGCCCCGACTGCCGCAACCTCGTATCCGCCAGCGGAGATGGTTGCATATTTGTGTGGCGTGTTCCACGCGACATGGTCGTCACTATGCAAGCCAGACTAGCTCAACAAGCTATGCGAGCTGGAAAGTATGTTTGTCAAAGTACCTAAAAACTGTCGTTAGTTACTGCATATATAGTTATTCAACGTTGAAACGTGTCTACAGGAGGCCACCTCAAGTGAATGGCACAGGAATTGACGTACAATTAGACAACGAAAACTTCGGATCTCCGCCGCCAGAGTTCCTCGATCCAAACGCGAATCCTGCCCCCGTGAACGCGAGCGTGGATTACAGGTTCAGCGTGGGTCAGTTGCCGTTGTGGGCGAAGAAGCAGATAAACACCGCGATCGCCGACGAAACCACGGTCCTTGGGACGAACGCCAGACCCCTGGGCGTCGACCTGCCGAAGGGCAGATGGGCGCAGAGGGTCCAGCAAGGGGACGGTATAACAGTCAAGTCCGTTTACGACAGCGACGAGATCATACCGTTTCCTCCACCTCGTGGTACGATCGATTCCGATGGCGGCGGCGGTGGCGGTGGATCCAAGGACAGCTCGATCGATAGCGGGACCGAAACCAAGTGCAGCAGCGATTATAGGAGGGAAACGATCACTATTAAAACGACGGTAGGTCTATAAGATCTTCACTGTCATATATAGGTGACAGGACAGATGAATAACTTTAACCAGATTAACCGTTTACTAACACCCCGGCGTTAACTGGTTCTAGGAAGGGGACGAGACTGTGTTCCAACCTTGTCCAGACAGTTACAGAGAACTAGCAGACGATACGAAACAGGTACTAATCCCAGTAACAAAGTAATAATAATAATAATAATGTTATCTTGGTACTTGTTACTTGTTACTTGTTACTTGTTACGTGTGTTTGTGTGCGCTTACGAATTCGAAAGACGACGCAAAAGAAAAAAGAGATGAGAGAATCGTTGAGTTGTTTGAGCTTCCGCACACTTTTTGTTTCTTTGCCCATTATTTATTTCTCGCGCCGAATTGTTTGACCGCGTTTCGTTTTCTTTTGTTCCTCGTTGATTCTACTTTGTTTCAACCGATGGCATAGGTGATCGGTGGTAACGTGACCCTATCTAGAGGTAACAATATCACGGAATTGACACGTCTGTCGAGGAGCCGTCATCATACCGACGATAGCAGTCTTGGCAGCTTTAAATTTGAGGTACATCTCATTAACGCCTCAGACACCAGCAGCAAAGCATCGCCAAACAGTAATATAACAGTGACAACAAAAAACATGAATAATACATCAAATTTGCCAACGATCGATGCACTTCGTCTCTACATATATCGCTTATTTCCGATTATTTATGTTTGCCGCTTGCATCTGTCGCAACAGTTGTATATTTAACCCTAATCCTCGGTACACCTTAAAACTTACGCTTTAATAACAATAATTTAGACGGGAACGAAAGGACGTAAGGTGTTTTAAAGCGCGCGTTTTGTCGTCTAGGATCACGAGAGCACGGAACACGACGGCGACGTCGAGGATTATTCCGAAGGGGAGAACGGTACCACCGGGTCCGAGAAGTCCCATCACAGGCTAATGTACTACCCAGCGCCGGAAGACACTGTGTCGAATCAATTCACCGTGAACGCTATGGACGTGGAGGAGCTTCGAAGGTACGGTCGTGGGTGCTCTTTTTCAAACTTTTGTAGTCCAGGGTTAAAAAGATCGTTGATACGTGGTGTTTAATAGGTCTCAGAGGCGGCAAAAGAAGCCCAGAAACGGGGAGAGCGGTCGTACGAGCGAGTTGACCGCGTCCGGAAGCCAGGACGATTCCGATTCGGAAGGCGGAGCGTCGACGCCCAGCGCCGAGCGGAATCCTCTGTCCATATTGTCGGAGGCCAGTTCGGAAGGGTTCGATCAGCTGGTGAAACAGAGCCATCGTGAGAAATATCTAAAGAACGCTTTTGAATCTCTCAGCGGGGCCGAAGAGCCTACCAACAGATGTCCAAAAACTACCAGCATCAGTTCACAGTTTCACGGGAGGTAAATTGTCGTTTTTAAGTAGACAAACATCTCACGAAGACTTGGAAAATCGGACGTTACTATAGACGTTTTGCAGACTTAGTGGAGGGGCTGATAGCACAAGCAATAACAAGGTTCGTAACGCGGCGGTGGTGAACGCGACCAAGCAGGCAAGGGGTGACGCGGACGTCGCGAAGAAACGCGAGGAATTGCAGCGGAGAATAGAGGAAACTAGGAGAAAGTTGCAAAGCGTAAGCGTAATGATTCCGATGCAAGTGTTAGGATGTTAGATAGAGATCTATGGCGTTTGTTTCGCGTTTGTAGGTTGGCTACAAGTCGTCGTTGAAAACCAGCCAGAGCATATCCGATCTGAGCAGCCACATACCGGAGAAGCACCATCGTTCGAACAGGCTGAGCACAGGTAACAACAACAAATTCGGTCAACAGACACAGTACTCGAAACCGATTAATCCTTGCAAACCTATACCGAATCCAAAGCCCCCGTTAAAACCTCAACAACTCGTTAACAAAGCACCGGGTGTGGGGAATGCGCTACCTAAGCTAGACACTCCGACCGAGAACCGCTTGTCGAAAAGCCAGACCACGTCGTGCATTAGCGACAAGGCGAGACCAACGTCTCTTAGTCGCCCGTTAACATTGACGTTAAAAAAAACTGAAAAGTATAAGTTGTCGCTGAACAAACCGAATCAATCGTTGCCCGAGTCGCCCGTGTGCGAGGAGCTGAAGCTTCTGAAGGAACAGTGCAAGAAGAACGTGAGTCGGTTCGCCAGGTTCGCGCAGAAGAGGAGATCCTGCAGCTACTTTATCGGATTGAACGACAACGAGGAGGAGATGGAGAACATAGCGAAGTCTTTCGAGAGTCTTCCCGCCATGAACGAGCGCAACATCGAGAGCTTCAACGACGCGATGGACGACGGGGACGACGGTAATGGTAACTTCAGCGACGACTCGCTGGAAGGTGACTTCAAGAATCCCCCGCGACGATGCGTCAGCGACTATCAGATAAACGTACACGTGGACGATCAGCAGGATGGTCGCAGACCATACACGAATTACCAAACGTTCCCTAAACGGATCCTGACCGGCTCACAGGAGAGCATCTTGTCGGACGCTTCGGTGGAGTCGTTCTCGAAAGGAAGCGCGGAGATTCTGGATTACAGCCACTACGACAACGACCGCCACTCGAGCGCGAGCTTCTTCTTGTCCCGTAGGAAGATGCAGGCTGGTAGAAGCCAGGAGAGCATCCTGACTGACGAGTCGGATTACCAGATGTTCCCGCTGAACGAGAACATGGACCACCGGAGCACGGAGAGCGTCTTGACCGACGACTCAGACTCCCTGGTGAAATCCGCGCCCCTGGAGATGCTGTTCGACTCCCACTACAAACGGAAGAGACAGAACTCGGAAACTTACAGCGGCAATCCGAACAACGTGACCGAACCGTCGAACGAGACTCAGGATTCCGTGAACGATGCAACCGCTTGTCGCGCGGTCTTCAGGTCCAAGTCCCTTCAAGACACGAGGATAAGCAAGGCGACCAACGAGAACAGCTACCAGGACGACGCGGTGCAGCCAGCCACCTGCATCTACTACGAGTTTAACTTCAACGAGCAGAACGACGCGAACGTGGAGATGAGGATCGGCGCCAAAGCGGATGCGATATCGTCCCGTAGTAACAGTTTGAAAGCGTCCAAGGAGCCCCAGTCGATGCTGATACTGAACGATTTCGTGGCCCACAAGCCACCGAAACCGAAACGTAACTCTGCCCGCACGCAGAGCATGCGGAACAGGGCGCGTCCCGCCTGGAACAAGTACAACGTGGACTCGTCCTCGTCGCAGTCTCTTCGTCTGAAGTCTCCGGAGCTAGAGGATTATGCAAATAAGTCACGCGTGGAACAGAGACCCGAGAGGAGCGATCCAGGTGATGCAAAGTCCGACGGCTCGAAGAGAATGGAGCAGCTGTTGCAGTCGTCCAACTTCTCGTTGCAGCCTAATGAGGACGCGAGCTCTAAAACGAAATTCTACAGTTTGCAGAACCGTCGATCGGACAAGACTATCGAGAGCTACGACGCCACCGAGGATCAGAGGAACGCTGCCTCCCACGTGTGTTGTTTCGAGAATCAGATCCCGACCAAGGACACGCAAGAGACCTACGATTCGTTGGAGGCTGGCTGCGCGAACCGCGAGCCTCAGGAGTCGACAGTTTCCAATTCGCGATCGATGAACGAACGCATGGACAACCTGGACGTGGATCTGAGGATCACCAGAGCCATCGAGGGTACAGTCAAGCTGCTCTCCAAGGAGTTCGAGAACCTGGTCAGACGCGAACAGTACTTCATGAAGGAGAAGTGTCTACGGTTGACCCACTGCCAAGAGGCGAACGAGAATTTCGCGAAGCTGGAGGCAGAAAGGGACGGCAGGTTCGCGATCAGACGCGACATCAGGTTCCATTCCGGCGGCGAGGACAGCGATTTCGCCGACACGTCCGCGATGGACAGGTCGATGATGGAGAGCGGTTCCTCGACGTCCGCGTCGAGCTGCACGAACTCGCCTAAGAGGATGTGGCCGCCAGCCTCGCGGTGCCAAAGTCACATGAAATGGACGAAAACCTTGCCCACCATTAATCAGGCCATACTACCGTCTAAGCATCTCTACGCAGGTACTTGTGAACCGAAGGAAGAGACGAACGCGTTAGCTCTCGTTGCTCGATCGAAGATCATTAAAATCCGTGTACAATTCAACCCTTTGCACTCTGAATTATATTGCAATTTTGTTATCAGCTGCTCCCGACGCTTTCAAGTGTTTTATTTGAAATTTATTGGAATATCTGTTTGTTGTATTTTGTAATTTTGAAAAAATGTCGAATGGGACTTGATGAAGGAGGTCCTGAGATAAAAATTGATGTCGAAGTGCAAAGATGTAGGAGTGCAAAGGGTTAACGCGTGTATTTTAAATAGGAGTTCATGTACGTGACTGAAAGTTTTGATTTTGTATATACGTAGGTGTACGACACTTCTCTAGCAGCTCGGTTCACAAAAAACACAGATATCTTCGTTTATGTTTTCTCCTGTATGCGAATGTATTGCCATGTATAGTTATCGATAAGGTACTATTGTATATTTATTACTGTTCGTTCGCCCGCAACGTTTTATGTTATGGATCGTTTTCGTTTCGAGACGGCAGCAACCATTGTACTTTTCAGTTTCCAACGTTTTCATAAAGATACCAGCGTATAGCTTTATGAATATTTTTTAGTATTATTTTTTATGTTCAGCATGACGCGCGGCTCGACACAGCATGTTTTATCCTTTCGATGTAAAACCATCCTGGCTTCCTTCCTCGACCGTTTTAACATTACATTTTGTTGACGAAATTTTTGGTGGAAGTTGATCAAATTTACTTTAGAGAATGATCAAGAAACTGATTCATTTGTAACTTGATCGACTCCGCCTCAAATTTATAATTTATAATTTCACTTCTCCATTCTCCTTAACACTTGATACTTTTATTTAATTGTCAATGAATGTGCAGCAATCAGCGATGACCCAAAAATTGTCAAGAAATTTAGAACCTTCGAGTTTCAAATTAAAGTTTAATTATTACCATTATGTTGTTTGAAACATTGCTGCACAGTATGAGTAAGTATCTGTAGTCGCTTTTATCCGGATACAGCTCTAATCTGGCGGCTTTGTAAACCATACCTTAATTTATTATTCTACATACCTATATTGCTTCCGCAATATGCATGAATAAAAAAGGAAAGCCCACTTCGTTCTTATGCTATCAAAAGCTTTACAAACTGTGAATCGCAATATGTAAACAATTCGTACAATGCCTCGATTTCCATTCGCAAAGAAAGTGCATTATCTTGGTCCATCGACTTGACTGAATAATTTTGATTAAATCGATGACTCTAAGGTCTTGCACTTCCCTTGCGTTTCATTTTGAAAATAGGTCTAGTATAATGTAAAGAATGGGAGGTAAGTTTATGACAAAGTAAAACCGGTTAAGATTACAACAAAATACAAAAAAAAAAAACCCACTTAATGCGAAAGAACAGTAGCTTAGTGCATGTGTGTGCGTGTTGTTGTCGACAGTTGGCAGTAGTGGGGGGCGAATCTCGTCAAAAGTTTTTGACAGCGAAGAAGAGGGGGGTGGCATGCGACGTGCCTGCTCGCTGAGTGATCTTTCCGTCAGCCCGCCAAATAGGTTACTGCATGGCCCGATACAAGGTACCCTTTCATTCTGCGTCACGTTTCTCAAGGTCATTCCAACACTAAAATACAAATCGTCGACAAACCTCTACATTTATCGATCTCAAATACAAACCTAAAACAAGCTCTCTCACTAATCAATAAAATCACCAAACTTCCGATCTGTCGCGTAGAATGTTTGTTTTGGAACGACTCTCGACTAGCGTAGTATCTGTAATCGTTAAAAAATTCAATATTTTGAGTGTCTTTCGATGCATCAATGACATTTTTAATCAAACGAATAATATAATCAAAACGGAAGTTTATATCCGGTCATTGATAGTCTTAAGACGTTCAAGATATCGGAACAGTTACTATACATATATATATATATATATTAGAACGAACGTTTATTATTTTGTACGCATCAGTTATAACATACTCTCGTAGAAATTAAATTTATTCGTGAACGTAGTCGAAAGTTTTGGCGTGTTGGAATGTTTGCTAACGATGGTGAATAGTTTCAGGAAAAGTAGGTAACAAGAACGCGAACGCGTCGACGAGAAGCGGTCTGGGAAGCGCGAATAGCGGAAATCAGTCGCGGCACGCATCGACGAAGAATCATTCTTCTCATATGACCAGAAGCAGCAGCGTCGGCGTTTTAAATCAGGTACGATTTGTCGCGAAACGATCGAAAGTTTTCCGTTTCATCGACGACGATACATTGCAGAGCGATTCCGAGTCGGACGTGGGAGCGGGGAACGGAAGGGGTTGGAACAACCAGACCGGAAGCAACAGGATCAGTGGACTGATGAGACCGACGATCAGCTCGCAGAATAAGATCAATCATCAGATTAAAACGAACTCCTCCTCGAACAGCAATTTGCCTTCGTTTCTGAGAAGGAGAGGCATGCAGGGAGCGTACTCGAGTGGTAATTAATCCTTTCTGCTCAAAGATATTCGCTCTACCATGTTTGAGCCGTTTGTTTTTAAAGTGGCGTAAGTCAAATCGAGATATTGAAGGGTTTGCGTTGGATTAAATTTAAAAATATGGGTAACAGATTGTAGAATAATGTTTTTGGGTTTCTAAGGGTGTCGAATTTATCATCCTAATTAGCATAATTATTTAAGAAATAATATGTTTTTGATGGCTATGATTGGACTTACGCCGCTTCCAAAATCAGTGAAATTTTCAATTCTTAAGAAAGTACATGTCCATGGGAAAACTAAATTTCCCTTGAAATAAAAATAAATACACTTTTGTGTTATAAAATCAAACAAAATATTCAACTTTTATTCTCTGTTAAATAATTTTTACATTCAAATTGATATTGTTTCGTTAATTGTTATTCAGTCTTCTCCAGTTTGTGTATGTGGGAGGGATTTAAAATAACTATGGTGTGCAGGTGGTATGTAGTCATATTGTAAAAAATTACAAAAATTTCTCTGGTTAACGTTTCCAGTGAATCTAAGTCAAGTGGGCAACCAAGAAGATTCGAGTTCGGAGGACACGTCCTCGAACGGAAACAGTGGAAAGCCAGCGCTTCCGCCCAGGCCTCGAAGCATCAGTATCGACCATTCTGCCGCAAAGTAAATCGCAAAATTTCGATTATTTCGGCTCATTTCAACTTATTTCATATATTTCATATTTCATACTTTCTTTGAAGCTTGAGCCTGCCCGGTACAACGGTGAGGAGGTCATGTTCAACGACAATAATCGCGAACGGTCGTAGCGGAAGCGGCGCGATCGGGCAAACCACAAACAGCAGGATATCTGCATCTAATCGGAATCAATTGGATCCCAGCCCTCAAGAGCTACCAGTCAAAGATACTGATCGTGCCATCGATGTAGCTAGTGCCGAGTGTAACTATCATTTATCGTTTCTCTTACAGTTTTCATTTCTTTCATGATCACCTTGTATCGTGTTTCTCGAAGTGTATGCATGCAAGATTGCAAGGAACAATTACTTGCTAATTGTTTCTTTATTATCAGACGATTTACGTAAAGTATCGTTGTCTAATGAAGATTTTACTCTTACAGTAGGCACGGATAAAACTTTAGGTAAACTAAAGACACCTATTGAGAATGCTGTCCTGTGAAAGTATAAACATGTCTTTGAGTATAATAAAAAATTTGTAAGTGATCATGCTATGACAAAACGACCATTCGAAACAGAATCGTTTAACGAGTTTAGTACAGGCTAGGATCTAGTCTGCAAAACGCTGTACATAAAACACGCTACACGTCGCATTCGAAGGGGGCCGCATAGATGGCGCTGTCAGCACCCGGAACGTACAAAACATCGACCGATCTTTTACCATCGATTTGTAGATAATGTACATATCCGCGTGTTGCGGTGTCGCGTCGGCCATGATGGAAATCACGTACTTTGAATCATCGCATATATACCTTGGAGATTATACTAGTTTCCCTCCATCGTTAGGACATTACCCGAGTCTCTAGATTTTCGATCACAATAGCATGGTCTCATTACGGATTTTAGAGTGAATAAAAACCCTGCACGCTGCACGATTTCATCCATCCTCTCCCCTACATCCGGGCGAAGCGGTTGCTACGTTTCCGTTGAAATCTTGTAGCGTCTGCTTGCGTTTAATCACGACAGAGTCGATCGTTCCGATCGTTTTAACGCGAGAACCTTACCGTGATCGACGAACGCGTCAGTTTAATAAAGAACACATCTTGAACGCATCTCGTTTCCGTAGTGTCGACCCAGCTGTGCAACACAATTGCGGACGACTTGACGCGAACAGCGGACAACGTGGTGCAGCTGTACAAGCGTTTGACGATAGACAAGGAGGACGAGGGGGCGAGCATCGACAGGGACACGATGCTACGGGGCCTTCAGTCGTCCGTGAACGAGACGATGCGCACTTTACGGTTGGTGGTGGCCAGTGGTCAAAGCCAGAACGACGGGTCGGCGGCGTCTAGCGAGACCGTAGTGGTGAACGAGGCGACCGCCACGTTCCAAGAGCTGCTCGCCGGCCAGGATCAGGGTAAGGTGGTCAACATGATGCAACAGTATTCCGAGCTGTTGTTGACCATGATGCAACAGAGGATGGGGGGTACACAGTCTAGCCACACGTAAAATCCGTCCATCCACGAGGTTTCCGTCGGAGAAGGCAAAAACGATCAGGACGTCCAGCCGCCAACCATAAACTACACGCCTTTCCCGGTCTGCGTGTATCAACCTCGTTCCACGGAGACTCTGTATTCTCCGTTATTATATCGTGTCTCGAGATTTCGCGTTGTTTCCGGAACACGCAGAACCGGGAAAGGGTAAAGTGTGAATTTTAGCTGGGAAAATGTTAGAGAAAGTCATCAACAATTCGAAGAAAAGATATCGGTATCGAGACTTTGAAATTTCAAACGAACCAAACGTTTAACAAATCATTCAGGGTTCGATCGGGACTTTACGATTGGATAGATTTTGAGGAACATTAGGAAATCGAATGTCCGATGTTTACGTGTACTGGGACGATGTCTTTAGCCAAAGTTAGTGAATATTTATCAGCAATTTCGTGCAATGGTCCACGAGGTACACACGGGAATTAAAACGGGCCAAATTGAGAACTGATTCAAAATCTCTGCCTCTGGAAAGATAAAAGAAAAAAAGAAAAAAAAAAATAAGATGAAAAATCGACTGCATGAAACACTCGTATCTTGAGGCCATACGCCGTGAAATGCCAATTAACTAAAGACTCTTAGATTAGTTTTCGGGACGAGTATGTAGTGTGTCTGTGTGTGCGTGTATGTATATATACATATGTATCCTGTGCGTGCATACCTATATATACATATACAGTATTTATCGACTATCGCGCGATATTATATCATAATATTAGTCTTCTTATAGTGTAACCAAAGGTTGTCTGTACCTACGGTCTAAAAGAAGCCAGCCTCCCTTCCTTCCTCGACGTTTAAACAAGCTTCGACGAGACTAATAATAACAAGTATGCAGTTAAGCGATGTAAACTTGCCAGTACGAACGAGATATAACATACGACTAATTAATTGACGCGTTTAGGTAAAATTAAAAAAAGGAGGAAAATATGGGGCTTGGTAGATACACAACCTGTGCGTCGGGGTTAGGGATCGAATGTGATTTTATATTTCGAAAATCAACGTGTAACGAAACTGTATTGTCTCCTACTAATTTTACTTGGCAGAAACACGCGATAGAATATAGAATTCCTGGTCGTTGAACTGAAAAAACTGTATCGATGAAGAAACAGGTGCGAGGAATTGATTTTTTGTCAAACGTATTGATTTGAAACCGAAGCGAACAGAAGAAAAGCCGTGCTGCATAGCAACTGCATATTTTGTCATAGGAATTACAAATATTTTTACACCGTAAATTAGACACACAAGTTCCCAAAGCGTCCGTAAAACTTTTCGTTGTGTCGTCGCGCGAGATGGGTTCGAAAAGCCGAACGCTTCGAGTTTTTTCAAGTGTTCTCGAAGGAAGGAACCGGGTAGAGGAATCAAAGTATTACGAACACGTATTATTATTAACGAATTTTTTTTTTTTAACGTTCTCTTTGTTTAAATATTCGTAGTTACTTTCTATTCGTCCGCTCTTGTAAAGTTATTTCCGATTGTATGTAATGTATAAAACGTGCCATTTAGGTTTATAACGATCGATCGTCGTTCAAGTGTACTCTCTACGCGAGACATCTTCATTGCGTCTTTATCATTGATCTTTGTCGATAAACTTGGAGCGTATCTTTAGTCTCTTATTCGCGCGAATTTCGATATCGTGGTTGTGTTTCGCGTCGATCATGCAATTTTTAGAATTGTATTGGGGTGGAGCAGCTCGACTCGATAGTGCTTCCCCCTATTTTTTCTTTACGTTTTCGTTTCACTTCCCTCATCGTGTAAATCTCTATCGCGACAAATTTGTTCACGGAGGTGACTAAATTCTTGAATGATACGGATCAATACCTTCGCCGCTCACCTCTTTCTCCTTTTCTCTCAACAGCGATTAAAAGCATCTGTTATTGTATGTAGCATTACAATACTCGGTTACTATATTTCTGAAAACCGTGTTTCACAAAATCGAGGCCGAACCTTGACTTCGACGGTAAAGGTGTTGATCGCGTTTAATATATCATCCCATACTTAAATGACTGGAGTACAAATTGTATTCCACGTCGGCATTTTTCGCAATATTTCGTCAACGTTAGCATGTAAAATCGCGTAAGCGACGACGGATGTAAAAGGAGAGAAAAAACAAATATCGAATCTCGTCTCATACATCTCCTTGTATTCACCTAAGCTTCGCGTGGTAATGTACCATTCCAAAATTTCACTCTTCTCTTTCTCCTCTCAGTGTAATAATCATCAAAGACATTATCAAGATACTTTTAACCGGGTCGCGAAGATTATTAGTGGCTTTGTATATTGTTGTACTTGTTATACCAAGACATATTGTTATGTAATGTGTTAATCGTTTACTTAATCGTTGTATATATTAATTCTGAATTTCGCAGGAAGCAAAAAACAGTTTTGGTAATCGTGAACGCCAAAATGTAATAATTTCGCCCGTAAGAGAATTGTAACTTTTTAGCACTTTGTTTTTGTATATTATGTTAACGATTAATAATATAATAATTCTTACAAACTGGAAGGACACCGATGGGGATTATTTATGCGTTGGAAACTCGATCGATAAATAACCAATTCCGTATACATACGTACAAACAGTTTTATATTCAGAAAAAAAACAACGCACGAACGACATTAAATCGATGACTAAAAAATGTTACGAAACTTTTATTCGCATGCTAATTCTCACAAAAATATAATCGTGTCTATACAATAGGAACACATTCCACTCACTACATATTTGTATATGCATAACATGAAATATAGTTTTCAAAATTTAACAATATCATTTTTATATATGGAACATTATGCGGGAGTTCGATCGGAGGAAGACTGTTGTTTTCAATGATTTTGCGTGTCGTATAAATACTGTTCTATATATATTATATTACGCTATTGCCTCGTCGTGTTTGAGCTTTGCGTGTGAATGCATGGTACAGAAGTATAACTGAGAGTAATATGATGGTGCAACTGAAAATAATGAAAGAACGTGATGAACCACACAGGCAACAAATTCTCGTATTACCGTCTTAAAAGTATTCCTCGAGTGTACGTAAATTATTCATCACATTCTACTGTCCCCAATATTGTTAGTCTTTTATCTGCCGTTTGGTTGGCGCAATTCTTGTAGCTGTAACAAAAAGAAAAATAAGAATTTTCAATTTTATTATTTCTATGTTTAAATTGAGATGTAAACGAGGATTGTGCCAACCTCTTTTTCTTCGTCAACTTCGTCTTCGTCCTCGTCTTCATCGTCAGAACCGTGAACCGAAGCAGCGGGTGTAGTATGTCGCGAAGAAGAGGGCGATGGTGGCTCGCTGATAGGTCTCGGATAACTGAAACGTCCCACGCCACCCTCGGCGTACTCCGACACTAATTCTGGATAGACTTTCATCAAAGCCTTTATTCTCGCTTGGCGGTAATACTGTGAACATTCGTTTGCTCGATAAATAGCTGATGAAAACGATAAAAGTGCGTGAAAGATCGGTACACTTACGATTCCAAGATTTCTCCAGTCGAGAAGATCGCTGAGACGTTCCGTGCGATTTCTTTGAATGATACGCTGTCGACGGCTGAGTCGCGCAAAATCGAACATGTATTGAGCAAGTTGCTGGATGGTATTTTCCAGGCCGATGAATCGCCTGTCTACGATATAGATACCATAACTCATTGGGTCTGCTATGTGCTCTTGCATGAAGCAACCAAACCCAGACAGATTCGTAGTGATACTAGGAATGCCCATAACAGTACATTCAGCGGGGGTGTAGCCCCAGGGTTCGTAATAAGACGGGAACACGCCCAAGTGGCATCCCCTGACAAACTCTTCGTAGTCTAGGCCAAACAGTGGGTTTGTCGATGACAGGAATTCTGGATGGAACACTATCTAAGATTAGAAACAAACGTGTAGTATCAATCATTTGTCATCTTGTCGACTGTACAGGGTTTTGAGGTTACCTTTACTCGATCGTTAACAGTATTGAAGAGATTGCATCTCCTGATAGAAGTCAGTACCGGATCGTTCCAATCGTCCACTACATTGTGGGTGGTGACTGGCGGTAAACCGTTCCTTTGCAAAGCATACAAACACCTGCGACAAAGAAACATTAGAACCAATCGATTCCTAATCGATACCAACGACGAGTAATAATCCCAGGCGCTACCGTTTAATTTTTATAGTGTCATCCTTTTGTAGAAGATCTTGTGCATCGGGCATACGACCGGATAGACACAATTCGTACATTCGTTTTCCAATCTTTTGTTGTATGTCGCTGATCGTGTCTCTCAACGATTTGGTGACCTTGAACGAGAGAACGAAATCAGGCATAAAAAGTAAACTACCCATTTCTTTCGGATTTAAGAAACATGTCGTTCAACTTACAGCATGACCACGTAATGACTCTACGTTAAAATTATTGGTTCGCGCTGGAAAAATAAGGAAAGCAACTACAGTCATGTCGGGCCTAGACGTCCTCAAATAATGATTTAATCTGGCCAATGCTTCGATAAAGATGTCTGCGCCCTTGTTCCCGAACTCGTAACGTCCAGCAATGAAGAAGTACAATGTCTTATCCAGATCAAAATCATAATGACTGCACACAGGACATACGTAAAGAGATTTAATGTAAAATAAAAGCAACGTTAGATCGTAATTAATGGTGGTACGAACCCGTAAAAGTGACCTCTGACAAACTCGTGTATTTTCTCTTTGCTAACGGCGTGTAAATTTTGGAACTCGTGCAACGCTGCGAATTTCTTTACATTGAGCCCGTTCGGTGTGATTATGTCCGGTTTTCGTTTCAGTAAATGTTCAGCCTCGAAGCCGGTTATGTCCGAAACGGTTGTGAACACGTGCGCTAAATGAGAGGCTGCACGTTCCATACAATATCTGTGATAAATTTGCCGCTTCCCTGCCTCCTCGTCGACATTGAACTACACAAATACAATCAAACTCCACACTCTTTTTGGATAGTACTGAGCCAGTAGAAATTGAACTTTAAAGGCATCGAGATACGTTACCTTATCCAAATTATTATAAAAATCAGTCTTTCCTGCGCAAAGATATCTTCCAAGCAGAGTGGCGTGGGTGGTGAAAACCGTGGCAACGTCCACGTGCCTAGTTCTTAAAGCTATTATCCCAACGCCTGCTTGCCATTCGTGACAGTGGACGACCACGCGGGGAGGAACGTCGGAATATCCTTCGGCAGCTTTTCTTCAATTAAAAATTTCACGTCTCGTGAACGATCGATCGGATATAAAGAACATTGTATTCTGCGGTGCACGAAGTTTACCTGAACTCGGAAATAAATTGGCAAACGAGGTAGCCCAGGATAACTGCGTCGTTCGCCTCTATGTCCAGGTGAGGAATACCAAGGTGGCAAGTGTTCCATAATTCCTGTTTGTATTCGTCCAACTTCCATGCGGCGCTTCCAATATCGAAGAGTATTATTTGTGGATTTCCGTCCACTAGCCATGTTCCTGTTACCACCTTAATAAGAGCTTTTATTTTACAACATAAATTCTATTCGTTTTCGTTCATCGTTGATTTTGCAGAGTTGGATAAAACAAAGAGTCACTGTGCAGGGTGTTTCACGTTTAAAATAAATTCTTTCTCTGGAAGTAAGTTGCCTTATAAACTATTACACAAGTTTATTCATTCTATAGTCCTATGACCCTAACTCGATGCTAGCCCATTTGAATCCGAAACACCCTGTACAGTTTGCCTGTAGGGACGATTGTCATTGAATTAATTTTGGCCTTCCACCTGGCCTATAGCCAAATTATTATTCTCGGTGTACGACGATCATATATAGCAACCATGAACTTACTCTCTGCAGAAACAACGAATGAGTTTCGAATAATCTATTTGCAGCCTATTACACGCTTCCTTCTATAGTTTCCTGTTCGTCTTGAATTTCGCGTATAACATTATCTAGGCTTACTTTAAATCCCTGATCGCGTAGAACTTGAACACCTAAATGCAACGGACTGTTACGTGGGAAATCTGCTTCCTCGACTTCTGTACGAGCTGAAATTTCTTTGTACGGACCAATGAGACAATACTGGTCTCCCATTTCCTCCGTGGAAACATAAGCTTTGGATCTTATTACAGTGTATATACCACCAACTGAAACCAGCAAGATTAAAATAGTCGTAATAAATTTTTCTTCTTTGAAACCGCCGTTGCTCTTGGATCTTTTTATACCTTTGTTCGCAGCCTCCCATGCAACTTCAAAATTCCATCTGTTCTCGTGTTGCGCAGTGTAACCACGATCCATAAACTCGAGCAAATCATTACTGCTATCTACACGGTAAAATCTTCTAGATGCGCGTTCCCTTGACATTTTGCTGGCTCGTTTTCAATCTATATCAGAGCAGTGTAAATTTAAATGTGCAAATATTTACATATCGATATGCTACGGTATCTTGGAAAGTAAAAAACACACGATAGTATCTTCACAATTTTATATAAACGAAATACCGAGTCCTATTAGTGAGTGGATGAAAAAAATAATTTGCTACCAATGTTCTCTACATAAATATTTATTGACAATAATTTTAAAACAACGATTATCGGAACACCTGCAACAAATTCATAAATTTTGTCGAAACACTTGCGATATCGTGACAGAAAATCGACGCGAAAATAAATAGAACTCGAATAAAAAGATACATCTACTGTAAATGTGGTTTAAAAGACGGAAGTTTCCCTTCTACCCACGAGTAACATCGGAGTCGATTCACTGTTCGGTCACTTGAAAATCGTGGAAAGAAGAAAACACTCGAACAGCCGGCTGCAAGTAGAACTTGATCAAGAGGATTTTGTCGCTCCTTTAAATCGTGTCGTTTCTCGATCAAGATCAAGATCAAGTTCGGTCCCAATCGCAATTCGGTGGGTGCTGATTTTCCGACAGAAAATCGTCGTGCTCGAAAGGAGCACGTTGCGTCCACAAGTTTATCAAAGGTCAATGACCAAGTATTGCCACTTTAATGGGGGATTGGAATATACGAGCACGACGACGAGGAACGAAAAAAAAACCGTGAAAACTTACTTCGTGATGCTCGACGAAATTACGGAACGAGCAGTGATTTATCCGACACGGAGGGTACACGCGTACTTTTGCTCGAAATAGCGTTTCGCGGCGTTAAAGTGTAGAGACGAGGAGCAAGTGGGTGGGCAGTCCGTGCAAGTTCCACGGCCAAGCTCACGTGAAGGTCACCACAAACTACGAAAGGTCACAGGGCTTGACGGGACCTCGAGTCCGGCTTCTCGTGGCTACTTTGAACCCGACGGGCGACGGATCTTGGTCAGTTCGTTGATAAACGCATTGCTTCGATTTATTTCGCAACTACAGATGGCACGAGATATGTCGCCCCTGCTACCAGACAGCTTCTCTCTCAACCTCTTCGACTTTGCTTCCGACAGACACATCGCGACGCCATGGTCTTCTAATTTTCGGTCGAATAAAAATGTTCTTCGTCCAGAAAGTGCTTTGATCGTGATCACGATACTGTATCGATCACTCTGACGTTAATAGCTTTCGCGTTCGTTGAGAAATAAACACTCAGAATTGGCGGAACACCATGCTCGACCGCATAGTTAGGAAATTGGCGGGAAAAGAGTCTTAGGTTGAGGATTGGGACGAAATCGTGTGAAATGATACTTTCAGAACATTTCGAGTGATATTTTATGATGGACTTTTCGGTGTTAGACATTGATACGCTTCCTAAGTATTTATCAGTTCGATCATTGACGCGATTTATTAGTTTTGGCAACCGGAGAACCGTGTGCCCGGGCAACGCGACGTTTATTCTTACGTGTAAGAGGAAATGCAAAGCACGTATTACATATATATAGCCGATGAGCTTCTAAATATCTTTCGAGTATCATTAGGAGTACAGCAACGAGGGTTTAAATGAAGAAATAAGTGCAGCTGCATGTGATCGATATTTATAAGCATTACGACGATTTCAATTTACGACTTTCGTCCAAATTTGTCGCTATATGGTGAACTAACGTAGAGATCATTACTGGTATGAACTTGGAAAATTAATACAGTCCTTCAGGATGTATTATGATTTATTGTAACATGAAAATTATTCGAACGATGGATCGTTGCTAAGCTAATTCGATTGTTGGATAACATTTCGATCGCTTAAGTTCCATAGTTACCGATAAGACATCAATTTTTTAGTTTAACGTGTATAGAGAGGTTAGATTACGTTTAACCAAGAGTTTCCCTTCTATGTGTTATACGTATAAACCAGACGTAGTCCCGGGTGCACCGGGGACACCTCGTTTCACTTTCTTACCTATGCCAGATCGCGCATGCGTGAGCTCTTAGTTTCGGAGAGTCGAGAAAGGCACTCTGACACATGCCCATCTTTCTCGATTGTTCGAAGCTGGCCAAAGTAATTTCTGCTGTCCTCCGTCTCCTATGCTGGTCTATGCTGGTCTCTACATGCCTCCACTGGTGTCTAACTTGAGTTCGCGGGTCGTAAAACTGTTTTACCCAGTTATACACCTTTTAACCTGTAGCAGTGTAGCGGCCATTGTATTAGCCACTTCGCCCTTGCCAGGGTATGAATGGGAATGGAATGTTAGGATAGTTTTAAGCTTTCCATTTCTCGATTTTCCCACGGTCTCGTGCAAGTCTGATCGTCTTGTTAAACACTTGGCGTGCCCCTTGATTTTCATTACTCCCTTTCACCGTAGCTAAACTCTCCCTACGCTAAGTATTTTCTAGTTTCGTTTTACCGTCTTTCCGTCTTTCTGTCCTGTCTCCTTTTCTCTCCCTTCACTATTAGGTTAAGGAAAGACACTCGGTCTTGTTAAAGACTTCGTTACGTTCAGTCTGTGATACGCGTTCAAGGCCAGTCGGTTAACGATGGCATTGTCATAGGCTCAGTTCGTTTTAGACGTGTTCTAGCCGAGTCCCTGTTAGAGACGCGTTACGACCAGTCGGGTAAAGACGTCGTAACATCATTGTAACTTTAACATACGTGTGGCTACACCTCCACACTCGCGAATATACTGCGTAATAATCGTGGGGTAGATCGTGGGCTTGTTATTTGACCCCCTGTCCCCTCAGTAGTAATAAGGTACAAAGTACGAGGTACTAGGTATGACTACATGTACTTTGGAATTTTCCTACAGGTCTGCGCTGGCCTCTGCCGACCGCTGCTGGCCACTCTTGATACTTCCGACAACGTATGACGATTGCAACTTGCTACTGCCAGCCTCTCTCAGCCTCTGCTGGCCTCTGCTGACCACCGCTTATATTTCTGACAACGCATAACGATTACCACTGACTCCTGCCTACCTCTGCTTGCCTCTGCTAGCCTCTGCTGACCACTCCTGATACTTCCAACAACGTATGACGACTGCAACTTGCTACTGCTTGCCCCTGCTGGCCCCTGCTTGCCCCTACTGACCCCTGCTGGCCCCTACTGACCCCTGCTGACCACTCCTTATACTTTCGACAACGTATGACGATTGCAACTTGCTACTGCCAGCCTCTCCCAGCCTCTGCTGGCCTCTGCTGACCACCGCTTATATTTCTGACAACGCATAACGATTACCACTGACTCCTGCCTACCTCTGCTGGACTCTGCTGACCACTCCTGATACTTCCAACAACGTATGACGATTGCAACTTGCTACTGCTTGCCCCTGCTGGCCCCTGCTTGCCACTGATGGTCTCCGCTGGCTTCTGCTGGCCTCCGCTAGCCTCTGCTGACCACCCCTGATACTTCTGACAACGTATACCTATTACTACTTGTCTCTGCATGCCTCTGCATCCCTCTGCATCCCTCTGCATCCCTCTGCTGGCCTCTGTTGGCCCTGCCGACCACGGCTGACCACTGCTGACCCTTGTTATCAACTTCTAACATGATGTATAAGTATTCGAACCTTGTATAATGTAAATCTATGACAATAAATGATATAATTTAACAGAATTCTATTTGTTCTCATCATTTTTACCTTTCTTTTCCTCTCCAAATCATTCCCTTAGTTTTAAGAGACCGTTTCCCGGTTAAAATTGGATTCCCAAAGTGTCCAGCTCTCGTACTTGCTGCCAAAATCAAAAATTTAAAAGTCCTGAAACAGTTTGAAAGTCCTGAAACAGCTGGAAAACCCTGAAACGACTTAATTTTGGAACCTCCGAAAAATTGGAAAGTCCTGAAACATCCTGAAAACCCTGAAACGACTTAATTTTGGAAATCCCGAAAAATTGGAAAGTCCTGAAACAGCTGGAAAGTCCTGAAACAGCTGGAAACCCCTGAAACGACTTAATTTTGGAACCTCCGAAAAATTGGAAAGTCCTGAAACATCCTGAAACCCCTGAAACGACTTAATTTTAGAAATCCCGAAAAATTGGAAAGCCCTGAAACACCTGGAAAGCCCTGAAACATCCTGAAACCCCTGAAACGACTTAATTTTGGAACCTCCGAAAAATTGGAAAGTCCTGAAACATCCTGAAACCCCTGAAACGACTTAATTTTGGAAATCCCGAAAAATTGGAAAGTCCTGAAACGCCTGGAAAGTCCTGAAACAGCTGGAAAACCCTGAAACGACTTAATTTTGGAAATCCGAAAAATTGGAAAGTCCTGAAACAATTGGAAAGTCCTGAAACAGCTGGAAAAGCCTGAAACAGCTGGGAAGTCTTGGAATTTCTTGAAAATTTCTTGGAAACTCTGAATTTTTAGCAAAGTTCTGATTTGAAGGACTTCCGAGGTGTTTTAAGACTTCTTAGTGGGTTCAGGGAAACCAAGGAGTTTCAGGGAGTCTTATAACTAAGAGGAAAGGAAAGAAAGGTATAAGATGATGAGAAGACATAGAATTCTTTGTAATTATATCATTTATTGCCATAGATTTACATTATACAATGTTTTAATACATATATATCATGGCGGAAGTTGTTAACAAGGGTCAGCAGTGGTCAGCAGGGGTCAGTAGGGGTTAGGGGGGGTCAGTAGGGGTCAGTAGGGGACAGCAGAGGCTTGCAGAGGCAAGCAGAGACCAGCAGGGGCAAGCAGTGGCAAGTTGTAATCGTCACACGTTGTCGGAAGCATCGATGGTGGTCAGCAGTGGTCAGTAGGGGTTAGGGGGGGTCAGTAGGGGTCAGTAGGGGTCAGTAGGGGACAGCAGAGGCTTGCAGAGGCAAGCAGAGACCAGCAGGGGCAAGCAGTGGCAAGTTGTAATCGTCACACGTTGTCGGAAGCATCGATGGTGGTCAGCAGTGGTCAGTAGGGGTTAGGGGGGGTCAGTAGGGGTCAGTAGGGGACAGCAGAGGCTTGCAGAGGCAAGCAGAGACCAGCAGGGGCAAGCAGTAACATGTAGTAATCGTCACACGTTGTCGGAAGCATCGATGGTGGTCAGCAGTGGTCAGCAGAGGCCAGCGGAGGTTGGCAGAAGTCGGTCGTAATTGTTATACGGCGTCAGAAATATAAGAGGAGGTCAGGAGAGGCCAACAGAGGCTGGGAGAGGCTGGTAGTAACCAGTAGTAATCGTTACACGTTGTCGGAAGTATCAGGTGTGGTCAGCAGGGGTCAGCAGGGGCCAGCAGAGGCAGGCAGAAGCCCGCACATGTTGGGAGATGTTAGCAGAGGCCAGCAGTAGCCAGCAGTAATGGTTATACGTCGCCAGATATATCAGAAGTGATATCTGATATGATATACATATGTACGCTCGTATATAGGAATAATAAAAATAAATTTATTTCTTTTTAATAATACAAATATGATCAGGGGGTCTTAAAACGTGTGTTCCCGTAAGAAAAATTTGAGAAAATTTATTTCATTACAGTATCTTGCTTATGTTCGTCTACATACAAAGGTCGGAATATAAAAGATACTTGGGCAGTCGAGAGACTTGGAATCGTATGCCGTCGACGTGAGGTCGAATCTTAGTTGTTCAAGCGCGAGAAGGCAAATGAGCCTTCCTCTCTCGACTCCCATAAGACGGTACGAAATTACTTCGGGGAATCGAGAAAGGGGGCATGCGTCAGTTTGCCTTTCTCGACTTTTCGAAACTCCACGAGCTCACGTACGCGCGATTTGGCATAGATAGAGTAGTGCACCCGGTGCTCAATCTGACATCACTGACTTATACTAAAAACTCTTATAATATAGTAACATGGATCGTATGGCGTCAGGGGAAAGTCACTATATCAGTTCCTAAGCCTCGTTCCCAAGCTATCCCATATTTCTATCATAACTCTCGAACAAAGCTCTAAACAACACATGATTACATAACATATATTACTTATTTCAATACAAAGAATACACTGACAAAGTTTGGCCACTGAAATCTGAGATATTCTATAAACGAACTTTGTCTATTCCGTCTTATCGTAGCTCGTTGAAAACTATTGACTCGATGATTTTCCGGAAACCATATGCCTAGATCATTTAAAGCATTCTGTACAAAATAAGAGCAGGCTTCTGTAGCCCTAAAGTGATTCAATTTGTTAAGACAATAAGTTGTGAAACGATCGTGGTTCGACTAGTTTTAGGTTATAGTTTCGGTACTCGAATCGATGTCTCAGCTTCAACGGTCTAGTAGCCCCGTAATTAGAGGATGAAAGTTCCTAGATTAATAATGAAACAAAAATAATGACAAATTTTCCCCTCACCCTTCTACTGCTCGCGATCCCGCGCAAATCAGGGTCGTCCAAACTCTGTCACCGGCGGCATCAAGGGCACCCGCATCCCAGTCACCCAGTAAGCATCAAGGTTCAGCCAAAGCATTCTGCCGTGAAGAAACGAGGCCTGGCGAGACGGTAATATCGCAGGAAAAAGACAACGAGAAGCTCGTGCGTAAATAGCATAGATTTTGAAAGAAACACGAACCATTGCACGCGGTGTGAAACAATCGATTCGACGGAGCAATTATTCGAGCAGACTCGCAAGCTGGTACCTCGTCGTAAGAGCTCGCCGCATAACCTATAACCTATAAATTTGTTTTTGCTCGAAATCGGCGATTCGGACGATTAATCGAGAAGTCGGAACAGGGCCGGTCGGCCGGCCGACTGTTAAAGTCGAAAGGAAACAACGAACAGAGTTAAACGATTCCTCGTCGCGATGAGTTCGCAGCAAAGTCCGGCTGCGTTGCAGTCGACGGTGGATCGCGAGAAAGTGTACACCTGGATAATCGAATTATCGAACCCCGAGACGAGGGAGAACGCGTTGTTGGAGCTGAGCAAGAAACGCGAAGTGGTGCCCGATTTGGCGCCAATGCTTTGGCATTCGTTCGGTACGAGTGCGTCGTTGCTTCAGGAAATAATAAACATTTACCCGGCCATTAATCCAGCTACTCTCACTGCGTACCAGAGCAACCGAGTGTGCAACGCGTTGGCTCTATTACAATGCGTAGCAAGCCATCCGGAAACTAGATCTGCCTTTCTACAGGTAACGTAGTTAATCTCTGCAATTATTTATCGATGTACATCGATCGTGTATACTTTCAGGCTCACGTGCCCTTGTTCTTGTACCCGTTCCTGCATACGGTCAGCAAGACTCGCCCGTTCGAGTACCTGAGGCTAACCAGCCTGGGAGTGATAGGAGCGCTGGTGAAAACCGACGAACAAGAGGTGATAACGTTCCTGCTCACCACAGAGATCATTCCACTATGCCTGAGAATAATGGAGAGCGGTTCCGAGCTGAGCAAGACAGTAGCCACTTTCATATTGCAAAAGATTTTGCTGGATGACAGTGGTCTGTCGTACATATGCCAGACGTACGACAGATTCAGTCACGTGGCAATGATATTAGGGAAAATGGTACTGTCTTTGGCCAAGGATCCTTCCGCTAGACTATTGAAGCACGTGGTCAGGTGTTATCTACGATTGTCGGACAATCCACGGTATGGCTAAATCATACACACGTATTTCTAATGGTAGTATGACTGTTTGATCGATTTCATTTTGTTTTATATGTTCAATAGAGCGTTATTGGCGCTGAGGCAATGCTTGCCCGATCAACTCAGGGACAATACGTTCGCGACGTGCTTGCAAGAGGACGCGTCGACGAAGCACTGGTTGAATCAGCTGTTGAAGAACTTGGAAGCCGGACCGCAACCCGGACCACCTGCTCAGCCCGGTCAGCAAGATCCAAGAACGATCGGCATGTCGCCGCTCGCCTCTTAAGCTGCACGTTTTAAGGCCGCGAAGGATGGTGCCCAGCATATATCGAACACTCGTTGAGGATCAGGGTCGTGGGGCCACGGAAAAAGTACAGAAAGTGGCGCGTCTCGGTGAGACGAGGCGTCGGAGCCGCGCTGTAGGTGCTCGCGATCCTTGAAATTCCGTGGTTCAATCCGTGGTTTCTCAGGGACAGAGTGTGAGTGGGAGAAGGACAAAGACGTCTGCTGGATGGAACGAACGATCAACGAGAAACGTTTACGCAAAAACTGTGTTATCTATCTTCCTTTGATCTTTAGATTATATAATGTTCTCTTTCTGTTCGTTGCCCGAACGCGTTTACTCGAACGCGTTTTCTACGTATGCATGTGACGATCATGTAAGGGTTGGAATTTGAAAATACATATAATGGTTGGATGTTTTCAAACGACTGTGCGTATTCATTTCTCCCTTCCTTTCCTTCCCGCGCGCGATGCGACGAGTTCAGAGCCGTTCGAAGCGGTCGTTTCGATTTTGGCCAGCTGCATGGAGTCCTACGAACCGAGATAACACTCTCAGAAGTATTTCGTGAGATCGAGTTTTAAGATGGACGTCGTACCTGTCGATTCGTGGCCGAAAGTTTTGAACGTAGAAAACCGCGTACCATCGGAGTGTATAATTTCTCGTCGCCCGATTTGGGCACGTTCCCACCGGTGATCCAAGAGACGAGAACACCGAGGATAATCGCGGTTAGAAATCCGACCCACGTGTACCAGAGGTAGGACATTCTATATAGGAAAAAGAGTTGCTCGCTGGAAACGAGAAAGGGAACGTGTTAAAAAAAACAGGACGCGGTCGAGGGACTTGCGTTACTTACGACGTCGCATTTTCAGCGATTAGGGTAAGATTGTTGACGCGGTTTTTGAGCGCATCCGGACATCCGTCGATGGATATCGGCTTGACGGAATAGTTTATATCCCCCGTAGAGATTGCTGCTTGGGTACCAAACGAGATCCAGGCGACGAGGTTCAGACTGACCAGTCCACCCACCAGCGCCCCCTGTTGCGGTTCAAACAACCGACGAAAGATCGGAAGAGGAGCAGAGAACGAGATTGAACATACACGATGATTGATAAAGGCTAATGGACGCGACGTTTCTTACCGCGGAGTTTGCAAACGGAAAGAACATGCCTAGGGTGAACATTCCGAGCAAAGGTCCCGCTGTTATCCCTGATAAACTCCTGCAAGCCTGCCGTGACATAATAAAAATTGATCGAAACGAGCGTTGTTTCTTTTTCTCGACTTATTCTTAACACCAGATCGCCCGCGGAAGTCATTTCGACTGCTTTTTAATTTCAATTAGAGACAAAAGATTAAGCTAAAGTAGCACTTGTTAGTCGAATCCTTATGAAGTGATACTTGTTCCAACAAGTTGTTTATTTTATTTCTTTTGCGCCCTAAATTAATTTTAAACAAATTTCTTTCACGATGCAGTAATTTTGACTGCTTTTTGGCAATATATACTAAGTTTCAGTCCTTCTAGCGTTAAAGATAGAATCGATTGTACCTAATACACTCTGTACGCGGAGAAAAAAGGGGAAAGATTCACCTGTATGAGTCCAGTGAGTTTCTCGACGAGGAAAACAAGCCCTACGCAGATAGCACCGATCACGACCACGATCCCCTGCATCGTTCGACTGGCCGTTACTTCCGAGACGGGGTTGCGGAACCACGGTTTAATCATGTCCCCGTATATCACTCCGGACATAGAATTCAATCCCGTGGACATGGTACTGAAGGGAAAGAAAGGTAATGCGTTTGAATCTGTACGTGTGTAGAAAGGGGTTGGTGAAGAGCATACGAGAGAGCAACGCCTCTGGTGGCGATTACGAGAAGTAACGTCGCGCGAGTATAAAAAATACGACTAAATTACCTTAACGCGGCGCTGAACACACCCGCGACGAAGAGTCCTGGTAGCCCGGGGATCGATCCGGTCATCTCCATCACGAAATACGGCAGCAGTTGGTCCGGTTTCCTTATTCGCTGAAAGTGAACGCATCGATGGAAATCGATAGAGACGATCGAGGGTTTTATCGCGTTACCTTGGTGGTGACGGGATCGCAGTCGTAAAACGCCGCGAAAATGACGAGACCGGTGTAGCAACTCAACGAGACTATGATTATTATGCCGATGGTCATTATCACGATCGTTCTGAAAGGTAGGAGTAGAAAAGAGGTGTAGTATCCGCTGGAACCGAACGAGGGGAATCAACTTACGCGTTAGCCTTTTTGAGGTTAGGCATAGAGAGGCATCGTTGCACCATCGACTGATTCACCGAGCAATTTGCCAACCAATTCAAGTAGCCACCGACAGCCACTGTCCAGAACGTGTGTCGAGCTGTTGGGTCCGGGTTCATGCTATCGCGAAGGAAAGGAAATGGTGTGAAATGAAGCCAAAGGGTGAAGAGGAGTGGTTTTCTTACTTGAAGAATTCGATTCTCCCTGTGTCGCGATTTCTTTCCCAGACCCGTTCGATTCCACCTATACGCATCGTACCGAGTGTAGCGACGACCATCACGCCCCCGAACATCACGATCGTCTGGATAGCGTCCGTCCACACGACCGCCTTCAATCCGCCCTGTAAAATGCATCGTGTGTCGTCTGGCGCGCGAACGCCGAGCGCGAGGGGGATGTCTCGAGTGTATAGGGGCTCGGAAGATCGGCGTTTCTTCGCATTCCTCTCACCAAAGTAGTGTAGAATATGCAGACGGCACAGACCAACAGGGCCGTCGCGTGGAGGTTCATTCCTGTCACTTGATTGAACGCCAGCGCGGGGACGTATATCACCAGCGGTATATAGAGTAGCTGGAAAGCGAGAAACACACATGTGGGTGTTCGAGGCGTTGTTCGTTCGAGACGAGGCTTTTTTATTTACCATTTTTATCAAAAATATCACCGAGCCCGTCAATCGAACCGCGTTGTTGAACCTCAGATTTAAGTACTGAAACCGGGAAGAACGAGTAGAGAGGCAATTCCGTCGAAGATTAAAGTAAAGTGGACGCTGTGATACCTCGTAGGAAGAAGTGATCCCAAGACCGTAGAAGACGGGCAGATAGACGACGGCCATTGTTACGGGGACGCACAGATCGGCGAAGAGGATGCTCCAGTATTGCGTACCGTAGACGTACATTTCGGCGGGCAGACCGAGGATCGCTATTCCCGATATGTAGCTGAAAATCGAACCGAGGAAATTTCAACCCTCAACCCTTTGCGCACCGTGTGATTCGACATTTTTTTAAGTCCAAACCGAGGAGATATCGTACACTTGGAAATTAGAAAAATACAACAATGATGTAAATAAAATAGATATTTAATTGAATTTGTTTTGTTCCTTTATTTGTCTAAATTTGTTTAATTTGAAAATTAAAAAATACAACAATGATGTAAATAAAATAGATATTTAATTGAATTTGTTTAAATTTGTATAATTTTATAACTTTATAATTTTATAAATTTATAATTTTATAACTTTACAATTTTATAATTTTATAATATTATAATTTTATAATTATGGGGAATACCAAAAGGGGCCAGTCAAGAACAACGCGAAGAGCTTCTCTGCGAAAGAATCCACATTCGATGTTTATTCTCGATCGTCTCACTTTTACACTTTTCACCGCAATCCCACGTGTTTCCAAAAACCTGACTTCCTCTTCTCCCATGCGCGCGCAGGACCCTTTAGAAACTAGTCCCGAGGAAGTCAACTTCCTTACATTTGTTTAATTTGAAAATTAAAAGATACAACAATGATGTAAATAAAATAGATATTTAATTGAATTTGTTTGCTCCTCTATTTGTTTAAATTTGCCCAATTTGAAAATGATAAAATTCAACAATATTGTAAATGAAATAGATATTTAATTGAATTTGTTTGTTCCTTTATTTGTTTAAATTTGTTTAATTTGAAAATTAAAAAATACAACAACGATGTAAAAATAAAATAGATATTTAATTGAACTTGTTTGTTCCTTTATTTCTTTACATTTACCCTACTTTTTAGCTAACGTAAATTTCAAATAAAACACTTAAAATCGTTGGAAGCTGCTGGTACCAAAATTCAAATATAATTCGGAGTGCAAAGGGTCAAAGATTGATTTCCATTTACAGATTCGATAACCACCGACACTGAATAAAATAATTAATCGAGAGTTGAACTCCACTCAAGGGTTGAAAACCATAATTCGAACAAATACAAACATAACGAAACATAACAATTAATTTTCACGGAAGTAGAAGTCGCGACGCGCCGGAAGCGGATGCGTTACCCTCCATACTCGCGTCAGCTGGGTTACCTGGCAATCAGAGACATGCTTATGGGAAAGATGGACATCTTCTGCCCGCCCAATAAATATTCTCCAACCGCGTCGGTGGTTTTCCTCGACTTGTACGCCTGATAGACTCCGATCACAGTAGAGATTCCCAGCATCCCGGCGAACACAGCGAAATCGATCGGATCGAAGGATCGATGGGTGGCTGTGTCGTCAGCCCGATCCATAGTTCTCTCGTTTCTTTCGACGCGGTTTCGCGATTGTAACGAGGACTAGAAAGATATCCGCGTATCGCGAGCAAAGCAGTCGTCTCGGTCGAAAACGGTGCGTTTCTAAGCCGTGAAACCGTGGACGACCGCGACGATTAAACCGGACCGACTTGGGGAGGCGATTGAATAATTGGATATTTCGTAGTTATCGTTCCCACTCCGCTTCCTCGGCAGCTCGTCCTCGTTCTTCTCCTCCGTCCATCCGCCAGCGCGATCGCTCTGCCGTGATTTCCTAAAATCGAATCCTCCGCTCGAAAACACACTCTTTCGTGGACAGCCATTTAACGAAATTGCCTCTTTCCCTGCCTCTGTTTGCCCGTTCGGTCGCGTTTACTCGCCTATCGACTTCCTTTTACCCTTGTCCCAAGGCCTCCGTGAAATCATTTTACTCACTCACTTACTTATGATTCTCTATGTTATTCGAACGCCTAAGATACCCTTCACTGCGATACCAAGTCTTTCTTCACTATATAGCAATTGTTTTATACGCGTTTCATTCGGTATCTCACTCTATACATATAGTCGATAAGCTGACTTCATCAAAGACGACAAGATACCACTGCAATTGGGTTCATATGAGGCCTCAAAATTATCAATTTTTTTCCCCCACTTCATATTTAAGAATGTACTGTTAAATTTTGAGAGATAAATAGCGATTGTTTTATGAAGCGTTTCATTCGGTATCTGACTCTATATAGTCGATAAGCTGACTTCATCAATGGCGACACGATACCATTGTAATTGGACTGCGTTTTATTTAACACTTTGACTGCCACGTGACCCATATGTGGGTTACAGAACTTTAAACAGTGAAACTAAAACAATTAATTTTCAAGTTAAAATGTCAAAGAAAATCATTAATTTTATTAATAAAAATGTGAATTTGCATAAAGATCCGCAGTCTAATCATTTATTGTATTCCTTCCCTGAATCACCATCACTATTAAAAATTTTATCTTTGAACGGTGGAATTACGGAAACTGGACCAAGCAAATAAGCAAAAAGGACGTGTTTTCGATCGACGACGGGTCCCTAAAATCGATTAATCGATCCGCGACGATGGCGGTTACGCTTCAGCGAGGTTTGTTTACGCGGATCGATTTCCACGCGTGGAAAGTAAAATCGGCCGCTCCCTCGAGGGATCCTCGAAGGGCTACGGGTCGTTGGTCAGTCTCGCGAGAGATCCGGTGCTCGAGGGATAAAAATGATCGCCGCGATCTCAACGATGTTCGTCGGTTTCCTGATACTCTGTGAACGAGCAACGAGCAAAGGCAGCGCGATGTACGCTTACGCGAACGTGACGGGGGACATCGTGCTGGGCGGATTGTTCCCGATCCATCGCCGGGGCAGCGACGGAAGTAGCTGCGGCGAGATCCAGGCAAGTCGCCAGGCCACGAGATAAAGCGAGAACGAATCGATCACTCGTAGGGTTCGTTGGTTTAGCTCGAGGACGGGATCCAGCCGCTGGAGGCCATGCTCTACACCCTTGGACGCGTCAACGACGACCAGAACATTCTACCGGGCGTACGCCTCGGCGTTCTGGCCTTCGACACCTGCGACAATCCTAGCTACGCCCTCGAACAGGCGTTCTACTTCGTCAAAGGTAACGGAGACGCAAGTTGCAAAGAGATCTAGATCGTTACACGTTGGCCTCCATGTTTCGTAGGCTTCATCGCGCGAGATAACCAATTAGCAAGTTCTCCGGAGTATCTGTGCAACGATGGAACCGTGCCAAAGTTCATGAACGGAGGATTCGAGGATGTGGTCGCGGTGCTGGGTGCTCAATCGAGCTCTGTCACCATTCAGGTGAGATCGTTGCTGGGTTCTGATTAACTTGGGTCCATTGGTTCCGTCTGTGTAAATATGCTCCTCAAACGACTCCTTAAACGACTATCCTGGCGTCCAAGGCAGAGGGTCTGCTAGGATGCCTCATCGACGAGTCCCTATTATTAAGGTGAGGTCGTTGCTAGGTCCTAATTAACTTGTGGGGGTCCATTGCTTCCATCTGTGCAAATACGCTCCTCAAACGGCTCCTTAAACGACTATCCTGGCGTCCAAGGCAGAGGGTCTGCTAGGATGCCTCATCGACGAGTCCCTATTATTAAGGTGAGGTCGTTGCTAGGTCCTAATTAACTTGTGGGGGTCCATTGCTTCCATCTGTGCAAATACGCTCCTCAAACGGCTCCTTAAACGACTATCCTGGCGTCCAAGGCAGAGGGTCTGCTAGGACCCCTCACCAACGACTCCCTATCATTTAGGTGGGATTGTTACTAGGTCCTGATTAACTTGTGGGGGTCCATTGCTTCCATCTGTGTAAATACACTCTTCAAACGACTCCTTAAACGACTATCTCAGCGTCCAAGGCAGAGTCTGCTAGAACACCTCACCAATGAGTCTCTATCATTCAGATGAAATCGTTGCTAGGTGGTTCTGATTAACTTATGGGGTCCAGTTGGTTCCATTTGTGTAAATACGCTCCTCAAACGACTCCTTAAACGACTATCTCAGCGTCCAAGGCAGAGTCTGCTAGAACACCTCACCAATGAGTCTCTATCATTCAGATGAAATCGTTGCTAGGTGGTTCTGATTAACTTATGGGGTCCAGTTGGTTCCATTTGTGTAAATACGCTCCTCAAATGACTCCTTAAACGACTATCCCAGCGTCCAAGGCAGGATTTGCTAGGATGCCTCACCAACGAGTTCCTATCCTCCTTTTTCCGTTTCTAGCGCCGGATCCTGAAGTTGTAATCGTCTATTTCGCAGGTGGCCTCGGTGCTGGCGTTGTTCTCGGTTCCGCAGATCTCCTACATGGCCACGACGCCTTTCCTGAGCAGCAAGGAGAGGTTTCCTCACTTCTTTCGCACGGTTCCCAGCGACGTGAATCAGGCCCGCGCCATGTTGGAAATTCTACGGTGAGCGAAGAAGTCGTGGATTCAACGACGCCGTTGATCGTTCGTAAATACAGTGAAAACTCGATAAATGTCGTTACTTCTACTATTGTATCAAGTACAATATTTAATTCGATATTATGCCAACAAATATTGATCGATTTGTATCGCGTTTGGTCTCGTTTTAATTAGAAAAATATCCCCCGCGTGATAGTAAAATTTTGATTGAAAAAAAAGTAAAAAATAACAAAACTTTCTTCTTGTACAGTAGTGTGGTCACACTGACAGGGGCATTTAACAAAGATGACGAAGGCAATAAAGGGTTAGGTCTGGGTTAGGTCTGGCTTAGATCTGTGTTAGATCTGGGTTAGGTCTGGCTTAGATCTGTGTTAGATCTGGGTTAGGTCTGGGTTAGGTCTGGCTTAGATCTGGGTTAGGTCTGGGTTAGGTCTGGCTTAGATCTGTGTTAGATCTGGGTTAGGTCTGGGTTAGATCTGGATTAGATCTGGGTTAGGTCTGGGTTAGGTAATTTTTTATATATTTTTGAAATGAAGAAATCCTCTACGTCTCCGGTTACACTTCGCCTCGCTGTTTTACGAGGGATCCCCCTACTGGCGAGGATAAAAATGTATAATTTATGGTACACCTCTTCAGGACATTTATCGAGTTTTCACTGTACGTATGTATTTGCAAGCGCAGGCGATTCGAGTGGTCGTACGCGTCGGTGATCTACTCTGACTCTGAGTACGGCGACCATGGCTACGAGACGCTGGCATCATTGGCGTCCGAGTACTCCGTTTGTTTCACGGGGCCCCATCGAATCAGCGAGGAACGGTTCACTGCTGAGGATTACGACGACGTGGTCCGCACGATCGCCGAGAAAACGGAGGTTCGAGGTGAACAGATCTCTCTCTCTAAACGATACAACAAGATACCCAATGATCGAGTGTTCACGAGAGTTCTGATGTTTCAGTGGTGGTGCTGTTCGCGGAAAAGTCCACGACTCTTCGCGTTTTGGAGGCGGCGCGACGCGTGGGCGTCGGCTCGCGGTTCGTCTGGCTGGGCAGCGACTCGTGGCCGGACCGGAAGGACGCCGACATCGAGGAAGCTTCCGTGTTGGAGGGAGCACTAGCTGTCCAACCTCTCTACGCGCCGCTCGCGGGTTTCGATCGCTACTTTACAAACTTGACCTTCGATCACCGGAAGATCGATCCTTGGTTTAGCGAGTTCTGGCAAACTTATCATAATTGCGACATGGACGACAACCTATCCCCGAGTTCGAAGGTAACCAAAGGAACAAATAATCAGGATAGCCTCGTCGATACCGATAGATCGTTAAAAGTAGCATGATTCGCGTAGCAGTCGAGGATTCGCTGCACGGATCCCAGGCTGAGGATCGAGCGGAGCACCGGGTACAAGCAACGGAGGTTTCTCCACTTCGTTCGAGACGCTGTATACGCCGTAGCGTATGCCCTCGACGACGCTCGACGCCATCTTTGCGGCAAAGATTACATCGGGGTTTGCAACGAGATGCGAGCCCTGGACGGGGAACATTTCGCTAAATATCTAGCCAACGTCTCATTCCAAGGTAAACGAAAGGGTATTTAGGTCTCGCAGATCCGGTTGTTACGGCTCATTTTTAAGGGACGTCGAGGGCAATTAGCTCGACGATATTTCGTTTTCAAACGACTCATGATAGGGACTTAAGAGGGATGGTTGCAAGGACACGATCCAGACGCCCGTCGATGGCTGGTGATTCCAAGTCACGCAGCTATCGGGCGTCATAGGATTGCTTGTTGAAAGGAAACGTAGGGTATGTTAGAAAAAGGCAAGCGACTCGTTGTCTTGCTTTAAAGAATAGGAACTCTGTTCCTTAAGGATCTGGGGAAGGCAAGGGTGCCTTCTGGTAAGAGGACTAAGCTTCACCTCTTGGCACTTACCCCAGAACTGAGTAGAATTGTTCTTGCAAAATATCTAACACGGTGGTCGTCGATCGATCACTATCCTTTCGTTTCAGACGAAGCTGGACAAGAATTCGAGTTCGTGAACGCGGTAGATGGACCACCCAGGTACTCGATCCTGAACTATCGACGAACAGCGAACGGTTCCTACCGTTGGGTGGTCGCTGGGAATTACACTTGTAAGCAAATGTACAATGTCGAAGAAACAGCATAATTCTACGTAGAATACAAATTTAGTCGGTTTGAACGGGCAGTGAACGAGCAAGATCGAGCAGAACTTCGTCTGGATCGCGAACGCGTCAGGTTTCGAGGCGATCGTGGCGATTTCCCTACTTCATCGTGCTCTCGACCATGCGACTCTCGTCGTATAGTGGTCAGAGCAAAGGAGGATCCCTGCTGTTGGACGTGTCAGAGTTGCAGTCCCTATCAGTACAAGAAGGACGAGCAGAGGTGCGAGGATTGCAAGCTGGGCACCAGACCTACCAAAAACGGAACCAGCTGCGAGCCGATTCCCGAGCAATTCGTGGACCACTCGAATCCCTGGGCCATCGTCGCGATGGCGATCGCCGTTTCCGGTAAACTGTACCCTTGCAAACGCCTCGACCCACTTCTTAACCCTTTGCACTCCTATGTCGAGTGTGATTCGACGTCAATTTTTATCTCAGGAGCTCCTTCGTCAAACTCGACATTTTTTCAAGTCCAAAGAGATATCTTTCTTCTCTGAAGAGACGTCCAGACCTAACCCAGACCTAACCCAGAGCTAACCCAGATCTAACCCAGATCTAACCCAGACCTAACCTTTGGTAGCCACCACGACAGATGATTTTTACCGAATAAATGAATTAACATCGATGATCTATCGCAGGAATGGCGCTGACGACGTTCGTTTGCTGGGTGTTTTGGCGGTATCGAGAGACACCGATGATCAAAGCATCGGGTCGAGAGCTCTCCTTCTTGCTCTTGCTAGGCACCTTTGGATGCTTCTCGATCACGTTTGCAGTCGTGGCGAAACCCAGCGTCGAGAGCTGCGCCGTCGTACGATTCGGTATAGGATTCTGTTACACGCTTTGCTACGCGGCGCTCGCGACGAAGATCAACAGGATACACAGAATATTCAACGATCCTGGCTCGAGTCCCCGCAAAAGACGGTAAACGATCCACGAAGATCCTCTCTTCTTTTTGTCTTTAACGCCCATTTTCTCGCAGCAGGTACACCAGCCCCAGTTCTCAGCTGACGATCGCCTCGATCCTCACGCTCGCTGAAATCCTCTTCGACGCAGCCTGGTTGCTCAAGCAACCACCTGCAGTGATCCACTCGTATCCCATCAGGGACGCGAACTTGAGGATTTGCAGGGGCTCCGAGAACGGATCCTATGTGACTGGTTTGCTCTATCCATTCCTGTTGACTGGTAAGCGATCCACCGTTGTTTTTACCCTGGTAAAATACTCTTCGTTACTTGAAACATTTGTCATCTTTCAGTGGTTTCCACCTTCTACGCGATCAAGACCAGAAAGTGTCCCGAGGGGTTCAACGAGACCCGTCGTATCGCTTTTGCAAACTACGCGACCATCGTTTTGTGGATGGCGTTCGTGCCCCTTTACTTGGCCTCGACCAGCAACGTCGTCAGGGTGATCACGTTGGCGCTCTCTTTATCCCTGAACGGGCTGGTTCAGCTGCTCTGTCTATTTCTGCCCAAAGTCTACGTGGTGCTGATCAAACCGGAAAAGAACACCAGAGAGCTGGTGATGGCTAGGCACGCTGGATCCTCTCATCCCACCGCGACGGCCACGCCGGAACCAACCTCGGTTTCACCGTGCCACGTAACCAGAGCCAACTCGTCCTGTTAATTACAATTGTCCAATTGTCTTATAAAACTTGTACGAAAACATCGCAAAATCGTCAGTAAAGCCGACTGAAAACGTCCCCTTATTTTGTTCCAACGTAACACGTATCATACAAATCGAAACGAACCCTTTTCATTCAAATGTACGATATATTTTATTCGTGTACAAACTACGATGTCGACGATGAGGAATACTTAAAAAATTAACAATACCCGTTCGAGCAACGATCTCCGGCGTCGACGTAAAACGATGGTCGAGAAATCGCGCGGGATCGTTTCGAGGGGTGAGTTTGGGGGGGTGCAACAATCGAGTACGCTACTTACGCGAACTTATGCTAAGGACAGCGGGCCGAGAGACGCTCCAACGAACAAATCGATCGAGGGAGGGGACGAGTCGAACTTGTATAATTGTTTAAATATCTTTCTATAAATTTTCATTCGATTTGGGGAGACGCGACAATGGCTGACCGTCGCGTCCAGTCCCTCCGTGGTCGATCGATTTATTCCTGGGTCTCGCGCGTACCGTCGCTGACCTATACGAAGCACGCTCTCGTTGCCGTAGAGGCGTCAAGCTTCGCTCGAAAGGCCTTTCGTGGACGGAACGACTGATAAGGATTTGCGACGGGTCGCGTGCGCGACGATGCACGCGCTATTAAGTACTTAACGTTACTCTATGTACAATTTCGATCGTGGAAAGAGATTTCTGTTAAAAGGAACTCTCGCGATTCGTCCTGATTTGAACGGACTCCGGACTCGGGGTCATAGCCGGATTATCGTAAGCGTAATCGAGAGTGGTGTCCTCGCTGGGATGTCTTCCGGACAGAGAGGTGCTCGTGGTGTTTGGCGTCCCGTTATCGATCCCGATTCCACTTCCACTTCCGTTTCCACTTCCGTTTCTACTTCCGTTTGCATTTGCGTTTCCCACCACCCGCGAAGGAGCTACGCTAGCGCTGATCGTTGGCATAGCTAACCTCAAACCATTCTGTCTGCTCGTGCCCATCTCCGGATCGTCTTGAGCTCTGTTATTTTTCTTGTTGTTGTTGTTGTTGATGTTGTTGTTGTTGCTATGGTTATTACTATCGTTGGCGTTGCGAGCAGTCTGGAAAAATAAGGCGATCAGCGACAGACGGACCGAGCGGACGTTTCGCGAAACTGTTGGCCGCTAACCTTTACCCAGTTGCCGGTAAACGCGCGACGAAACGCGCCTCGCAGCTTTTTCCACTTGGCGAACCTCGTGGTGAGCAGGTACAAAGTCGTCAGCAACGAGACGAGACCCACGGCGATTGCTATCGCGACGAAGATCCATAATCTTCGAACCTCCCCTACGAACAACGGTTATATTGAAAATCGAAAGGACAGGAGCAACGACTCTGGTGTCCTCGAGCGATCTCCGTTTCCACTTACCTCGTAGGTCCTCGTACTGCTTCAAGAGAACGTATCGCTTGTCGTGCAGATATTCTGAAACCGAAAAACGGTAGTTTACGCATCGAAGCGAACAGTGTTTTCCAGCGACTCGTAGGCACGCGTGAAAAAGAAATCGGACCGAGAGGATCGAGAAAGTTTGTTGCGGTCGGTGGGAAGGTTAGGTTAGCTTCCAATTCGCCGAGGAAGAGCTAGAGTGAGAGGGACTTAAGAGAAGGTGAAGGAGAAAAGATGAAAGGACGAAAGGGAGTGAAAGAAAAGAAAAGAAAAGAAAAGAAAAGGAAAGAAGGAAGGCAAGCACAAGCGGTCGGATGGGTGAGTCATCGAGCGCGTTCGCGTGTGGGAAGTCGACGGAGGGACGGACGGTGGTCAGGTGCAAAGTCAACGGACTCGAATCTACCTTCTATTCAGGTGTACGGCGTAAGCCGGTTGGCCTACTACCTGCGCTTTTCTTCGATCGATTCGAAAACACGGATGCACGTACGCTATACCTTCCGACCATAGACTCGCGGCGACCGAAAGTCGATCGTTTTCGATCCGTAGAGGGGCATAGAAGAATCGTCCGAGCGACGGTTTGCTACGATAGGATGCGATGCTTATGCTTACCTTGACAATCGGAAAGACACTCGACCGGCTGGTAGTTGGAACTATCGGCGTCGCAAATGGACGAGCACGGTTTGCAGTGTTCGACGTAACGGTTGCAGTACTCGACGGTGGAGCAACGGTTCCCGCCGCACATCACCCCCTCCGGAGATAAACCCCCTGCAGTGTGACCCACGACCACCAAGCCCAGAACGATCCACACCAGCGGTCTTTCCATCTTTCGAAGGCGTCTCCGATTCGCGACTGTTTATCCCGAAAGGATTACCTCCTAACGTTGCTCCACCGAAACATCGTGCAGAGTCGCGTTTCTCCTGAAACAAACGGATAACATTGTACAGTCCCTGTTGGGTCTGTTCGAGGATACGGAGACGAGTGTTTTGCTATGAACGCTCGAAAAGGAGTGCATCGGATGTGTGACGGGATGCACCGAGAAGGAACGAAAAGGCAAACTGCAACGTGTGACTCATCGGTGGTGTCGCGAAACGAACCAGTTCCGAGCGCGATCGTCGTTTCGATCGCCACGGAATCTTCGATCCATTCGCCCGAGGAAATACCGATGCGTCACAGAGTCGCTACGTGCACCATGCGTTTCGTCGCGGTTCCCAGCTGTCCCCGTTCTTCCTCGATCCTCGACTCGCCGTCGGTATCCTTAGGATTCTGCGAATACTTTTAATGTCATCGCGTCGACTCTCGCAAAGACCACCGACACCTTTTTGTAATTAAACCGCGTTTTGGAATGGGGCTCAAGACTTTCGAGAAGGTGTTTTGTTTCAGAGGACCACGAGCCCGAACTCTATGTAGACACTGACCAGTAATGATAAATAAATTTATTATTCCTAACCTGTTGCTTTCATTTAATTTATTCTTCACCCGAATTCTCCGTCTTCTCGAAAGTTGACGGTGAGGAACAGTCAATTTTCGAGAAGAGAACTCTTCCGTTCTGGTACCGGCGCCATATTGGACCGCGACTTTCCAACGAACCGATCGGCGATCGCGACGCCATTCAAAATGGCGAACACAATACCGAGACGCGGGCAGAGTGGGGGAAACAGCATGCAGTCAACCGTTTCCGATATTTTTTTATCGCGCAAGGATCTCTCTCTCTCTCTCTCCCTCTCTACGTTCGTTAACACTTGAGGCAATTAACATACGAGATAAAATGCCAATATCAAGAAACGTAATAAATATGGATGTGAAACTGTTAATTTGCTTTTTACATTACAATTACCATAACAGTGCCACTCGAAAGAAATAGACTGCGATCGTTTGGTGCGTCAGTGCGCCTAATATAGGTATAGAAATGCAACTTTGTACCGATAATGCTTGGCGTTCGTCTAGTAAAGTCGAACGGTAGGCAAGGAGGAGAGAGAAGAAACGATAGTCGGTGCCAGGTACTGCGAGATACCAGGTGGACGCGGTCAACGAGGTCGATGAGTCGAGGCGCGTCCATCGGGGAACGCGATAACCTTTATAACCGATGTCGAGCTTTGGAGAAACTAGGAAACTGGGAAACCGTTGCGTCGCGTCGAGATGCCGGATCGTAGCCGCGCGGCTGATCGACAGGAATGTTGCCCGACCGGTTTCGACGACAGCTTCTAGCCAGGCGTCAACTACGCGCCGCTACAACAACCGTATAGTTTAAAAGCTCGCGACAAAGAAGCGAACGATTTTTGTCGATCGTTTCGTTTCGATTTTTACCAACGGTTTCTCAATTTCCAAGGAGGATTTGAGGATCTTACTTGGTACGAGCAGGGGGCGAGATCGTTCGACTTCGGTCCAAAATCGACGGATGATAGGATCGGTCTGCGAGGCGAGGCGCTCGCATGTCGCCGACTTCCGATCGCCAACAGCTTTCGATGAAACCGACGGACACTGACGACACCTTTACGCGCGAAATGGTCGCGTTCGACTGACGATCACGAGCCTCCGCGTTCCTACCACCACGCAACCTTTTTCCTCTTGCCTGCCTCGCACCTGAATTCCACCTCTCCGACTATGACCACCGTCCCCCGTGCCCTCTTAATAGCTGCACCTCCCCCTGCCGTGTACCTGTTCGTTGCTCCGTCCCGTCTCGCCTCACCTCGCCACGGTTGGATTCGAGCATCGCCCGACTTACCTGTTGCGGGCAGAATCGTTCGTTTCGTTGTGTTCACCTCCAAAAACCATAGAATTTTTGCTGTGCAAATATCGCGACACACTTCTTTTTTTTTTATTTATCTACTTGTCCAAACGATATGGCTCGTTAGAAATTTGATTATTATACGTAATGTCACCCACAACTCGTATAATATTAACCCATTGCACTCCTATGTCGAGTCCCATTCGACATTTTTTTCCAAACCAGAGATATCGTATACTTGAAAATTACAAAACACAACAACAGTGTAAATAAAACAGATATTCTAATAAATTTCAAATAAAACACTTAAAAGCGTTGGGAGCTGCTGGTAACAAAATTGAAATATAATTCGGAGTACAAAGGGTTAATTCCTTAAATATCGCGATTATACTGTATTTCATTTGGAAATAGTTTTCATGGGAAAGTAACGCAGGTTTCAGCGGTGCATGACGGGAAGCCTACCTCGCGGGGGGGCGAGAGGAGCTCAGGCTCGTGTTCACGCACCGAATCGACCACGTTCATCAAAACGCGAGTAGCTCGTGATTTATTTCGACGAAGGGAAAGTCGAAAGGCCACAGTGCTTCTATTCACGTGTTTTACTGCATATTAAATGTTCGTACAAACGTATAACAAGTAAATTGAAGATTCTCTACGCTTAGATTTACATTACGAATCGTTATCCGCCGTCCGGTTACCCGTGATTCGATTTATCGAGATCGCGATGCTCGACGTTCGACGTTCGACGGAACGCAGTCATCGATTTCTGTTTGTCGATCGCGAGGGTCGAGTCGCTCTCGACTGCTTCTCGATAGATGCCGTGCGCGGTGCATCGATGGACACGCGCGCCTGCGCGTGCTCGTTTCGAACGTTCGAAAAGCGGGAATGATGCGCGAAACAAGCTTCGAGGCGATTACGCGATAGTTGGCATGCACGAAAGAAACAAAGTGGACGTTGAACGCGAGTGTGCGTGATTCTCCATGCTACAGACGGGAATAAGAAATTGCATAAATCGCAGAACACTTCGTGTAAATTGGATTTACGAGCAATTGGATTTTCGAACGATCGATGACCGGGAATAGAAATAAGAAACACAACACGTCTTACGTTCCGTGGCATGTTTGCGTTTTATTGTTTTTTTTTTTTCTTTGCTGTTTCGTTTAACGAACGTCGAGCGAGCCGCGCAACGAACTCGAATTCGGCCCACGAGGGCCTCGGTTCCCGCGGATACGTGCATCGACTTCTGCGTCCATGTTCGTACAAAATATATTTTATCGTAACAATTGCTATCCATAATAGTCGTCTTAATGATAAAATCGTTGTCGTCCGCGACAACGACTCCGTCAGTCTCTATCGTGTTCAGCGAGCACTGTTCTCGTATCCAGCTTGTCCGTCGCGTCTCCTCCTCCTCTTTCCGTCGGGGCTCGATCGTCGTCGCGGCGCCTTGGTAAAAAAAAATCAAGATTGACCAACCGCAGTCAAAGTCGATTTTTAGATCGTCGGCGTGACGCGAACGAACGCGCTCGCGGGTCGAGCGAAAAAAGAAGAAGCGTCGCGGCGTTTAAAAAGGTAACAGAAAACCCGGAATCGTGGTTTCCATGCGGCGACGAGAATAGAACGTTTGCTGGAACGCGTTCGCCTACGGGCAGGATCGCTGCTGCCCTCGTAGCCGTCGATCGAACGAAACTTTCGTTGTCTTGGGGTGCTCGAGCGGCAAAGTTGGACGATATCGACTTCCTCCTCCGGGTCACGGACCCCTCTGTTCCCTCTGCACGCGGTGCATTCGTTCATCGTGGTCCGTGGAAAGGGGAAAATCGCGCTACAAGTTCCAGTCGGTGTAGCTGCACAGGCACAAACTCCAGCAACCCGATCGCGACGGGCGAACGTTTGCGCCCCCGTTTGGCCGTGGACCGCGCGAAACGAGTGGCTCGTCGAGGCTGTCGGGCCGCTGGAATTCCTATCCTCAGATGCTCCCTTGGCCCTCGAGGCTCGTTGGATTCTCGCAGGCGGTCGCGACGAATCTGTGACAGGGCTCGGGCGGCGACGGCGACGCTCTCCCGTCCTCCGCCCTCGGTACGGGCACCGGCACGCCGTTCTGCACATAGTGGGTCAACCTCGTCGGCAACGAGCCCGCGTTCAGCTGGTAGAATTCGATCAGCTGCAGCAGATCGTAGAACTTGGTCACGCCCTTGTCCAGAGTGTACAGCCAGCAGTTGCATCGTTCGTCGAATACCTGAAACGTCCACGATTTTCAAGGTGTTCGTTACCAACCTGGGGTTTCAACAGGTTTTCACTGTCTGTGACCCGTATATGGGTCGTACCACGCGCTATCGGACACGTCGCTGGGGAGATTGGACAGTAGACCTGTTTGCTTCTAACCCTTTTAGTGCCGAACGACGATATACACGACGAAAAAAAATTCCTTACCGAAAATCTAAATTGGAGCCTAAATTTTTCGACGAAAAAAAAATATTTCAAATCGTTCTGGAAAAATTATTTTCGGTCGCGGGGGTCATTTACAATCATTTTTGGTGAATACACATACCCCCGAATAACTACGCACTTTCGAGGAAAAAATTCGAGAAGATACGAAATTTTTCGACAAAATTATAAAATTTCAAATCGTTCTAAAAAAATTATTTTCAGTTGCAGGGATCGATCACAATCATTTTTGGTGAATAGGCATACCCTGGAAATCCTGCGCATTTTCGAGAAAAAAATTCAGTACGGGCGGAACTTTAAACGAATTGATTATTTATTAAATATCATTGAAAAGTTTTTCGCTCGGCACTAAAAGGGTTAACGCGTTCACTGTCCGGACTCTGAGCGGCGTATTCAATAGCGTGGCGGCGTGACCCATATACGTGTCATAGACAGCGAACGTGTTTGCCCAAATTGGCTCGGTATTTTTCGCTCGGCATTAAAAGGGTTAACATCCCCGTACTCACCGGTTGGATTTGCGCGTGAAACACTTTCTCGCTGTATTTGTAGGTCAACACGTACGCCCCCAGGTTGCTCCTGCTCTCGCGGACCAGGAACACGCTGAAACCCAGAACGTGTCGTCAGCGATAAGAGAAAAGCTTGGAGGCATAAACGCGGTTATGGATATTCACCCGTCCACGGAACCGTGATCCCTGACGATCGCCGCCGCGATGTCTCTCTTGAGTCCCCTGTGAAACCAGGGCTGCAAAACGTGGATACCGTCGTCGAGTCCGTGGAGCCTCAGCACCGCGCAGCCGGCCGGCGGTCTCGAGAACGGTCGCCACGTTCGACGCCAGTTGATCCCCTCGCACTCGGCGATGTCTTTGGCCTCTTTCGGATCGTCCACGATTCTCCCGACGCTCCCGGTGAAATCCATAGCTACGCGAGATCGCACCGTTTCCTGGGAACACGGTCCACCAAAAATCATCTTTGGACCAGACGAACACCACTCCGTCACCTCGCAAACACAACTCATCCAAAACATCCTGGTCCAGATTTCTAATCCTTGCTCATCCTGAACCTCGTACCCTGAGTCACACTATCCCTTGACTCATCGTCCTTACATCTCTACCAATAACATATAAACGCCTGCAATACCGACAAAGAGTCTAGTCTTCGGTCGACGTAATAGTTGTACGAGTTTTCATTTTTTAAATAAAGTGTTGGAATCCAACAATCGAACAAACAAAACTTGTTTCAGCGTTACTTAATCTCGTTCCTCCTACTCTATAAGTATTCTTTCCTTCTTTTCCTCACTCGGATCACTATCGACATTGGTGACATATAAGTGCAACACGCATCTGTGTGGGATCCGGTCGAAGAGAGATAAAAAAAAAGAAAGAAAAAAAAGGTGGACTGTTTCGTCCCTGGGCTGCTAGCCGTTTGTTTACGTCTGCTGATTCGTCTCCTACGCTCGAGTTTAAACACACGACGACCACCTGCACCGAGTTTCGGAGAAAAGCGTCTCGATTTCGTCGGGGGAGGAGGGTGGGGGGGGGGGCGTAGAAATAGGGCGCGCGCGCGACGAGTAACGAAATTGGGAGACGGGGGTTGGTCCGATACGGTTGTTGCTAGGCGAACATCGAACATCGAACATCGGACATCGAGGACAACGGACGAAGCTCTCAAGCTGAACAAACGCAGCACTCGAACAAAAATTCACGGAAAACCGGGGACGTTGTTTCCCGGATGCTTCTTCGACTCGAGTTCCGGGTCCGCGAGGTCCGGTGGCCGGTTCGAATGCGCGTACGTTTGAGAATAAGGTGCCGCCGGTACGCCATGGTTTCTCTTCCATGCTCGTTTCGAACGACGCGACACTCTGGCGGGCGAATAGCGACGAGAAACCGTGCAAAAGCTTCCTCGAGAGGGACGAGTAATGCAATGTCAAGGTTGCAGATGCGCAAGCGCGCGGAATCGACCCGGAGATACACGCATGCGCGAACAAGTTTCATCTTCCTGGCTTTAAAAGATCCAACGCGATACAATTATAAATACTTAACTTGGTTGATAACCTATAAAATATCATAAATGGACAACTATTAGAATGACCCAGAGTACCAGGACATATCAATCGCATAGTGTTCGAAAACTACGTATTTTGTAAAATATATTAATTCCATGTTGCTATCGTTACGCTAAACCGTATATCTTCCTATGCAAAAGTCGTGCGGTATAAAATGAAACGATTTTACTTCGTATAGAAACCGCGAAAGAAACTTTCCAACAATTGTTAGAAACGTAGAAATGAAGGAATGCCCGAAGCAGGCCATGTGCTTCTCCTTGGCGCGCCTCCCCCTCTTAAAGGAGGATCGGCCAGAATGTTTAGACAAAGAAGGACCGTACTGTCAAGGGTGCCCTCACGACCCTGGTTTTCTGTCAGGGTTTCTACAGTTTTAGAAAGCAACTCGTGTCGATTTTATTTAAAACGCCCGACCGCTATCCAGATCCTGATATCGAACTTTTCTTACACAACGATAGTCGAAAGAATGAGAATGAACGTAATAAAAGGATAATGGGCTCGTTGAAAAAATCGGGCTATTCGCGTCCGAGTCGGTGTTTTCGAACACTGCAACGCGACGCGTCGCAACGGTCGGTGTGCGCGCGCGTGTACCTTGCGAATGATCGATTAGTTGCCGGCCGGCCGGCCGTCGCTTAGCAACAGTCGATTGCGGCTTTTTTGCTCGGTTTTCGAAACTCTGCTTCGCCGTACGCGAACTCTTCCGGAGACCTCCAACCTCCAACCTCCGACACGCTCCTTCTTTCCAACTTCTCCTCTTCCCTTTCTTCGAGCAACGAAAACAAAAAACGTTCGCAACGGACAACGTCCAACAGCGAAACGATATCGCGCCGGATACGGTTTCCTCGGTGTCCACGACGCTTTTAAACCTTTTAAAACCGTCCGCTCGGACGGAGAATCTGTAAGGGCGAACTCACGTTGGTCATGTCGTATTTGGTGTATCGTTCCTTCGGACTGTCTCCGCTGGTCTGCTCGCACTGTTTGTTCTTGAACGCTCGATAGTTTTCCCTGAGTTGCTTGCCATACTGCGACAGAACGAAATTGCTCGATTATCGGAACGGAATGGGAATTGGACGACGAACGAGATGGGGCAGAGAACCAATGCGTCACTTAGCTTCGAACGACTAAGGTGAATTTTAAAAGACTCCCCTTGCATCTCGAAATCTCGTAACCGTGACGCGAGACGAGCACGAATTTTCTATGCAGGTTGGAACGAAACGCGAGCAATGGAAAGAGAAAGGAAGGAAGATTCGTTGGCGCACGCTTGCCAACGAAGGAACGAACAGTCGCAAGAAACGTTCGCGTAATGTTTCCGCGGTCGAGCAACGAGTATGGACGCGTCGAAAGGCAACGCGGAAGGAAGGCGAAGGAATCGAGATTCTTACCTTGGCGAGTCTCATGGCCGTGAGCCAGCAAACGCGGGACTTTTCACTGTGGAAAGCGATGACCTTGAGCCCGGATTCTCCAGCCTCGGTGCTTTCGGCTTCGGCGTTGCTGGATGGCCTCAAGCAGACGCCCCACTCGAACGGCGCGTTGAAACGCTTTTTAGCGTTCGTAATCCTATATACCGCGTAATCCGACAAGTGAGCGACCGGAGTCAGTTGCCCGTTGTCCTGAAACCAATCGATCACACACGTTATATTATAGCACATTATAATCCGTACCTCCGTTCTATCTGCTAAGCCAAACCGACACCCGAACCAACCGTTACTTTTTCGTCGTTCCTCGTTTTCCGTTAAAACGACAGATACCGCTGCTTACCGTTTACTACGATTCACGAACAAAAATTTCTAACCTCAAAAGATCAATCCCATACAACATTGTTAGATCAAACCGATAGGATAAAAGAATGTAATAAAAAACAAAATGGAAAATTTCGTTTCTTACTACCTTTATTCTCAATCTTTTTTTAAGAACAAAACAGACATCTCTGTTTATTTCAAATTTACAATCGATTCCATCTTGATTCGACGTTTACGTTATATGTATATGTCAATCAATCTGTATATGGATTTTCTATCTAATCTATGCTTACATTTATAATATTATAACTAACAGAAATAATTGTAACGATTTCCAGACGAAAATCGATCGTCCATCTTGTACGAGACGGTGTTCGAAAGTGATTTCTCCACTTTCTTCTTAATCGCAACGCCGCGTTTCATTTATTATCTTTTAGTCGACGAAATGGATCGGAAAAGCAAGATCGAAGATAAAAGTCGATACGTTCGATCCGATCGGGAAAAAAACGGAAACGATTCGGAGGCGTCGAAGCGAAAACGTTTAGCATTCGCGGGTAGAAGTTAGTCACGGTGGAGACCGGAACCGGTTTACGAGTAATTCCAGAAGCGCGGGGGGCGCCCATGGTCGGGGGGGAAATGACGAAAAGACGAAAAGGCAACGTGCAACAAGCTTCGCGTTAAGCGTTAAATTTGTCTTCGAGAAAGAAAAATCGGTACGAAAGGACGTCACGAATGTCACTACGGAAGAAACTAACCTAAAAATGCACAGTTTGCGTGCGTGACCAAATGGATTTTAGGACCCACTTCTCGTTATATCCGTCATATCGTATCAAATGCTTCGATTTAGGCGACACGTATACATATATCATTAGTTAAATGTTATAAATGTAAGCGTTCGAATAGTTTGGTGTACGAGAGATCGTACATCTACATTTCTTTCGAAGTGTTTCCGGTTTTTGCATGCTGATAAAAAGTTGACGATCGTAGATTGGCAGCGCATATATGGGCCACGACGAACACATGTACTACGATTACGGTAATACTACGAGGAACGTATAACGGTAGGCGTTCGTGAAAGCAGAAGCAGCGAAGCGAGGAATCGAGACGTTCGAAGAAGATCGCTTACGAGGAGCGTGGGTGGAGTGGACGAGGTCAACGAAAAGACCGAAGGGAATTTAAAGACGCGACGCATCGAAGAAGAGAGGTCAGAATGATCGTTGAACGTGGATTAAAAATTGTTGGCTCGTTGGATCGTCCCATTTTCCATTTTCGATGGATGAATTTTCGTCGTTGCACGATAGCCTAGCGCGAAAAGGAAACCTTGCGTACGCGCGAATGCATCCGAGCAGCGCTCGTTTATTGGATTCGTTCTAATAGAATTTGCGCTTCGTACGCCAATTTTTTAAACGACCGAACGGAGATTACCACGGTCCGTGGTACCTAGCTCGTCTTTTTTTCTTCGGTTTTATCGATCGGTGGTCGAAATTCGAGACAAGCAATGCCCGTGTCCGTGTTCGTGTTCGCGTCTGCGCCGATATCGCCGGTAATAGAGTTTCGATAGATTTTACGCGTTACTTTAACAATATTCGATTACGGGAAATCCTATTTATCGTATCTAAAACCCTGGATACACCTCCTAGGCGAACAAGAATCGTTGTATATACCGAGATACTTTTGGAACGACGATCGTCGGGTTATTATTTTATGGAAGAAATAACGTTGAATCGTTTCGATCGACGCTGTCGTGACGAGAAGATTAAGAAATCTTTGGATCGAGGGTGTATCGTAGGTGTAGCATCCCTACTCACCGTGACGCAAGTAACGTCAGCGTTTCAGCGGGAAATACGGCCAAACGGTTACGCAGAGGAAACGTCGATCGCTTCGTGGATCCCAGCGACGACAGCGCGACAGCGACAAGGGACGAAGACGGCGTTGGCGATGCCGACCCGATGAACATCGACGAAATAGCCAAACTAGAGAGAAAGAGAAGATAGATACATAGACAGATAGTCAGATAGAAAAATAAAATAGAATTGACGAAAGCTATGGAAATACGGGCAACGGGGAAAGAGAGAAAGAAAGAAAAATATAAAAAAAGATACAGGAAGAGCGAGAAGCGGGTGGTTAAACAAGTCCGCGAGGTACGGTTAAACAAATAAAACGCGAGGATGGTTGCTTTCCAACCAACAACCTCGAAGATGATGTATCGTAAGCGATAAGGAACTCGAGAACAAGAGTAACGCTTGTGGTTCGTGACTCATGATTAGAAGCTGTTTTTCTTTCATTGGAGGCGCGAGAAAATTAAGGGAACGAGAAAACGGTTCGTGTCTGACGCGACATGGGGCTCAGGATCGATTTTACGTACGAAATTCGCGAAACTCGTTTCCCGAGGCTGCGCGATTTCCCTCAAGTACAACGATCTTTCTTCCATAAATATAACAACCCATTGACATATCCTGTAACTATCCTGACGAGTTGCACCAGTTTCTTTTTAAAAGTCTCGTCGATCAGTATTTCTATTTCAATTTTATTAATAATTTTCTATTAAACAGGTCGCAAAACTAAGATGCAAATGTTTGGTAAATTAACGTTAAACTATGCTTGTTCCAACCAATGTAATGTTATCGATCGTATCGATTGCACGTTTAATTTTGAACGCCTCCATTGGACGATCAGTCGAGCCGAGGAGATTAGTTTGTAATCCACGCACTTAAATCGACGGTCCTTTCTGGTTCTTTCCCGAGCGACGGGCTTCTCTGCATCCCCGATTCTATCATTTTTCCCGTTCGAAGAACAATACCGACGTATCGTCGCACTCCGTGCATTTGCGCGTAGGTACTTTTGCCTTCCTTTAAACGAAACTAAAGCTTATTCTGGTTTCACCGGGTGTTCCCTTCCCAACAGCAAATTATCGTTTTCTCGTCAACGGACTCGACCTTCCTCGCGTTTCCTCTTCTCGTTGCGCGAGACCAATGAAACGGAAGGAAGGAAGGAAGGAAGGAAGGAAGATACGGACAGACGTGGAACAGCAAACGGTTGGGTGGTAGGGGCGATAGGGTGAGAGAGAGACGATAATAGGCCAAGCCAGGCTAGGCCAGGCCAGGACTGGCCAGGGGTCGGTGCGGGAAGGGCAAAGGTGGTACGGTGTGGGGTGGAGTCGCGGGAGAAGAAGGGGTAGGTCTGGGTTAGGAGGGAGAAACAACGCGGCGGGGTAGCGAAACGAAGAGACGAGCTACCGGCAACGATAACGGCAGACTGCGCGACGACGTTGATGCGATTCTTCTTCGTTTATTCTTCCTTTTTCCGTTTCTCGAGGAAACTCGGTCGATTCCTCGATCGACCGAGTTCGCGACGCGGCGTCGAGACGGCCGGTCACGGTTCAGATGACGACGACGACGACGTTCGCGTCGAGTGTGTAGGAGGCGCGCGCACCCATCGCCTCCCAGCAGTGTCGGAACGACAACTGACGGAGGCGCGACTCGTCGCTCGCCGGTACCCTCGTGCACAGCGCCGGACAAAGATCCGAAGATAGCCGAGTAGCCGGACGAGAACGACCGAGCTCGGCCAGTCAGCTGGTTTCCCGGCGGCGGCAGACTGCATCGGCCGTGCGTTGCAGCTGCGCCTCGTTCCTTGCTCCTCGCTTCGATCACGGTCGTTCACGAACTTTCCCGAATCAGCTGGCTGCTACCCATCTACTCCCATCGCCCCGGACCCTATTATCCGTTTTCCCGTTCCTCCTCTCTTTCTGCCAGCCCCCCTAACCCGGTCGACGTACATTTGGTAGCACTTTAGAAAATCCTCTCGATATCAGTTAACGAGAAAACATCCCGAGACTCGATCTCATTGATATGTATTTAACATTGAAGTTCCGACGGCCTGTACCACGTTCGTCGAACGAAAGCGACAGTTTTCAAATAAGACGAGTGTATTATACCTTCCATGTTTAATATGAAATTTTTGATCGAGACCCAATCATAGAGGTCGCTACGGTACGTTCGAATGTTGGGAACACGACTACGCGGGCTTCGCGAAGCCTTGCAAGACGCGTGTCGTTGTTATACGGTAAATCCTGGTCGCGAAACAGAAAACAGGCGATTCTTGGATATTCGCGGTACGAACGTGCACTATTCTATCGTTCCTTTCGCGCATTTCAGGGTCTCTGTAGTATAGATGGGTGACGTAGGTGGTCCCTGGACAGCAGGGGATCCCTCCTTCCTTTTGTTGTCGCGATGGGTCGATATGCCCCAGTGAACCAACTGTGCATTGTTGGCTGCCGGTTGGCGAGTTACGGAAGCCGTCGCCGTCGCATCGTAATTCTTCCGTCGATTCTATCGAATCGTTTTTCCATTCCAACTGTCTTTCAAAACGATCTTTTTGCAGAGTCGATCGCTGGTCGAGTTGCGCTAATCGACTCGCAAAGATCAGTCAGGCCGAAACGGTAAACGCGGGTGAAGAGAAAAAAGAAGGTGCAGCGAAACGTCGCATCGCAATGTATTTCGTCCGGTGACATTAAAACCGACGGTTACGCGCTCGGAAAATCCGTACCTTTTGGTCGCGCGCCAACAACCAACAGCACCGTGCATTCTACTCCAAATACCCTAACCCACTAAACTCGTATCGATTCCAAAACGACGGAACGGCGATCAAGATCGGCAAACTTTTTCCGCTTTTTCCCGAATTCCAACGTTCGATTCGTTCGTATCGTTCTAGGTACACCGATTGGATTACTCACCGGTAGTATCCGCTTCGAGGAAGCCAACGCCTCTGCCGCGTTGATCTGAAACAAAACAGATCACAGACTCGTACGATCGGACGCGAACAACAGAATGCGTATTACCGGTCAATAGAATTTTAAACGTCTAAATATTTGTGAATTCATGGTCGTGAAATTACATTTTGGCCATCGGTGGGAACGACTGGGTAGAATTCGAGCATGGGCATCGTTCGCCGGGCGATAAAAGTTTGCCCGGTTTCGGCGTAAGCGACACGCGACTCGCGGAAAGAAGAGAAAGGAGGACGCGCGAGGATTTGGTGCGCCAGTAGGAAAATTGCGCGCGCACCATAGACGTGCACGCATTCACAAATTTTACTGCACCACGGTACGTTGGCTCGTGCCAACGCTTTTAGCCTTTTCCGTTATCAAAGCGAATAGATATGGTAAAGAACGTTTTGAAAGAGAAGATCAACCCTAACCTCGACTGTTTCTAAAATTGCTGTTCTTACATACGAACGTACCTCGAATCAACCCCGTTCCGTGAGGACATAACGCGAAGAATTAAATTTCGCTTTCCCTTCCCCGTTTCAAGGATCGCGGCCCGGTAGCGAACAAGGTTAGGTTCGTCCTGAAAGACGAACTTTCTTTCGCGCGTTCAGCGGCGTCAAACGACGAGAAAACGAACTCTGTCCGATCCTTTGTTTCCCCACTCGCGGTGTATCTTGTCCTTGCAAAGCACCGGCGAAAACTCTGCCAGGATCGACCGATAAAATACTACGAGACCGTTCGCGCGTCGTTCGTCGACGCCGGTGTCGCGTCGCGCGAACTTCCGATCGCGTTCGACGGGACGAGGCATATCGGCCTCCGCGTTCGACGAACGGTACCCGCGACTGGGATCGCGAGGTTAGGCATAACGAGGAGAAACGAGAACGAGAACGAGATCGAAAACGTAAACTGTTCGCGGCGGACCGTCACGCGTCGCGACCACGAACAATGACGTGGATGCAACGGACGTCGTAACGCGATGCGTTGCGAAAACGTATTGTGTTTGCTCGACACCCTGAACCGAGAAAGGGGAGAGAGCGTGGAAGTCGCGGAATAGTGGGAGGATCGCCGGCCGGAAACGCGTGTATACCGGTGCACAGGTTATGTGGGTTCTCTGGACACGTTTTCCATGAAACTGGAACCGAGGACTCTGCATTTCGCTGTAATTACCGACAATTACCGTTTCGGCGTTCGTACGTGCTTTGGGACGAGAGTCACGCTGCCAATGAACGCGCAGCATATCGCGAATATATTTGCTCGAAGAACACGAAACGCTTGTTGCGTTATCTCTGTGCCTGTTTCGCTTCTTTTTCCTTCCCTGTTGGATCAGGTTTCGCTGAGCTTACGACTCTTAACGGTGGACGAAGAATAGACGTTCAACGGTGCAGATTTTAGTGAAATACAACCGTGCACTATTGTAGGATCGCTTCGAAACCGATACGAGATGCAATCATAACCTATATTCGTAATTGTTTTCGATCTATGGTATTGCAATTTCCTTTACTATAGACGTCGACGATGACGATGTGCTATAACGATGACGATGTGCTATGACGATGACGATGACTGCAGTTCGAATGAAAGCAGCACGGGTGCGGGAACGAGGGGTAGAACGGGAGCATAGCACTGGAATAGAGTCGATCGGCGAAGAGAGAGGCGGGGAGAGACGACGGGTGTATCAGAGGACTGGAACAGGGCGAAGGATGGACGAGAAGAGGGGGGCGGGTGAAAAAAGGAAAGAAGGGAAGATGGCGGCGGAGGATTAGTAGCAGGAGGGGAGTGCAGAAGGTAGGTCGTCGACCCGGGGAGCAGTGTTCCTAGCAGAATAGCTCTTTTGCCGACTCGAATGTGTGTCACGCGCTGCACACTCGTGTTACCGGTGAGCTCGTTCTCGCTGACGTGCTCTTGCAGAGCCGATTCGTGATTTGCACACGTGTTACGGCCTGTGACTCGGTATCGAGAATTTACGTGCATGATGTAACTCGCAGGTTCACGGACAATAGGGAAGCACGGAACGTTCGATCGAAAGAAAATGAGGATCGACACGTTTCGCGTTCGAAAAATATTACGACGTCCCACGATCCACGAACATGGATAAGTAGAAGAGGACATGCATTGCGAGAGAAACGGGCGCGGTGGGCATATCGCGAGTCGGAGATCGCGAGAAAAACGCATATCGCGGTCGGTGAAAGCGGGTACGAGAGTTATCTTAGAAAGGTGTATGACTGACCTGCGCAATACTAGCGCGTTGACTGCTCGCCCAAGTACATACGCATCCTCTTATATGTATATAGTTAGCGTCAACGAGAACGAACGTGCAACTTTACAAGTTCATAAGCAAAGACAGCCATTATCAAGACAACTATTGTACTAATAAAAGAGACGATTTGTACATTTTCAATCTGAATCATTTAATCCTGTTATTGGTGTTTCCTCTCATGCAATTGATTTGCAATAATCACGATGTGTCTAGGTTAGGTGTTACGGTATCGTTAACGGTTCCCAAAACATTGAAATTACCCGGGGATCGAGGTCGATAGGATCCTCTTTCTTTGCGGGATAACGCGATTCGTTTGCGTTAACGTCGCGTCGCATCACGACGTGCTTTCCTTTCTCTTTTACTTTCCCTGTTCTCGCGCTCGGTTGCTCGACGAGAAACCTCCGTCTCGCGCCACAACGAAACAGACCGAAAGAGGGAACAGAGAATGCGTAAAATTATATTTTCGGTAAAAAAATTTTCTCGAATTTTTTTCTCGAAAGTGCGTAGGATTTCGGGCCTATGTCTATTCACCAAAAATTATTGCAATTGATCCCCGCAGCCGAAAATAATTTTTTCAAAACGATTTGGAATTTTTTAATTTTATCGAAAAATTTCACACCTTCTCGGATTTTTTTATCGAAAGGGGGTAGGCTTTCGAGGTTATGTCTATTGACCAAAAATAATTGTAATTGACCCCTGTAACTAGAAACAATTTTTTTAGAATGATTTGAAATTTTTTAATTTTGTCGTAAAATTTCACACCTTCTCGAATTTTTTTCTCGAAAGTGGGTAGGATTTCGAGGGTATGTCTGTTCACCAAAAATAATTGTAAATGACTCCTCTAACTAAAAATATTTTTTTAGAACGATTTGAAATTTTTTAATTTTGTCGAAAAATTTCACACCTTCTCGAATTTTTTTCTCGAAAGTGGGTAGGATTTCGAGGGTATGTCTGTTCACCAAAAATAATTGTAAATGACTCCTCTAACTAAAAATAATTTTTTTAGAATGATTTGAAATTTTTTAATTTTGTCGAAAAATTTCACAGGTACTCGAATTTTTTTCTCGAAACTGCGTAGGATTTTGGGGGTATGCCTCTTGACCAAAAATGATTGTAATTGACCCCTGTAACTAAAAATAATTTTTGGAACTTTCTCGTTTGTGAAAAATTTCTGCACCTGATCTGCTGTTTGATAATATTGGATTATCTTTTGCAATCCCCCCATAGTCAATTTGCATATATTTACACGCACACTACAGCTGTCCATCAATACTAATTCAGTGAATAGTTTCTCAACTGACCGCCATCCATGAGAAGAGGACGCTAAAATCACTACTGAATTTTCAGGTCGGTATGGCAGACTGAGCCACGAAAATTTTAAACTGTAAGATCTATTTATATACTTCGTGTGTGATTCTACGAGCTAAACTAAAATAAGAATCAAATTAAAAAGAATGAAAACTAATTCTCCTAGTGCTTGTGCAGTGAATCGATCGAAGAACGATTGAGATAGGTTAACAACGACAGATCGTGCATCCTTACCGACGCAACTCGCGTGTTGCCTGACTTCAGGCGGTTCTCGCTAAATTTTCAAACGTTCAAAACTATCGTTGTTCTTCTTACCTTGTTCGTGACGTAGAGCTTCCGTTCGCGCAACAGCATGTACATTTTCCTCCAAACGTCCAAGTATCGAAATCGTATCCAGACCAGGCTGAACACTTGAGGACATTCCGCGTCGTCTTGCATCAGAAAATTCTGTAATCGCAGAAAGCACGCTCTGCTCGAAAACTCGCCATCGTTTTCGCCTTGGATCGTTTCTACTCACCCTCAAAGCACTTTCGGCGTCGATCATCGTCGCCCCTCCATCCTCGAGGATAGCAACGGTGGTGGTAGGAAAAGCGACCATGTCGGTAGGAAAGAATTGCTGAAACATACGTGCAACCATTCTTCTTTCTATGTATTCTAATTTCCTGTTACATTATTCAATGTCTGATTGTGCTCTCGTGTAAAGGTTCTATCTATTCCTCGTAACGTTCAACCACAAAAATAGATGGAACATTTTCCGTCGACAAATTTCTTTTTAGCCACTGTCGTAAATTCTCTCTGTCGGTACGCGACAGTTGTGACACTCGCGTCGAGAGGTTATCTCTGACACGCGACCGGCGATGCGCCGGATTATCAGTGATTTACAACGAATCGGAAGATTAAACGTTTTTTTTTTCACCAAACGATATTAAATAGCTACGCTGCTACTACAACGCAACGAACATACGTTTCGATCGATTTCTTCACTCACCTTGGGGTTAAGAAAGAACTCGTATTTGAGGAAATCCGGTCGAAAGAAAAACTTTCTATGATGCCTGGACGCGAACATTTTCATCTCTCTGTGCACTGCTAGAATGTCCTCGTGATCCTCCAGCGTACGTTCTGCGAAATGAATTCGAAACATGATACCGAACGACGTGCATCGAGGCCTTTTGTTCGCACAGATTCCATTAATCGCGAGCAAAGAAAGCGCAGATTCGTCAAACTTAACCTTTAAAGTATCGCGTGTACTGTGGCGTCACCTTCCGTGCTCGCCACCAGAGGGGTCACGCTCTCGTAAGCGCTCGACCGACCCCTCCGTTCGTATAAGAAAGAGAAAAGAAACAGTCTTGTCGCGCTCACCGATTCCCAGATGGGGCCAGGTTTCCACGATGGACCACGCGATTCCTGACACGTTCCTCTTCACTTTAAGAAGCTGACACAGATCGATCGTACGGAGATTCTTTTCCACGATCAGGCTGTTCCAAGTGTGATCGTCGTTGTGGAAGCGTAATTCCTCTATCTAAACGAGAGAGAGAGAGAGAGAATTCTTTGATTAAAATTAATTAAACGCGTAAACGGGGGACATATAAACAACTTACGCGATTTTCACCGTCCCCGTGGCCATTTTCTTCGACGGAACAATCGCCGCCCCCGCCGTCGTCGTGGTAGTTCTCATCGTCGTAATCGTCCGTGTACCGATCGTATCTCGTACGCGTTTTAACCAACGTTCGACTGAACTCGAACGCGTTGCATCGCGATCCGAGTCGTTCGTAGCTTCCGACTCGGGTCATGGATCGGTTGGAAAGATTGGAAAGCCCGGAAAACATGGTGCCGGTCTCCAGACACGAGCACATCTTTGGCAGCCAATCTGGAAACGTAAAAAGAAACCGAACACCGTACAGAAGCGCCGCGACGTTTCGATCGATCTTTCGTGTCCAACCGATATTTGCCTCGCGACAGATACAGCAGTGTGATGATTCTTAAGACGAGCATATATATATATATATCGGTCCCGGGGATGACAAAGAAACTGCGTTTCATATTCGACTATATTTTCTTACCGAATGGAATAAATAAATAAATATCGCGAGAAAATTCGACGCTACGTAGTTTCGTCGCGACGTGCAGAGCGAGTATGCCTTTTTGGGGCCACGGACACGTTTAACGATTTACATATCGGACGATCGTTCGACGCGACGCGGTGCAACGACAGTTGTATCGACACCGAATTCAACGACCCGTCGCGTTCGACGAATCTTATCGAGAACTAATACGACCGAGCGTAAAACAAACGATCGCGTTTCTGCGCGGCGATATCTCGAAACTGCAGCCCTGCCGAACAATACGATATATCCCGATCGATCGACCGACGGAATCTGCGACGGAACGTATTACGGTGTTACGGTACGGCGACGCGCAATTTCCAAGAATCGTTCGAACAACCGTATCGGCCATACGTACGTAGCCGTAAAACTTATCGTACGATGCATCGTGGCGGCCGTGTGACTTTTATTCCACTTCCCGTAGGTCCAGTTCGATGCGAACGATCGAACGCCGCCGCGATCGTAATCGTAACAACGAGCAACGAACGTTGCGAACGAGAGCAAAAGGCAAACGAAAAGGAAAAAGATGGTTGCGTAATTGGAGGAACGTCGATCGTAACGTAGCAAAAGTGTAGGCGCGCGCGTTCCCTCGTGTACGTACGTGCAACCGAACGCGTACTAGATTCAAGTAGAGGGAGCGGACGAGGAGAAGGAGGATTTAGACTTTGATCTCCCGCTTCCACAAACAGCTTGAACGTTCCGTTTTGTCGCGCCAAAACGGAAGAGAAGATCGCTCGAAATCGAATCGGAATCGTGAGAAAAAGTAACCTGCGAGAAATAAAGGTTAAGTATACGACGCACGGTGCGACGAACTGGCGATCGCGACGCGGACCCACGAGAGGGCGTAAGTTTCCAGAAAAAGAGCCCAGAGCAAAATGGACCCTTGGTGCCCCGCGCGTAAACTCCCGACACGAGTCTTTTGGGGGGCCTCAAATGACGACGAAACGTATCGTTTCTAACGAACGATTCGTGGAACGCGCGACGTCGCGGTGTAATACCGATTACGGAAGCGACCTCGACCGCAACCTTGGTCCAATCGTGCAGCGAGTAGCCTGCTACGTATCTATGCACATACGTACGTACAGTATGACCGATATACGGGAACTGTTGCGTTTCTAATTTAATCAAACTTCCTGCGCGGATAGGGAAATGAGAAATAGGGATTTTTAATGATTGAGTCAACGCGTAGGAAAGATAATTTCTTGATGAACGAGGAAAATGCATTAAATTATAGACTACCGGGAAGTATTGCGATAGGTTAAAAAAACGGTCTTTATTACGCGCATGCGCGAACGCTTTCTGTTTGTTTCAACGATGACAATTGCAGGATCTCGGGGACTTAACCTAACCCAATGTCCAGTCGATTCGCCGTGGTAATGGCTTTCATCGTCCGACAAAAACAAAGCGTCGCGTGTACGATGATACGCGTCCATCGAACTTGGTTTAAAAGACTACTCGTCAGATACGTGTTGGTCGAGTTTTCTAAAGTTCACGATTCTCGCGCAGCACGCGACTCCTGGCGTCTCGTCGAGGTAATCGCACCGCGAAATCAGCTCTCGAGGTCAAGCTGTTGTTTTTTTCGTCCCGGTGAAGCTAAACTGCCTTTCGTTTGCATCGTAAACGAACCCATGCGCGAGGAACAAGCAAGGGTTGTTCGAAGACGTAGGGGACGTAGGTCGAGGTTTCTAAACCGCGTACCGGACCTTGCTTAACCGGATTCGCGTTCGAGAAACCGTTCTGTCTGCTCGTTCTACGTCGAATGCAAGTCGATTCGGTCGCTGTCAACCAGTGTCAAAAGCAAAAGAATTTCCACGATCGTGGATACTATTTACGTTTACCGACCAACGAACCTCGTGGTGCCGTCAAGTGCATGTTCGTGGTTGTTCGCGATGCTCGGACATAGGTTAAGAAACGAAACCGATGGTTGGCGGGAATTTCGAGGATCGAACGTTTCGATTACCTGTGGCGAATTCGTTGCGAAAGGACGAGCACCTCGCGTTTCTCCGACCACGTCCTGAATTCATCGAGCGTGATTCGAAAGAAGGAACAAACGTCTCGCTCGGTAGCTCGTGGACACGATACTGAATCACGACACGTTCCCGACAATAGCGTCGCGTTCGAACAAAAAGAACGATCGTCACCACGACGGTGTCCGTTGTCCGTCGTTGTCTGGTTTCGACGAGCCGACCGGTGCACGATCCAACGCAGAAACGTCACAATTACGACGAAACGCAACACGCACGTGAACCATCCCGCGCGATTTACTAACATGCCGGTTAGGCCAAGGGCGGCGCGTAGCGGAGCGGCGCATGCGCACACCCCGAACAATCGATCGAATCCAGCGCGTAGTGCGTACGCATCGACGCGACGCTAGAGTTTGTTTACCCCGTTCGAGATGCCCGTGGACTCCTCGCAAAGACGGAACAATAATAACCGCACAGGACATGCACACGACCGAAGCCGCAAAAACTCTGTTCCGGCAGTTAATACCTGCTCTCCTCGCCTTTCATCGATCAACATTTCCCCCTTTTCACCGACAATCTTCTCTTATACGTTGCACATAACAATTATCGGTTCTTATTGCCGTTCAAAGTTGCTTCGAATGTAATTTTGTTATTAACGACGAACCGAAAGAAACACTCGCCTTTCTCTTCTTCTCTGTGCCGGTAAAAATAATTTTATTGTGTGTCCGGTTTCCACGAGGTTGTTTGTCAGCTATTGTGCACTTAGTAATGCTCTTAACGCGGCTTTAACGCATCGTTTCTTTCGGTTATTCGTATAGAAGCAGATTGGTTGAGTTTGGAACAAGTTGTAAAGGCCGTAGGTAGCCAACCCACCCACCATAAGTTTCGATAAACATGTTATTGCAAAAGGTCTGTACCTAGGGGAATCTTGCGTACGGAATCGCGGTGCCTAGCACAGATGGGCATAGGTTAGGTCTGCGTTTTTCGACTCCTCGATCGTGGGTAAAAGTTTCGAACTTACTGCGAATGTTTAAGCATCGTCGACGAACCTGAGAAAGCCAGGTTGTCGCGGGGTATTCCTCGCGGCGAACGGAATCGTCGTATTCGGCAAGTTCCGCGCAACCCGCGAGAAACGTGTCGCTGTAAATTGTCGAATCGTGCGTCGTTTCGGCGTTTCGCCCCGCCGTGGTCGTCGCCGTAGTTACCGATGGTGTTGTTACCGACGGCGTTGTTACCGACGTGGATCCCGACGCACCGACGGAGGCGAGATTTTCGTAAACCCCGTTCGCCTCATCCTGGAACGCAGTCGAGGTCAACATTTCCTAACATATCGTCCACTCTGAAACAAACGCGTCGTTCGTTATTCTTACGTATCGCGAACAGCGCGTCAAGTACCTAGCTCGGGTCCAAATTTTTCCTGCCGCTGTTTACCGTACACGAACCAAACCATCGACGCGCGAAACGAACTTGAAACAGATGTGATCGAGTCCGGCTCGAACGAGGTCCCTCCTTTCATTTTTCACCGTGCTTTTTTTCTATGGTTATCGAGACCTGGCGAGGTTAACGAAGGTTAATTCGCATCTAAATTGATATCATGTATCTAAATTGGTTGCGCAAAGGTACGCGGCGGGTCGAGTTTGCGCGCGCGCGTTGTACGTGCACATGGTACGAACGTATTATTATTATTATTATTAATATTATTAGGTATTAATAACAAATCTTGGGACTCCAAAATATCCCCGTTAATCAGTTAATCATCTTTCGGTTCTGATCTACCGCTCGATGAGGATCGATCAACGTAGGCGGCGAGAGTCAATTGGTTTATATTAGATGAGCGACCTAACGGAGGGTGTCTCGGGAACCTTCGACGATCAAAGGAACCGACTGCTCCCAGTCGTATCCGGCCACGTTCTCATCGACACCAACTCCGTCGTGTATACTTGAAAATCGATACGACATTGACTCAACCGCTGGGCAACGATCGATATACATAACCTCGAAGTATCGAAGGGGTACGCGAACGTAATCGATGACATAGTTTTGCACCGAAACCAGGATAATTTTAAAAGGATCCGGGGGTGATCGTTTGAATAGTCGCGCGCGGCAACGAGCCTCGCACGCGATTGGTCGTCGAGCAAACGAGGCGTCCGCGACTCGGGCCGTCGACTTACGTCACTCGAAGATACTCGAATCCAGCCGCGCTTCGACGAGCTCGCCTTTTTTCTTTCCCGTTATCGCCGTTCCCACGGTTTATCGAACATGATCGTCCTTCCTCGCCGCAATTGCACCTTCGAGTTTACTGGTCGCGATCGTTGCTTGGCCCCCCGGGTGACCCGCCCGTGACCGAGCTGCTTCCTCCTGGGAAACGATCGCGTGGATCGGCGCGAAGAAGCGGGCTCGTTCGCGGGTACTTTGGCTGGGACACGCGGTTCGCTGGCTGGCGGTACGCGACGACCGCGATCTCCGACGCAGAACTGAGAGAACCGCGCGCGAGACGCGCGGGCCAACCTCGCTGCGCGTCACGCGCCAACGCAACGCGACGCGACGCAGCGGCCGCGACTCCTCGGACGCGGAATCGGCCGCTGCGACCTCCACCGACCGTCAGAAACTTTACACGATCTCCCTACCGGTACGCGAGCCCTTTCTCCCATCTTATTCATCGTTTCCAAAGGCGTGACAACGAGGCAACGTGTAGCATGCGACAACGACAATTTTATTAAGGCAACTGTTGGATTATTAATAAATAGACTGCGGATGTTTTTGCATTTATAGGAAATTTAGATTGTCAAAAAACTATAGAATGCATTTAATATGCAAAAATATAACAAAAACGAGCGAGATAAGAATTATTGTATTTAGGGGTTGAAAATTAGTAGTTCAGGAGATATTTCAATTTATTTAAATTCTTAAGGCATCATTACTACCGCACTAAGACGTTAGACTAGTACAACAGTAATGGCGTTTTAGAATTATTTAAATTGAAATATCTCCCGAACTACTAATTTTTCGACGTTACATAGTCAGTACTTTTTTGTAACGAATGTCCAGCTGAATCGATCGACGTAAAAAAAATACCTCGTTCCATTTAAAAAAACAAAGTTGACCTTTGTATGACCTTTACGTGTCCCACTCACGAAAAAACTAATAACGTCGGAATATGCTCCACTCGATACCATTCGAGCCCCCGCTGAAACATTTTTTGTTACGAGTAACAATAGCGAGAAAATCGGGTGAGACACCCTGTAGTTGGCTCGAAAATGGCGCCGTGGATCAACCTTGGGTCGATTGCGCGACACCGAGTCTCCGAGATCGAGACTTTCAGTTTCCACGACGATGGCGAGTACGTTGGTCTAGGAAGTCCGATGGCGTTCGACGGAGGCTGCCTCGCGGCGAGAATTCGGGACGAAAATAACAGCGCGAGCCTCGTCTAAAATTATTCGACCGATCGCGAAACCTCTCCATTCCCTCTGGCGTTCGAGACGGTGCAACGTCGGGGGTCGTTGCTTTCGCGAGTTTCGTGCCTGCAAGCTTGTTCTCGATCGTTCGAGACTATGGAACCGTCGGAGGAGGATTACAGGACGCTGTGTTCGCTGGAGACAGTGCGATCCGGAAAGAAGGGTTTCTTTCGAGATTTTAGCGAGCACGTGACTAGAGTGGCTGGCGAGAACTGGATCGCGAAGGTGTTTGGTCGATCGAGGGACGATGAGAGTCGAGTTCGAATGATCTTCACGGACGGGAAGATCAAAGGGGCGGTGATCGAGACGTTGAGCAGGACGCAGATCCTGTACAGGGCCAAGGACGCGAAGGCCTCGAGGGCGAGGAGGCTGGAGGGTTTCGCGGCGGTGGCAGAGGCGGATCGCGAGAAGGCTCTGCTCCTCTTCAGCCAAGCTGTGCTTCGAGCACCAGCCCCAGGTCTTTCACCACATGTCCACGTTCGACGTCTCGAAATTATGTACGGATGATTTATTGATCTCTAAGTTGCGTGACTTTTTGTCTCTAGAAAAATCCGAGGTGTCCGTCGATCGAGGACTCGCGTTGCCGCTCGCGTTGCTAGCAAGGGCAGAGGTTTTCGTCGCCTGCAACGACCACCACCTCGCCTTGGAAGACTTGAGCTTGGCTGAAGAGTTTGAGCTTCCAGACCAACTACGGTGAGTCTTGTTCGCGACAGAAGCTTGGACCTGAGAACAGCTGCCGTGAGCGCAATGATAATTCTCACCAGAGACGAGGTATACGAACAGACCTTACGGCTTAGGGACCTTTGTGACCCAATCTGACCAATATACGGATCTGAGGTGCCTAAATGTTTCGGCGAAAAATAGAAATTTCAAATCATTCTAAAAAAAATAGTTTTAGTTACAGGGATCAATTACAATCGTTTTTGGTCAAGAGACATACCCCCGAATTCCTACACACTTTCGAGAAAAAAATTCGAGAAGATGCGAAAATTTCGACAAAATTATAAAATTTCAAATCATTCTAAAAAAATTATTTTTAGCTAGGAAGATCAGTTATAATCATTTGTGGTGAAGAGACATACCCCCGAATTCCTACCCCCTTTCGAGAAAAAAATTCGAGAAGATGCGAAAATTTCTTCAAAATTAAAAAATTTCAAATCATTCTAAAAAAATTATTTTTGGTTAGAGGGGTCCATTACAATCATTTTTGGTCAATAGACGTACCCTTGAAATCCTATGTACAATTGAGAAAAAAAATCGAGAAGATGCGAAAATTTCGACAAAATTAAGAAATTTCAAATCGTTCCAAAAAAATTATTTTCAGTTGCAAGGGTCAATTACAATCATTTTTGGTGAATAAGCATACCTCCGAAATCCTACCCCCTTTCGAGAAAAAAATTCGAGAAGATGTGAAATTTTTGGACAAAATTTAAAAATTTCGGATCATTCTAAAAAAATTATTTTCAGCTAGGAAGACCAATTACAATGATTTTTTGTTAAGAGACATATCCCTGAAATCCTACCCCCTTTCATGAAAAAAATTCGAGAATGTGTGAAATTTTTCAACAAAATTAAAAAATTCTAAAACGTTTTAAAAAAATTATTGTTAGTTGGAGGGGTCAATTACAATCATTTTTGGTCGTGAGACGTACCCCCGAAATCCTGCTCCCTCTCAAGAAAAAAATTCGAGAAGATGTGAAATTTTTGGACAAAATTAAAAAATTTCAAATCATTCTAAAAAAATTATTGTTAGTTAGAGGGGTCAATTACAATCATTTTTGGTCAAGAAACATACCCTCGAAATCCTATGCACAATCGAGAAAAAAATTCAAACATTCATATAATATTGCCCTGATTAAAACATAACTTCTGAACCGATCGAAGGATTTTAACGTTACAAAATGCAAACAATAATTATCAATGGGGTTCTAGAGACCCAGAAAAATACATTGGACATAAAGTCTACTCGTATATCTCGTCTACTGTACAGTGACAACTACTGATTTCATTTCAGGGCGGATCTCGCTCGAAGAAAAGAAGAATGCGAGAGTTTCCTGCGCGCTAACGAGAAGAGCCTGATCTCCACCAAGGAACACCGACGAAAAGAAGCCTCTCGCTCGCTTCAAAGGAAACGTACGTCTCTCGTCTGCGTTCAAAGGTTCGATCGTCAATTTTCCCGGACGATAAGTACCTACAAATGCTTAGACGGTGTTTAAATAAACTACGTCGACCTCGATCTCGTTGCACCGATTGTAAATCCGGCGGAGTCGGTGCAATCGTAGAACAAGGTTGAAGAAAATCGTTCGATTGCACCGATTCCGCCGGATGGTGTTTGGTGTTTGGTCGCAGCGGTGCCGGGTCGTTTGTCCGGAGGCGAGAATCCCCGGATTCCGGGAGCGTCGAGCTTGTTGGAGATCGAGGAGACGACTGACGCGGGTAAACGCGCGATCGCGACAGGGGAGATCGTCCCTGGGGACAGGTTGGTGATCGAGCAGCCGATCGCGGCGTGCCTGCTACCGGAATACTTCGGCACTCACTGCCATCATTGTTTCTCGAGGTGAGAGTACAACGAGCGAACATGTTCGAGCAAACGCAAAAGCGAATATTTACAGATTGAGGGCTCCGATAGGCTGCCCGGACTGCAGCAGCGTCGCGTTTTGCGGGAGAACCTGCAGAGACACGGCGATCGAGAGCTACCACAAATACGAGTGCAAGATCCTAGCGCTGATGATAGGTAACAATTACACCGCGGATCTTTATGCAAATTCATATTTTTATTAATAAAATTAACAAAATGGGAGCTTTGTAGATGATTGTCTCAACCCCTAGATATAATAATTCGTATCTTACTTTAAGTATTTCTTATATTTTTTTTTTTTGAGGATTAAAATGTTCCCATAAATGCATAAACATCCGCAACCTAGTAATAATATCTCACATCGAACTGAGCAAGAATAATTCTTTGTCTCTTCAGGTTCTGGAATGAGCGCGTTGAGCACGCTCGCTCTACGAATGGTCACCCAAAACGGCCCTAACGTTTGCTATGACATCTTTCGAGCGTTGAATCGTCGAAGCTTGGAGGACAAGTTCGAGGAAACCTTGACACCGTTCTCGTTCGCGGATCAGGATGAGACTAAGGCTAATTCGAAGCTCAGCAAATCGGCGAGGCGGCGGATCAGAAAGAAGAAGTTACGTGACTCGAGATATCGAGACGCGACGAGCGAGGAGACGCGTGTCGATCTTCGAGCGTACGATTTGGTCATGCACCAGAACGAGAGAACGGCCAAGGACTTCTTCGAGCGGTCCCTGATGGCGGCGTTCCTCCTCAAGTGTCTACAGAGGGTCGAGTTTTTCGAGAGTCCGTCCAAAGACGATGGTAGGACCAACGGATTCGAGGAACGATCCAGCAACACCTGACTGGCGTTTGCTTTCAGTTCCGCCCAGCGAGCAGGAAATCGCGGTGGCCAGTTTGTTGTTAAAGCATCTTCAGCTTTTGCAATTCAACGCTCACGAGGTGTTCGAGACCAGACTGGGAACGGAGCATCGATTTCGTGGCAGTAGACCAGTCTACCTAGGGGTGGCCATTTACCCTACTGTCGCAAGATTCAATCACGACTGCTACCCAGCGGTCACCAGGTACCCCATCAAACTAAATCACATTTTCAAATTTTCAAATTTATCGACAAATTTTACAACGCGCTGAGAATCGTTGCTCCGTTGATTTACGCTGATGTACAATGAAATTATTTAATTGCAAGGTGAACGAACCAAGTCTTGACGCACCCAAGCGTCGCGTAACGAGGTTTACCTACTCGCAGACGTAACGCTTCTTTATATCCGTACGCGATATCGAACATGGTGCTTCTATTAATAGCGTTCGCGATCTTGATATTACTTGTAACGATAATTTCCTCTCACACGTTAGATGATCGTACAAAATTATAAAAAATTTGTATATTTAACACGTTGACTGCCAGACCAAACCCCTCGAATTAAAAGGAAAGTTAAATTTTGTTTTTATAGACAATTGGAAACTAGCCTACCAAGAATTTGTCGTGGAATTTATTTTCACAGACTTGTTAAAATTCAAGGGCCCTGCCTAGCTTTATTTTCTTTTACATCTAATCTTGAGAATTTTTTTAACTCCTTATTGAAAAGTCACCCATATGTGGGCGACGTGGCAGTCAATGTGTTAACCCCTTAACGCTCATGCTCGAATCTGACTGCCTTGAAAAATGATATTTGTTTAATCTAACGATTCAAGGGATGACAGTACTTGTTTTCCTTAAAATTATACGTTAAATACAACATTGTAATTAACAAAAATTAAATTTTTATATAGCTTAAAAATAAGTTCAATAAAGAAAACTGATCACTCTTGGTCAACCCGAAAAATATGAGCGTTAAGGGGTTAAGGGATATTAACCCTTAAGTGGACTCTCGATCGAATTATTTTACTTGATGTTGATTTTTACCAAATAAATGGAAATCGTCTTTAAGAAATAATAACCTAATGAAGGATTACATAAATTTTCAAATGTCTATGTTACACTTAAGGGTTAATATCTGTACAGCTGTTAACATGTAAATACGAACATTGGTACTATCGCAATCGATAAAACTCAACGTGATTATTTTCATTGCGTCGCCGTACCGCGTACATAAAAACGTGACTATAATCCGGTTTTGCAACGCGTCGCGTACGCTACAACGTATCTATGTACCTATGGCGCAAACATAATCTTTAACACTAGATTGCCCGAGGAAGTAATTTCGACTGCTTTTTAATTTCAATTAGGAAGACAATTACGTATACAATGACACACAATTTCTTAGAATTTTCTGACTTTTTCTACAGCATACAAATGCGTTTATTAATCATTGTAATTACCTCCCCCCTCCTTCAATTCCGGTATATATGTACAATTATTAATAAACGCATTTATATGTTCTACAAAAAGTCACAAAATTCTAAGAAATTGTGTAACATATATATTGCCCAAAAGCAGTCATTTCGACTGCTTGGGAAATTTCAAATAATCAAATGACTCTTATTATCGAATCGAATAAATTTCTTATACGACCAGTTCGACTCTGTATCGAAATAACAGTTTTCATTTTTTTTTCGATTACCGACACACGATAACGTACAAGTACATCATAAATTATCGATTTGGGCGGATACTTGATAAGTTGCAGTCTCTGAATAAGCTGAAGTAATCTAAATAAACAAGCTAAATTCATAATATCAAAACCTAATATTAAAAATTAATTTTAAACAAATTTCTTTGCACATTGGTTATTCTTTCACAGTGCAGTCATTTTGACTGCTTTTTGGGCAATATAGGTATAACATATATATATATATTATATTAGAATTTTGTGACTTTGTATATATAATATACCAAGTTTCAAGTCTTTCTAGTGTTAAAGAAGAGCTTTTCCTCTATAGGTTATGTTACACTAGTAGGTGGTTTTTTCTAAACTGAATCGATCGATGACGATTCCAGAGTTGCGATTAAACTGTTAACTACGCGTGTCTGGTTGCGCAGATACTTTGCCGGTCGATCTATCGTGATTCGAGCGATCCGCAGCCTGCAGGCCGGGGAAGTGATCGCTGAGAATTATGGACCAATATTCACCAAGAGAAGCCTGGACGAGCGACGGAGAACATTGGCCGGAAGGTATTGGTTTCGTTGCGAGTGCACAGCCTGCCGCGAGGACTGGCCACGCTTCGAAACGTTCACCGACGATCACGTAAGATTTAGGTGAGAGCGTTACTTTTAATAAATATTAAGGTCCGTCCCTGTAAGTCGCTTTAAACCATCCTTCGTTGCTCCTCTGGGTCGCTACAGGTCCATACCGATAACACCACCAGTGGATCAGAGATAGATAAGGGGAGGAGGCCCGTCTTCTTCCACGATGCACTCATAATACTTTTATTATACTAGTATTATTATCCCCTGCCAGGGATAGTCGTTGCCACGTGCTGTAACAGTTTAACGTACGGTTTCTTAGAATCGTTGATCGTTTTATAGAGTGGGGGATGTTTCTATCACAGTTTTACAAAATCAACGATTTACAACAACGTTATCTCGAACCGGTATCTTACTTATCGCGAGGCGCAACTGCACCGTAAACTATATTGCTCTATGATTATAGTTATCTGCTACTAATTTTAATCGTCGTAAATAATTTAAAACAGAAATCTTATTTTGTTTCCAGATAATTAATACTTTTAAATTGTTTTGGTAGCTTTATAACGTAAGAGCAATTTCGGATCCGTTTGTGAGAGATTTGATTGACAAGAGCAGGCCTCGATAATATGTATATTATCGGTATGACGCGGAGAGAATCCCGAGATAAGCAGGGGCTACGCGAGAGGTGAGAGAGGTTATCGCGGTTCTCTGGTTTTTAAAAAGCCAAGCCCTGTGTCTAGATTGCAACCACGGGAAAGAACGGTGCAACCCGTAAACTCGATTTTCCTTCTTACTTCTTAACCAAGAAAAGCCTTCTTTTTTCTTGTCTCGACAAAACGCGGTTGGGTTTTGGTAGACGTAAATTGACGACGGGATGTTGGATAGTCGGTCGAGGGGCGTATATATACCAATGGAAGGTCGGTCGATCGCTTGCGAGAGAGTCGAGAGCGTAGTCCTCTAGCGGCCATTACGCGAGTTAATCGTATGCGCTGTTTGTCGACGCAGGTGTCCGACCAAAGGATGCAAGAAACTGCACCGACGACCGAGAGACCCGAACAGAGCCGTAGAGTGCTCCGGATGTTGTCGAAAAATCGATCTTCGCGGATCGATGGAATCGTTAGCCGCGTGTGAGGAACTCTACAACGTGGGGTTCGCGGCGATGGACGAGGAAGAAACCGAGAGAGCTTTGGAGGCGTTCTTTGAGGCGGCGAAAATGTTTCACAGTGTGGCAGTACCGCCCCACAAAGAGACACATTTGGCGGAGATCGCGGCGAGTGCCTGCATGGCAGACGCGGGTAATACTTGGTGATTTATCGATCTATTTATTAATTTTTTAAAAAAACTTTTACCAACGTCCAGGACATCGACTGTTTGAATGTAAAATGTATTTGCAATCCGTGAAATAAAGATCTATGTTACGTAAAAAGATTGTTATTTCTTTACCCTCCGCTACTCTCGTAGCGATTCCCAGACAATCTCCATGGAACGAATGAATGGGGACGGTCAGGTAGAAACAACACACACTCGATGCTTGATTCGTCGGTTTTGCGATTTTTTTGGCATTTATTTTTTATAATGCACATGTTTCGTGAAAAAATTAAGTTCCGTATATGAAATTAGCTTTTTCCAAGTTTCGCTTTCCGTATAAAATTCACTGGGATTTCAGGGAGTCGAGGGGGGAAGGATAAGGGGATGGAGGTTGGAGATGGATTGGTAGGGGAGGCAGTCGGTGGACGATGGCTCGGACGTGCGCGAACGATGCGACGCAACGCGACGGCGTTCCGGGCTTTCGCGACCCGCGAGATCCTGCTAAAAAATTCCTGCGTTTTTGATGTCGTTCGTTGGCTGCTGCACACCCGGGTCCCGTATGCGAATCGGGACGAAATCGCATCGCGATCCTTCCGCGGAAAACTGAATTGGAAATAATTGACTGGCGCTGAGCGAGGCGCGTATGCGCGTACATCGTCTCGTGCCCGTTTCCCAAGAGGAACGCGACGAGGACGATGATATCCAGAGCAGGACACCCGCGACTCTGACCGCGAAAAAACAGACCGTCTCGCGTTTCGAGCAACCTTCTTGTCCGAGCTTCGATCGCCGTTCGACCGTAAGCGGTTGCGCCATTGCGACGCAAGCGTCCGAATTCCCGGTCGCAGATACCGATCGCGCGTGAACTAACGATACGTTTTAACCGCGGACCGTGGGGGTGGTCGCTGGACCGAGCCGATGATCCCGAATATCGCGCGTGTTAACATGTATTGCGCGGCGGACCATTTACGGTCCGCTCGATTCCTCTTATTCGCATAATTTCTTTGCTTCTATTTGGTTTTTTTTTTCTTTTCTTTTTTTTAACTCCGATATTCACTTTCAACACATGCATTGTTCTTTTTTCGCATTCAATTACAATGTTTTGCTTCCTAAGCGTTAACTTTCTTTCTTGGTTTATTTTTACTCCTCTCTCCTCGTCGTCGACGATTTCTTTTTCAATTTTCTTTTTTTCGCGTTCTTTCTACGTTGCGTACTTCGTGGGAGCGCACGGTCGCGAGAAACGAAAACTATCCCGGCGCGAGACAGGTAAGAAACACCGAACGCCTGCTCGCCTATGAATTTTTGCTTTCTTTTTTTTTTTTCTTTTGCCTGTTTCTTCCCCCACCCACCCACTGAATTTCCAATCGACCACAAAGCAACGCGATCTCGCGCCTTGATTCTCTCCCACTCGGCACTACACTCACCCCGCACACTCTCTTCGGTTTTTCCTGCATCTACTACTCGGGGCCACCTTTACAACGACCAGGGCGTTCATCTTTTCCGACGATCGTGACAACGACTGCGCCGACGAAGAAAAATAAACGAGAGATTCCGGACGATGCTCGAAGCAACAAAAAAAAAAAGGAAAAAAAAAAAAAAAAACAACCTGTAACGTGCACAATTGCGCGAAAATTTTGAAAACATCTGGAAAGAAAATTGTATACTTTATTCTCCGACGAGATAAGACTACAAACTAAAATTTAAAAAAGTAATTGCGTTTCCATGCAAAATTATATAAATCTCTCACCTTCTCTTTTTGTATATATACCTATACATATACATACACACACACGCGCACATTATTCTATCGTTTCGTCGATAAATCGTTGAGGCAGCGATTTTACCGAATCGATCGCGCTCGTATGATCGCCGGACGCCATCGATTCGGGACACGCGAAGAATTTAAAGCCCAAAATACGGTCGTAGCCGTCAACGCGTGTACGATCGTCGACGATTCGTTCGGGATTGTTTCGCTCGTCGGTGCCCGCCAGGGGCGTTTGGGGTCGCGTTATTGCCACGATCGATCGTAAAAATATCGTGGACGATCACGGAACGAAATAACGCAGAATTTTTGTGCGGGAACCGTCTGTAACGAATCGCGATCGAAGGTGGAGAACGAACGAGGACCAAGCATGGTAAATAAACGACACGCGACGGACCACGGATGTTTCGAAAATGGGTAATGAACGGCGTCGAGGTTAACCGAAACAAGAAAAACCAATATACACGGCGGTCGCGTGAATAAATTTTGTGCGACAGAAATTTTTAGACACGTTCGAGAAAATAACTCAGCGCGATGGCGTCGCGCTTAAAACTCAAAGACATTGTACGTAGAACGATCGAATGCGTCTCTCGTTGGAGAAAAATTAAAAACATTATGAAACAATGAAATACGCAAAAAACAAGAACAAAAAAAATACCACTTTCGCCCGATCGAATTTTTATCGTATCGTATCCCCCATCACCGTGCTTCATCGTCTTCTCGTTTTTTGTTCGAAACGATTTCGTTCTTCTAACCTATCATGACCGCCCCCTATCGTCTCTACACCGACCGGATTCGTCGCAGTCGCAGTCGCGAACAATCGTCTTTCGTACCGATACTGTTACGCTCTATTTTAAATTCCACGTCCCCGTGTTCAAACGGTCCGTGGAACACGAGGCGGTGTCCATCTTCGCTCCCAGTCGTTCCATCGTCGAACAGTCCCCCTCCGCCATCTTGTCTCGCCACTTTGCTCTGTTCACCCGTCGACGCCTGGCCTCATCCGGCCGCCATTTTTCTTCCGAGTAGAGTGTGCACCGGCGGGTGCGTTGATTCGCTGGTATATTTTTCCATTTTTTTTTTTTTAGACTTTTTTCACATTTTTTCATTTGTTTTTTTCTTGATGCTGTTGTTGCCTTTGCTGCTGTTGTTGTTGCTGTTGTTGCTTCGGTGTATAACGGGTGTTGGTGTTACATATTAAAAGGAGTGGTTTTGTCGTAGTGGTACCATTAACTCTCGGTTAAGCGGTGCTTTCGGTGGTGGTGTTTTGGACTGGCTGGCTCTCCTGCAAGACACACGTAATCACGTCAGACGAAACATCTCTCTCGATTTTCGAGTATGTGTGGCCTGGATGGGAAGCCTAGCGCCAAGCGTTACGCGAAAAAATAGATCAGAGGCCACGTCGAATGGTACAACGACTACTCACAAATGTCGCCTGGGCCTACTAGTTTTCTACGCTAAAATTCATTCGTCTTTATTTTATCTGGCTACGCGAAAACAATAGACTGACCTCGACAATTGACCACCTGAAATTTGTTAACGATTAAGGAACTGTAACACAACAACGACAGGTTTGCCTTCTGGTTGAATGAAAAGGATTTGTTCACCTGTACCCTGTACGCACACGCAGAGCAAATAGACAGACAAGTGTAGAGAAGCAAGAGAAACGGGTCGCGCGGTAACAGAATGAGAAGCAGGATAATTAACGGTACAAGATACTAGGGGAGACTAACGTGACCCAAAAAACGTCCGAACGTGGACGCAGTAAAAAGAGCATGCCGTAAAATCGAGAGGGAAGTCCCGAAAGTAAGAGGAAGAAGAGAGAAACGATACGCATCGAGAGGAACGAGGAGTAAAGAAAAATAAAGCCACGTTACCTCTGGAGCAGGGTCAGCGGCAAGTGCATCCTTATCTTTAGGTGCATCCGACTTCTGCTCCGACTGAAAAGAGCAGAAAAAGATACGTGCAATAGTGTGTGCCAAGCGCTACGCCACTTTACGAAACGCTCGTCAACGGACCGAACACTCGCGACGAGTACAATTACACGGATCGAGGGAGTAAGAGAGAGAAGCGTGCAGACCGTGTGCGCGATCCATTGACGAGGAGGGCAAGTATTTACAAAATGTCCCGTGTACGAGGAGAAGCCAAAAGGATTTTGGAAAACGTACAAATGCATAGAGCCCAGGCGTCTGCGTTTTATCAACGATCGCGACCTACGAAAAGTCTCACCTACGTGATACATACGATGTTTAAACTATTATCGTGAGACCTTCGCGTTTGGATGAAGAGAATGGATGGATTTGGTCGCTACCTTGGCGAGTCTACCGGGAACAGCTTCGGGGAAGGTCTTGGATGCTGGGACTCGTTGACGCGGAGAAATGGGAACGGGACTAGGTTTGTTGCTGGCATATCGTTGAACGCTGCTCCTGTTGATCGCTTGCTGGCTACTGGTCGGTCGCGGCTGTCTCACTACCCGCCGTTTATACCGCGGTCGTGGCAGTCTCTGCAGACCGTCGACCGTAGACGCGACCCCTTCCTCGTCGTCGGTCACCTAATTTAGACGCGGATCGCTAAACGACGTTAGAGGGATTCTGCCAGGAATCGAGGAGATGAGAACAATACACATAGACGGGATTAAACACGTCCCCCTGGGCGAAAGGCGACTTTGCAAGTTCACCTTCTTTCCACCAGGGACGTGTGGCTCGTTAGGTTTACCAGATTCAAAGGTGAGAAGAGAAGAGTGATACCATGCAGAACCGTAAAGTTACCAGAGGACTTTGAATCGTGGTCAAGAGGCGACAACCGTAACGATTTATCGACTTTATCGTCGGATAAATCGTTGCGTCTGCCTGTTACCGTACATACACAAGTGGTGATACTTGCAAAGAGCATTTTAAAGAGGGATTCGTAGAGAAGGAGAGAGGAATCGAGATCGAAAGAGAGAGCTTGTGTTGTGCGAGGGGATGAAACAACGTTACGGACCGTGGGCTGTCCGTCTTGGCTGCGAGGACGTCGCGGTGGTCCGCCGCCCCTTCCTCCGCGGAAGTTGCGCCGGAAGTAACGCCGAGAGGGCCCGCCGCGTCCACGAGCGCCACCTCCGCGCTGCACGCCTTCGCCGCCGGTCCCTTCGCCTCCCTGTTCACCGATCTCGCCGGAATTATCGCCTTGCTGTTGCGCGGACGGGCCAGACCGCCGCGATCCGCGATAATAGCCGTCGAATTGTCGTCGAACTCTGTAACGCCGCTGCTGACCGCCGCCTTCGCCGACGTTCGAGTCGTCCACGGACTTACCCTCGCCTAGAAACAGTTTCCACTTTACTCATTCTGAATCACGACGCCTTATACTTGTACAATCTGAGCCAAATAATTGGTTTCTCGTTATTTTCTGTTTTTATATAGATAATAGGATCTCGTAAATGCGATAACAAGCTAAAATAACGAGCAACTGTAAAATTGGGGGGAAAAGAAGCGGTCCAAGTCGCTACGAACCGGCTTCGTAACCCTCCTGTCCTTCTCGAGGTCTGCGTTGAGGTCGACCGTTCCCACGTTTTTGGTTGATGTACCAATGGACTCCACGGTATCCGCGTCGCTTGTCGGCAGCGTAAGGCGAACCCTTTACCGCCTCCCCGGAAGGACCGGTAACGTTGGCCGCTTCGTGACCCTTGTCGCCTATCACCACGTCGAACTCGACCACTTCTCCGTCACCGACGCTACGAACGGCCTTCCTTGGGTTGTTCTTCACGATAGCCGACTACAAAAATACATCGTGATCAGCCATACATTTTTAACTCAAATCCAAACTAGTTACGAACGACTGACAAACTAGAAATCTACTCACTTGATGGACAAACACATCCTCCTTGGTGTCATTTCTGAAACAATCGATAGAAACCAATTAGTCTACGTTTTTATTATTTTTTTAGAACTATCAAGGTACTTGTGCCCTAAACCTAACGATTCAATAAATATACCAGTTTAAATTTGACCTTGCTCTCTTTTTTTTTCTTATTTCATGTTAATTAGCTTTCGATATCACATATTACATAACCGTTTCAACATTGTACAATACCAGATGAATAGCTAATTACGATGCATGCAACGCAACTATATAAATAATTCATGTATTTACAACAGCTGTGTTTAAACAATATTCAAACACAATTTTTTTTTTTTTTGATCGAAAGACAGCAGTATGTCGATCTACTTAGGTCTTTCTTCGTTGTAATTTATAACAATTGGTTTTACGCAATTATTTGTGTGGTTCGTTAATAACAAAAGAACATCGAAACAGACGATCGTCGTGTCGATAAACAAATATAATTACGAGTTGGCGATATTTATCGATACTTTTGCAAATTATTGCTTGTTAATGTTTACTCTAGGCCTCGCATCCGTTGCGTACACAATACAATAGCATATGTGTGTCGATTAATTTTCGTATTATTTCAATTGTAAAAAAAAACCTGTCTTTGTACTCGACGTACAATTATAATTAACAGACTACGGATGTTTATGCATTTATGGGAACATTTTAATCCTCAAAAAACTACAAAATGCATTTAATATAAAGTAAGATACGAATTATTATATTTAGGGGTTGAGACAGCCCTCTGCAAAGCTTCCGTTTCATTAATTCCATTAATAAAAATGTGAATTTGCATAAAGATCCGCAGTCTAATAATTAACAATTTAATGAACGATAAATCATCGGTGAATTTTTCCTTGCGTCGTCAAAAGGGTTGAACGGATAAGTAAAATTTCGACGACTTCCGGATTCGACTGGGATCGTTTTTTCTTGGAAATTTGTAGGTCCCACGGGGCCTGATCAGGCCCAGTTGGCCCCACGCTCCGCGGCCTAGCGAATTCATGGATACGCGGATGCAATTGCTAACCGCGTAGATGCGAAATAAACCAGAGAGTTGAAAGGTCGTCGAACCCAAGCCGTCTGCCGCAGGAAGAGAGAAACCGACGCGAGGCGACGCGACGCGACGCTCGTGCGCTTAACGGCTGGTTCCCTTCCCATCCCCATCCCCCACCCCATGCCCGACCGACAACCTTCGTCCGAATTCGCTCTTATTTTCCTCGACCGTGCGAACCGAGTACTCTAGTTTCCAAGAAACTCGGAAATTCGCGACACTCCAACGAACAATACCATAAAACACGAATCTAACCTCTAATGCCACAGAGACGTGTCCATGCAACCCTTAAACGAACTACGAGTCAAGATTGCAATCCAAATCGCGATATCGACTAGTCCTTGGAATATCGAGTCGAACCGGATACGCTATTTTCCAAGAAACTCAGAAATTCGCGACACTGCAACGAACAATACCATAAAACACGAATCTAACCTCTATTGCCACGGATACGTGTCCATGCAACCCTTAAACGAACTACGAGTCAAGATTGCAATCCAAATCGCGATATCGACTAGTCCTTGGAATATCGAGTCTACCCGAGTACTCTATTTTCCAAGAAACTCGGAAATTCGCGACACTGCAACGAACAATACCATAAAACACGAATCTAACCTCTAATGCCACAGAGACGTGTCCATGCAACCCTTAAACGAACTACGAGTCAAGATTGCAACCCAAATCGCGATATCGACTAGTCGTCCTTGGACTATCGAGTCGAATCGAAGTAATATTATAGATACGAATATAATAAATACAGAGAGTGATTATCCTGTGCGTAGACTCGGTATCGCCACGGGGCGATAATCCTGTGTATGTGTAGGCTCCGGGGCTCGATGAAAAAAATCGATTATCGCTGTTGACTCGCGATTCGATTGTCGATCGTTGCCTGACGAGACCTAACGCCTAAAGACAGAGCTCCATCGAGTCTCGTTGAGAATCGCGTAGGTCGAGAACGAACGTATCTGGCAGCTGGCCAAATGCATAGACCGAGAGACGGCTAGAAATAGCCGTGGATCGAGAAACGAGCGAGTTGTACACGCGTGCCGAACGGATTTGCTATTTGGCCAGCGACGATTAGTCGGATCGAGATACCGGCTGAACTTGCATCGAACGAAAACCGTTGCGGAGCGATCGCCACTCCTATTTCCCAACTTTCGTTCAAATTTAATCTCTGGCTGCGTAAAAATTTAAAAAGAAATATGTACGGCTGATTGATCACGAAAAACAATTGTTACTAACCTGTTGATGAATCCGTATCCACTCTTTACGTTGAACCACTTCACAGTCCCGGTCACTTTGTCAGCTGAAACCCAACAAAAGCGAAACGAGTCTAATTAGATGATATGCAGCGACTAACGTTGCGTTACGCTCTTGTTTCGTTCGTACGGTTCAGAGGATAACGACACTTCGCTAAATCACGAAACTGTGTTTCGGAGTAAAGGACCACCGGAACACCCGACATTTCGCGAAACGAATTATTTTTTTCGCATATCAACCAAGAAAATGTTCGTATTTACTATTCGTTGTATTTGGGTTATACTTACTGGTTATCAAGACCAAACGATCGAGGCCGCGTATGTGTTTACATCGTGGACACACGAAACGACATTCGCGAGGTAAACCATGTACTTTTCAAATATCAAATCAACCATCGTTAACGGTTTCTATTTTCTCAACGGCTTTCCAACTGACGTTGAAATTTGAATTTTACCAAGTGCCACGATCGAATTCGTATTTTCGGTCGTGCACGATAGCCTGGAAAGTTTTCGCGAAATTCGAACGGTGAAATATTAGAGACCTCGATGAAAAATAGTAAAATTCCGTGACTTACGTAATTAAATCGCGGCTACGGGGCTACGAGAAACGAATTACGATGGAAATTGTTTGGACAAGCTCGGGGAAAGAATTCGGTGGATGCACGCGGTATTCGGAGATTCGGAAATTCCACGATTATTATTTTCGTTGGATTTTTCGTTAACGGTGGAAAAAGGATAGAGAAAGAAACGTCGTGGAACCGAGCATAGGTTTTGACGGGTGGTTCGTATTGTCCCCATGATTTCGAGGCGCTATCGAGAAAGTCGGGGAAAAGAATGGACGGGGTTCGAGGTTGATCGAGGCGAAAAGGGGTTTTCCATCGCCTCGTGTTCGCGATATCGCGAACGAACACGCAAGACCACAAACACGACACGACACGACACACGGCCACAACCACACGCCACACGCCACACGCGCCGCTCACGCCGGGCCACATGCCACATGGCCGAACGTCTGCTGCTCGTAGACGCCATTATTGCACGCGGACCATCCCACGAAGACGACCCTGTCGCTCTATCTCTCTGTTCCATTTTTTCACGGCCAAGCACGCGCGCGTACCGATATCCGCGTTAAATATCATTATTCACTCACCGATGACCAGCTTCTGCTGGACAGCCTTTGGTTGTTCGGGCTGTTTTTCCGGGTCAGCCATGGTGGTGGTGTTAAGGTGTTAAGACACGCCGCTGCCGAACCTAGATGTTCCCGTCTTTCTGGTCGTGGTGTTGGTTCCCTTCTAATGTTCCCAACATGGCTGCGCTTCCAGGCGACCGTGCAAACATCCTTCCCGTCTAACGAGCCCTCCTATAGGCCGGCTGGCAAACTTGCTTCCGCGTTCGACCAATCGCGCGCGTAGTTTCTACGGGACACGCGTGACGTAACTCACGCGTTACTTCCTCGCTCGCTCGTCGTTTGCCCGCTCGCGCGCGCTGTCGTCCTTAGAAATACCGGCATTTATTACGTAGCTTTATTTCACGACTATATCAACCTGGACTTTGACGATGTTGCTCTCTTTTCTATTACTCGATCGCGTATTAGCTATTCTAATCTCGACTCGTGAAACGACCACTAAATTCGTTATCGCTATTGGAGACGACGATGTTTTTCGATGCGTTTTCTCCACGTTGTCGAAACGGCTCGTTTATTCGTTCGTCGTTCCAGTTTCGACGAAAAAATTCGCGGGTTATAATGACGTAGTACACATCCCCCATTATTGAACGTACTTAACCGAGTCTGGTTACTCTCGATTTCGAACGAATTACGTAGCTCGAACCGCGACGAAATTTAAACACACGTGATTTAATACAAGAACACGATTTATTCCTTTACCGTATGCTCGATAAGAATTGTACGATTGTTGTACGATTTCGAGCGATTCCATTGGCATCCCACCAATGGAAAACGCGATAGAGATTCAAGTACGTTGGAACGAAGCACCGAGGAAGAAGGTCGGGAAAAAATACTACAGATATGCAATGGAACTCGAAAACTGCCGACGTTCGTTATTTCTGGCGATAACTTTACAATCTCTCGGGAATACACCTGGCCTCGTTGTAACGTAGAAAAAAATAATTGTGTATCTTTACAATGTGCTTTGGCTAACCGCACGCTCTCGTCCGTTTTGCTTTAATTTCAACGTTTCCCTCGTGTATTTAAAAATCAAACGGAATTAATTTGGTCGGAAATATTCCGCTCTTCGGACTTGCGTTCTCATTCGATGTTAATGTCGTAAGCTCGTCGAAAAACAAATATTTTTGCTGCTCTGTAGCTTCCTACATCGAAAGTACGAAACGAGTAATTAATAATTTCCACGTACATACATATTTTCCTACATACAAGATAAACGTGTCTAATTTTTTTTAACCTGAAACAACTACGACATGGGAAAAGAAAAAAAAGTCATAATTTCGATCGCATTAATCTTAATTAAAAACGACACGCGGCTGTTCAGATCAATCGAACCAACTTTGTCACTATCGATATTATTTTTAGCCTTTAAACACATCCGATCGAACGACCAACGAAAATTTACAAACAGAAATTTATCGCGCGCACCCTTACATGATTAACAGAATACATCGATCTCCCTAAATAAAAGTTACCTGCTCGACGATTCACGAATACAACTTAATATAAAAATTAACGAACAAGGATAAGTTTGCTTTCGATTATTCGGCGATTCGATGGACGAACATTTTAACTTGATTTTCGTAGGTAAAACGGCCACACCGTGATTTCACGTAACCATTCATTTCTTTTTTTTTTGCTTTTTTACATTGTTCATTTTTTTCGTTGTTATAACTTAACTTGAGCAGATTTGAAAACAACAGTAGATAGAAATCTGCAGTAACGTTTTTGTATGTACAAGATGGACACATTTAACAATGGCAAAAAATTGTATTTCGAAACGTTGACCGGTCCTTGGCTGAGTGGGTGCATCGATTTTAAACAATAATACTCGACACGTTTTTTTTTTTTATCCATTAAATTCCTTGGTACGAAAATCGGATTCGGACGCTCGCCGGATTAGCTGATTGCGACGTTCCGCGGTATCGAATGCCGAGCGAATAGAAGCGTAAGAATGAAAAACGTTCCACGAGCGAAAGCTGACAAAGTTTTACATTCTCCATCATCTCGGTTTCCTCGTCCGAACGTTTCTGGTCCTTGGCGCGGTGGAGCCGCTTCCGATGCTGAATATTCCAGGCGTCGGTGCGTTGAACATCGGAACGTTCGTCGTCCCGAAATTGATGGACGGTGTCGACGACGGCGCGGAGAAATTGAATCCTGTAGCTGTTTCGAGACACGTAAAATTAGTTACATCTATGCAATATAATAGAAGAGGCAATGAAATTGTGTAGAACTAAGAATCGTAACCTGGTTTCGATGTTGTCGCGGAGAATTGGAAAGGTGCAGACGTGGATGCAACGGCATTGTTGTTCGCGTTGCTGTTGCTGGCAAAAGAGAAGGTGGTGTTGAGATTTTGTTGCGGTGAATTTTGATTTGCTCCGAAGGTGAATATACTGGTGGTGTTATTGGCTGCGGTGTTGGCAGCATTGCCGGTTCCAAATGCAGCGGTGGACGAATTAGGAGCGCCAAACGCTGAAGTTTGAGCACCAAACGGCGAAGGTTTGGTGCCGGCAAACGTACCGCTCGTGGCGTTCTGATCGCCGAAACTGTTAGGCGCGGCGGAATTGAAGGCCTCGTTGCTCGAAGCGCCGAAAACAGGAGTCACCGTGACATTGTTGGCGCCGAATATGGAACTTTTGGCGCCAAATGTCTGCGACGCGGGGCTCTGCGCGGACGCCGCGTTGCTTTGAGCTCCGCCGAAGCTCGAGGACGTGGTGATCTGTGCACCGAAGCTGGGAACGGTAGCGTTGCTGAAAACCGGTGTCGTGTTGCTCGAAACGTTCGAAGTGCCGCCGAACGGTGGCGCTGTTGTCGTCTGCGATCCGAACAACGTCGTGGCGTTGTTTCCGAACACTCCAACGGTGCTCTTGAAATTCGTAGCCGCGGGTTCCGTTTGCCCGAAAATGTTGCTCGCGGCGCCGAACGCCGGCGTCGGCGTCGAGGTCGTCGAATTTGCGTTCGAGAACAAGTAGCTGCTCGTCCCGGTTGCTCCCGACGCGGATATATTCGCGCCAGAGGCGAAGATCGGCATGGATGTCGTGTTCGTTGTTCCGGAAGTAGATCTACCGGTGATAGTCGAGAAAGCTGGCGTCGAACTGGTGGACGTCGATCCTGACGTGGTCGAACCACCGATGGAGCCAAATATAGCTGTGGCTGTGGTCTTCGGAGGAGCGAACGAACCGGCCCCGATCGTGTTCAAGCTCGAAGCGGTACCGAAGATTGGCTGGCTGTTGGTAGTTCCGAATATCGACGAGGTTGGCGCTGTAGACGCGGTCAACGCGTTCCCGAATATCGGAGTAGCGCTCGAATTGAACTGTCGAGCGCTGCTGGCCGACGATGTTCCGAATGTTGGAGTCGACACGTTGTTCCCGGCAGCGAATACTGTTGTACCGAATGCTCCTGTCGTTCGATTGGTTGCAGAGGGCGCTGTACCCGCGAAATTAAATCCGGGTTTACTGCTGGCCGGGGACAAGCTACTTGGAACGAACGTGAACGCCGACGACGATCCAAAGGTCGCCGGTGCTGTAGTTTTTGCATTTGAATTGAACGCGATGCTGGTCACGATGTTCGGTGCAGGAGTGCTTTGAGACGATGTGCAACTGGTACTCGTTGTCGCGTTACCAATGATCGATAGTTGTTGCGGACGCGTCAGACTTCCAAACGTACTGTTACTTTGAACAGAATTTCCTCCCGGGTTCCCGAATAAACTGGTCTCAGTTTTCGACGTTGGCGCGTTGCTACTTTTACTTCCAAAGGCAAACATCGGAGCTGCAGTGGTGGTGGCGCTGCTGGCGGTCACTTGCTGCAGTCCAGTCGGAACTGCACCAGCGGTGCAGTTCGTTGCCATTGTGCTCCCACCGACACTAACGAACGACGTTTCTGTGGTTTGCTCTTTGTCTTTCTGGACAGTCGTGGCGATCAAAGGCGTGGAAACGGACGTTATACCTCCAAGCATTGGAGTCGAACTCGATGGAACGCTTCCGGTAGCTTTCAAACCAAGCATCGAATTGTTTCGATTAGTTTCGTTCTTCATGTCTAGTGTCCCGTAAGTAGCAGACGTGGAAGCAGGTTTTGGAGCAGGATTGCTAACGTTTCCAAAAAGACTCGTCGACGGAGTAGATGTAGACGTGGCGAGTAAGCTGGTAGCTGGTACGGAGACATTGTTGCTCGGATAAGCGGCGCCAAACGTAAAGGTTCCAAGCGACGAAGCATTTGTCGCTGTCACTGAAGGGGACTTGCCAAACTCGACATTCTTCGCCACGATCGGATCCGAGCTTGTCACGTTTATATTCGAATCGGTTGGAACCGGCGTGATCGTGGACGTAGATGGAAATGTGATTCCAGACGTATCGATCGTCGAGTTCGACTTGTTCGTGTCGTCGATTTTTGTCTCGCAAGTAGTGCTGCTAACCAAAGCGGTGGAATTCGTTGACATTTGTTTTGTCGGTAAATTAAATGCTACGTGTTTCGGGGACTTTGAATGGGACTCGCTGCTGCCAGGACTGAGCGCCAAGGCTGACGTGGAGATTGGCGTGGTGTTAACGTTTGTCGTAGTCGTCGAAGAATTTAGGGTCGCGCAAGTTACGGGACACGAGACAGATTTCACCGTGTTCAATTCTTCCGCTTGAATCACGACGTCCGGATTAATTTTACTGGATGCTGTAACAGATAAAGAAATCGTACTGTATTAGCGGTTCGAGGCGATAGCATCGATAGTACTTACCTTTGCCAGATATAGCGTCGAACATGCTTTGCAGCCTCGCCTTCATACTGGTCTGCCTCATGTCCGCTATATCTTCCATCTTTATCTCTTCTACATCATCTGTAGTGAATTTCGCTCTGATGTTACCTTGCTCTTCGACCAGCATTCGTAACTTCTCGTTTCTTTCCGGTTCTGCTCTCATAAACAGTTTGTTTGTCAACGTCGTCGACTCCATGGAGGTGTCTGACCCGGTGGATTGATCCTTTCCATTATATACGTTTCTATGTTTCGCGTTAACGTCATTATGCGAGTTGATCTCTACACTTTCAGCACTCGTCTTCAGAATTCCCTTCAACGGTGCCTGCTCTTGTAACTTGTCGTAAGGGCTGCACGCATCCGAATGTTTCTTTTCCATAGTCTCGTGATTACGATGTTTCACGTTTATATTCTGTACTTCCGGTAACGTTTGCGCGCCGCTGCTCTGTACGCACTCCAAGGATTTGAAATGTTTCTCAAAGTCTGGCGTTCCGCTTCGTGAAAGATCTCCTAAAATAATCAAAACACGTGAGAAAGTATGGTCGAGACGGTGCAACGTTCAAAGTAACGCAACAGCTTACCAGCTTTCCTTTTAACGCCGGAAGCAACGTGTTTACTAGAGCTAAATGAGTTCAGGATATCGTAACAAGACGGTGTTTTGGTTCGTTTCGTGGGTCTGACGGTTTTATTTTGCGGCGAAATCTCTTCCTCCGATTTCGACGAGTCCTCTCTGCTTCTCTTCTGTTTCGTCTCGTCTTGCATTTCAAATTCGTTCGCAGCGAAACCACCAGTTCGTTGCTTTTTCGCTAAATCGGCAGCTACATCTTCTCTCGACGCGTGTCTCTTCAACGATATATCTCTTAAAGTCTGAACAACGCTGAGAGAGGAACAGCCGCTGTCCATGTCGCATAAATCCGTTAAAATTTTCTGCTTCCCCGGCGGGGAACAGCGAACAGCGTCCGGTGAAGCTACTCTAACGATCATAGGCGTTCTCGTCTTTACAATTTTTGGGTTTATCAAGGGAACCGAACTAGCTTGAAGATTGACTTTTGGAAACTCTCCTATGCGATATCGAGCCTGATGACTTAACGTGTTATTCGCTTCTGCCGCGTATTTCGTTAATCGACCCGTAAGTCCTGGGGAAGTCACGTCGTTGTACACTCTAAAAATAAAGAATTGAAAATGTATACTTATAACTTGAAAATTACAAGTTTTACTAGAAACCTGATATAGCTCGGAAACTATCGTTACCTGGGATCTATATTGTATCTAGTCGATGTCGATAAAGGTCCGGAAACTGCTCGACCAGTTTCTACAGAACTGGTTTTCGATTGTACTTTTGGACCGATGTTGGTACCCCACGGCGACCCCTCCATAGTGTAATACATTGTGTTTTCACCTTGCGACAATGTATGATTCTGCGAATAAGGAGACGTTCTCTTCCATATCGCTTGACCGGATGACACAGATTCGTCCGCTTCGTTCTCAAATTCCTCTTTGTTTCGCGGGAATATCGGCGTCGAGGAATGCTTGTTAAAGAGGTTGCGATCGTACGACGAATAATCAGAATTACGGTACGTTTTACTTTCCGGTTTAGCGTCGTTGGCGTCAGAATTCTGCGCTGTTCGTAAAATCGGACTGAGCTGCGATATGGACGCAAAGTTCGAAGAGTTTCTTCTATTTGGATAAGGGTCACTGCTGAGCTGATAATGGGCACCACGACATCTTTCCATCTTAGTTTTGGTTAGGTTTAGTTCACGAAAACGACGACTCCCGGTCTCCCAAAGTGTACGAGCGTACTGAGAAACGTGGCCAACGATATTCTCGATGCTTGCGCGAACTTCAAGAGTTACGTGTTTGCAATAATCGAATAGAAGGAACGCGTGCGGCGAGAACAAACTGTCGCTAGTGATCAGAGAATAGCACGCGTAAATAGTCAGAAACAGCGAAACCGTAAGAAGGAGAATCGGTCCCCAAACGTTGTAAAGGAACACACACCCACTTAACACACTTACTGACGCGACAACACCCCGGTTCCCTAAGTCGCACATATTATTTCAAACAAATAACCTCTCCATGTTTGAAAAGAGCACACTCACCGAATCACCGGAACCTTGCTGCATTGAGATCAACGACATTATCGACGTAACAACTACTACGTAGTACTAAGTATCGTCTTTCGAATTACGACAATCTTTCAAAAATTCCGTTTACGGATATATCAACGACAATACTACATTCTCTCGGCGATTAAACGATATCGAACGAATCTCGTAAATATTTTCTGCGAAAATTCACGGGGACGTGGTCTTTTACTATCGAGAAACAGCCAGAAACATTATTGAATGTAAGTCGCGTGTTTCGCCGCCTAAAAAACAGGTCGCCTGCAGCGCCATCCTTTGTCTCGAATTCCTAGTAACCCAACGTTTCGTTCGTTTAGCGGTTGGGGTATTCCTCTTTCAAATTTGGTTGTTCGTTGATTCGAAATTTCTCTGTCTATCGATTTATTCGCCAAACAGTAATATCCTCAGATTTGTCTGTGCATTTTTACTGTGTACATTGTATGCACCCACTGTGGTGAATAGTATAGTAAAAATTTCACTATTATTTTCTAGTACTTTACGATTAAGCGGTCAGCATGAAGTACAAAATTTCATCGAATAAAAATAAAATTTCTGACAATATTTTAACCCTTTCTTTCATTTCTCATTATGCACGCGCACGATATAATTTACTACGCTGTATGAATTTAACGACACCTTAAAATTGAAAAGAATTTGCTTGAAATATTCGTGCACGCATGCAGTATGTAACGTACGTTTCATTGTTCATAGGAAGATAGAAGCGAGAGATCTCGGTCCGGGGTCCATTCGTTTCAGTTTTCACACCGATAGTGCACGTGAGGATTCCTCGTGGTAACAGTGACAAAAAGGGAGAAAGACACGCGTCTTATCGGCCAGTTATATCTTTTTTAGGACGAGATTAAACTATGTCGTGGATTTTTGGATATCGTAATGCACAACCACAAGATTTTTCGCAATTCGTGCAACCGCCGCCGGCGCCGGGCAATGCTGCTGGCGATGGAGATGTACCCCGAACGCCGACTACAAAGTCTCAAATGGAAGCCTATCGATTCGATTCGAGCGCATTGGAGAGAGCGGCAGCTGCTGCCAAGGAGCTCGAAAGATCCCGTACGATCATTTGTTCTTATTAAATTTTTCCCGTTCGAAAGAACTATCGCGCTACGTTACGTAAGCAGAAAACGTTTTCGTGGGTTAAGAGTCTCATGCTCCCTCGATGACACGATATTCCGATCGTAGCTTCGCAGTGATGCAATAGCCCATTCCCATACACGTGTTTGACGAATTACATGAATGAAAATAATCGCAAAGCGGAGAACTGAAAATATTAATGAAATCCCACGACCGTATGCAAGATGTTTAATAATACTTCTGTCGGGAAACCTACGCGATTTGTCTCTTTCGATAGTAAAAGGAGAGATTGCCTTTCCAGTAGAGGCACAAAATTATTTTCTTCTATAAAGATACAACCACTCGGATTTTCAATTCTGTTTAGGTTCATATACTTATGATCAAGATTTTTCATATTTTTTTTTTTTTTGTTAAGACTAATTCTTGCAATTATTTTCTCAGAACATGCCAACGCAGCATTGGAACTTTCCAAACTGCAGGAAACGACCAAGCAGGTTGAAATGCAAACAGAGCTGAAAAAGTATGAAGCCAGCATCGAACAGATGAAAGGGGAACAAAAGCGTATAGAGGGGGACGAAAGGAGAAAAACCATGCAAGAGGAAACCAAGCAACACCAGATGAGAGCCCAGTATCAGGATCAACTAGCGAGAAAACGATACGACGATCAGTTGATACAACAACAGAAAATGAACGACGAAAATTTAAGGAGGCAGGAAGAGTCGGTAGCGAAACAGGAAGCGATGAGAAAAGCTACGATAGAACACGAAATGGATTTAAGACACAAGAATGAAATGAGAAAGTTGGAGGCGGAGCTGAAAGCCAAAGCAAAAATTGACAGAGAAAATCAGGACTTGAATTTAGAACAAATTAGACTGAAGGCGTCTGAGAAAAGAATCACGGTTTTGGAGTCTATAAAGTAAGCAACAATCATTGCCAATGTTAAAATGATGGGAAGTATTAAAATGTATGTATCAAATGTTTCAGAACTGCAGGTTCGGTATTAGGCTCTGGTGCAACGGCTCTGTTGCAAGACTGGGATAAAATTGTCGCCGCCGCCGGTGGTTTGTCTCTGTTGGCTCTTGGTGTTTACAGCGCGAAAGGTACGACGGGTGTGGCGGCACGATACATCGAGTCACGTTTAGGGAAACCGTCTTTGGTTCGAGAAACTTCCAGATTCACGGTGCTTGATACGATGCGGCATCCTATCCAGGCGACCAAGAAATTGAAAAACAAGCACACGGACGCTCTGACCGGCGTTGTCCTAGCACCGAAACTCGAGGAAAGATTACGCGATATTGCGATAGCCACGAAAAACACGAAACAGAATCGTGGAATGTATAGGAACATATTGATGCACGGTCCACCGGGAACCGGTAAGACTATGTTCGCTAAAAAATTAGCAGAACACTCTGGTATGGATTACGCGATCGTAACCGGTGGTGATCTAGCACCGTTGGGTAGAGACGGTGTCACCGCCATTCACAAAGTATTCGATTGGGCCGTAACGTCCAGAAAAGGTCTTCTACTATTTATCGACGAGGCTGATGCCTTTTTAAGAAAGCGATCGAGCGAACATATCTCGGAGGATCTGAGAGCCATGTTGAACGCGTTCCTCTATAGGACGGGCGAGCAAAGTAACAAGTTCATGTTGGTTCTTGCCTCGAATACTCCGGAGCAATTCGATTGGGCCGTCAATGATAGATTGGACGAGATGGTAGAGTTTCGTCTGCCGGGACGAGAAGAGCGCGAACGATTGGTACGACTTTACTTCGACAAATTTGTTCTTCAACCTGCGATCGAGGGGAACAAAAGGTTGAAGATCGCGCAGTTCGATTACAGCACGCTCTGTAGCAAAATGGCCGAAATGACCGAGGGAATGTCCGGAAGAGAATTGGCGAAATTGGGTGTGGGGTGGCAGGCGGCTGCTTACGCTTCCGAGGACGGAGTGCTAACTGAACAAATGGTTATGGACAGATGTACCGAGACCATCAAGCAACACATGCAAAAGGTGCTTAACGCGACATCTATTTGTAATCATTTCTATAACGATTCGACGTTGCGCTGATAAATTTGTTTTTGTCCTGTAGGTTCAATGGCAAAGCGAACAGGAGAAGCAAGAATCAAAGTCAATTTATGCCACAGAGAAGGAAGTAGTCGCACCGATAAAATTGAAGAAACCCATGATCGAACCGGCACCCCAGGCTTCGGTCGCAACAGCTTAATGAACAAGTATAATCGCGTCGACGTTTTAAACACCATATTTTATTAAAAAACAAATTAGTACTAAGTGGAGACGAGAAAGGTACAAATGACGTTGTTAAGAAGACGAATTTAATGTACAGTTTTCGTTTTCGAAGCAAGGCGCGCGTGTATAAATATTGTAAAGTAACGGTGCATTTGTTAGAAATGTAAATTCCTAACTCGATTAAACACACTCTCTCACACACACACACACACACACATACACAAGTCTTTGATCACGTTTCAAAGGAAGAATAGGATAAAAATATAAACGGCTTGCAAAGAATTAAAATCGAACTCTTTTACCAATAAGTTTTAACGCGGTAAGTAATTTTGCATACCAAAATGTTCCATGTTTTCCGTTAGTATCATATTACGAAGATTCCCTAGATTCACTGTTGTAACAGTGAAATACTCAAGAACGATGAGTAACAAATTGTAAATCAGTAGTAAAATATCAAAGTATCGGAGACATGAGTTGTGATTTTCAGCTGATACCCTGTTTTTAAAACACGTTTGCGTATATCCGATACTTGGGATTTATTTTTAATTTCGTGTAAAACGAAATACTTTTCAATTCCGTAAGTAAATGCACGTCTTCGGACAAGATCGTGTTCAGACTTATTTGTATCGGGGAAAATCTCACGAACCCACTAATATTCCCATAAAGTTATAACGAAAAATATAAAAATGTATGTTTCATTGGTAATTGCGTCACTGATATGTGTGAATTCCTTTCGTATGTCGGCCATTCACGCATGAATATCTCATTTCATGAAAAAGCATGGGATTACTGTATCGTGCTTCTAAATTTTTTGTTCACGTATAGTTTTGCATGTACGAATACCGAAATAATTCTATAAATATATATATATATATTTCAAAGACTTTTTATTGTATTTTCAAGAAGTTAATAAATATGTAACTTTTGTTATTGTTATTTCTTAAATAATTTGAATTCATTACCTGCATGATAAAACGGTAGATTATTGATAAGACGTTACTAATGAACAGTTGTAAAATTTTTATTTTCTATACATGTATAGCAATTATATCCGTATAATAGATCACCTTATATCTCGATAGATATAACTTATTACGTGGAAAATAAAAATCTGCTGCGTTACCAGTACCGGGCGCTCTTCAGGAGAAATCACAAGCGATAAAATACCAATTTGATTTTAAGTAAACTATTTCATAGAAGCACAATACAAATTTCGTGTAATGTATATACATATAACAAAGAAAAGAAGGAAAACAAAAGTTGCCCATAAAAAATTTTCACGCAGCCCCACGGGGTGGATGAATTTGTTTATTCGTGGATTATTCGATCGGAAGAGCGGAATTCTCTTTGTAATAAATTTTTGGCACGCGTACGAATTTACTGAATTATAAAAGTGTCGTTCTCGTAATACTTGTTATCGACAGGCATCGGTATTTAATTACTTGAAAATACCTTTTTTTTTCTCTCCCCGAGCAATCACTTACACATAAACGAAATCTAAATGCCTTTAATTAAAAAAAGAAAGACAAAATAGTATTATACGGAAAGCACATTGATTTAGTTTTGTAAAATCAGTCTCTTGATAAGAAGACACTTTGCGAAAAGGCACAATGTTACGTACATTCCAGTTTCCCTTTGGTTTTCACTTAGTCTTTGCCATTATCTCTACAAAAAAAAAAAAAAAAAAACACGTTACAGTATCTATACTAATCTCTAACGCGAAGCCCCCAGATACTTGTCCTACGGACGCCGACCGTCGGTCTCGCGACGGAACTATATAGGAACTTGTTAAGCTGAGTCTCGCCACAGGTAACTTGTAATGTTTTCAATATCGGTTCCGACATTAAACCAAATATGTCCAAATACAGCAAAGACGGCATGTACGCTAACGTTAAGTACGTAGACGGTGGTATACCGTAGCAACGACTCAACGACAAATGCTCTATTTTCGATAAATCTAGCAAGTTACGGACAGTGTTCATCGTGAGCATGGTACAATCGCTCAAGTCTAATTCTACCATATCCGGACAACTTTTTACTAAATCCTTGACATCTGAAATAGACAAACAACGTTATTGAAAAGATATAAATAGGATATAAATATGTAACTACTGTTATCCTTACTATCGTCGGACATCGTTTTCCTGCATCCAGCGATATTTAAGCGTGTAACAGACAGAGGTAAAGATTTACAAAGTAACGTCATAGACTCGGTATCTAAACTACACCAAGCCATATTAACGGCATTCAAACTGGAAACATTAATAAATAAAACATTACCGTAGCTATAAGTTCCAACGTTTACTATTTGCTCAATTAATTACTTTTCTTACTTCTTAAGTTTCATTAAATCCTTGACGCATTCGATATCCATACCCTCGCACATCGTTAAATTCAATACTTCTAGATCGGTATTCTCGCCGATAGCTTTGCAACACGATCTGTTTACTGTACACTTTTCTAAAGATAATTTTTTGAGATATTTACACATAGACAATAACATAGCCAACCCATCCGGAGAGATCACCGCCATCGAGAGATCCAAGTATTGTAATTTACTAACGTAACCATCGATAAAAACCTCGCTGTTCTCAAGAAACACCGCATCCGAAATTTCCGCTTGAGCGAGCCGAAGTATTTGAACGCCTCGCGGCAATATATGACCCAATGTACCTTCGTTTAATACTTTGCTGCCTAAATCCAGCCTGTTCCATAATGCTTCGTCCCGAGCTATTTGGCACCATCGTTTGCAAACCAACATGGAACGCACCTAAACATTAACAGTCGTTAGATCGAGTAACGCGATTTACAGATCTCCTATACAATTTTCTACTCGGTCGAACGTAATCTTACCAAACATTTCTTGGGAAGCCATTTCAATATCATTAAAATTATCTCGTCCGACAATTTGTTAAACTTATCCTCGCCAACGACCGAAGGTTTTCTTTTCCTTCTGTAGAGGTAGAATTGTTCCAGACTATTTTTTTCAGAGGAAACGTTCAAACTATCTTTACAAAAACTTTCTTTAGTATCAATAAAATTATCTAATTCCATCCTGGAGGAATAGCCAGATTCGTTTGCCACTGTCGAATAAGCTGCCGGTTCGTCCAATTCGTACGAATCTTGCTCTGGTCTGCACGTATGTTCCAAATGTGTTTATAAGAAATAGCATAAGACAAAATATTATATTCGGACGAAATGTTAAGGAATACAAACCTATCCATAACAACAGTATCGAAGCTGGAACCCCTATAAATACTCTGTTGATGTTCAAACGCATTGACAGTTTCGCATTGTCTGCTGGTGTTGGGACCAGCCGGCGAAATAGGACCGTTCAAGGATTGAGACTTTCTTGTACTTTCTTGCGATGCCTCATCTTCTAGCATGCTAACACCCATGTCTTCCAAAATTTCTGGCTCCACGAGACTTGTGTCCCCGGAACATGACCAGTTTTCATTGTTTTTAGATGCACTGTTCAGAGTACTGTTCAAATTGTTATTGCAATTCTTATCCAAACGAAGTCTTTTACTATAAAACATACATACAAAGTAAAAATTAATTCTAATATGCTTCCTACCAAGTTGTAATATAAGTATAAACACGTTCTGATCCTAAAAATAAACACAGCTAACTGCTGTAAATAGTAACAGAGAAACAATCAATCGAATATAATTCCATACTTTGTTACATACAAAAAAATATATCGAATAGGGTAAAACTTATTTATGTTAACTAGTTTGCAGGGCTCTGTATAAAAAACAACCTGTTCCAGAAGGGTGAGGAAAGAGTTTCTTTCGACATGGTAACTTTAAAACACACTTTAATCAACGAGCAAAGTTTGCCTTGCAAAAATATAAAAATGTATAGGAATACAAGTTAAGCACAAGCAACTGAAGGTAAATGGCTGTTGGGTGAGAAATTCTTCTATGTACACACAACAAAGGTCATTATCAATGTGTATTCGATAGAATTCGTAGTTTCGAATGTATGAGACAGAGGACATTTGTGTTTCGTTTGTAAACCAAATTTGAAATTTCAAGAAAGAGCATTTAATCGTGTTAAATGAACTTAAGTTGTTATTTACGTTACACTATTATAAAAAAGTCACCTACATGTGTACATACAAGAACAATATACACATTACATAGGTACTTGTTCCAATAATAATGTAATTAAAACAAATAATAAATAATAAATAAATATTAAGAAAACGAACAAGTCAATCTGAAGAGGTAGTATGCTGCGTTTATATCTTCAAAGAAATCATGTAGACAGGGACGAAAGAAGAATACTTTCAAGCAATGCAATGTTAATCTACGAAATAGGAAACAAACATCGTTATTCGTCGGATCGCTGAACATTTTTTCGAAGACCGTTGCTTCTAAAAATGTTTCGTTTTGCTGGCAACTTGGTCATTGATAAATTTCGTACGTTCTCGATCAACGAATAATAATGTTGAAAACCGATACAAGGAATAAGTTTACGTTCGTATCGTTGGATAGAAAATGATGACACAACATCGGTGAAGGTTCTTAACCTTACCTGTACGCGTAAGAATATGCACCTGCATCGCCCTGAGCAACAGGTAAGATAATCGTACACGGCGATTAGGAGAAGTTTGAAGCTTCTCGAGAATGTGGAGGATATTCGGGAAACGGTCTTACCTTTCGGGCGGCGATAATTCTTCGGAATTTTCTAGGCAATCCTCGTCGAGCCTCGTGCACTCCACCGCGCCAGAATTCATTTTTGGCGGAATCCGTCGCGATGCCTTTTTTTTCAATCGCCACTGGTCGTACGGTCGGGAAACAAACGCTAGTGGCGGGTTCCAATTGCTCGGACCGCTCGCTAGGATTCGTCCTATTCCATTGGCGTTGCTTCTGATTGGCCGGTTGCTCGAGGATTTCGAATTGGCGGGAAACCGAGGGATCGATCGCACAGCGGTGAACCTGATCTCGGCGCTGTTGTATTTGTTTACCGCGTTAGTCTCTGCGTTAGAACAAAATCCAACGAGTGCCTCGGAAACGAAAGATCTGTGCAAAAATAGGACATGGTGAACTCCTCGTAGTTTCTATCTTTATTAAAGATGTTTCTCTTTTTTTACATTGTTCGATCTTTGTGTTCCCTCGCCTCCGTCCCCTACTTCAGACCCTCGAGTCTTCGATCCTCCGCGTATATCTTCATCTGAAAATTCACTAAATCCGAGGTCCTTTTGTGAAAGTTAAATCGCGACTCTTTCGGTTGTATTCCATACTCGTGCCACCAGCCGTATCTACCGAGAAAAAGTGACAACTGTATACAGAGTGTTTTTACGCGCGTGTACGATAGAAAAACGCGAGATTACGTGCGACTGGTCAGCAGAGGCCACTGACAAACATCCTTGGGAGTCGTTCTCTTCTGGTCGGAAATTTCTTCGATCATGTCGGTTGCATTCTCGTACTCCCTCGAGTAGAATTTCGGCGTGATCGTGTCACCTGCGATCGAGATTCCTTTTAATACGTTTCCTTTCCCCTTGCGATCTTTGCAATGATACAAAAATTAATTGCACGATAAAGTCTGCGCGTACCGTTGATTTTGGTACCGCGAATGCTCGATTTCCCGGGCAGTCGATCCTTGGAAAAGCAAAGCTTGAACGGTGGTTTTTCCGGATTTCTCGTCGTCGTTGGTGAGTTTGAATCGCGTGAAATTGTTCGGTCCATAGGGTCCCTAGGTTCTTCGTTGATCGAGAACGCGTTGTCGAAAAACAGCGAAACCTGATCTTGCGTATTCCACGCTCGTCTTACGAATCAACGATAACGCGTGTCAACGGAAGGAGACATTCTCCAACGGGGTGGTATATTTGATCGATACTTTCTGACCGTACCACAAATAAATACATATAGCAGAAACATTTGTCGTAGTACGTGTTTCGTTTCGTCTAATCTCAGATCGTCTTCAGAACCTCGAAAACTAAATTAGTAACGCATTTTCTCTATTACAAATGTGCCTAATTTAGGGGGTTTCTCGAGTCGTAGAATCTAATTCTGATGTTACTTTCTTAACGGAATATGAAATTTACAATCTACCCTGGATCCAGCCTGCAACCAAATATTAAACTATTTCGTTTGGTCTGGGTTAGAAATAGCGGGTATTAAATGAAATACGTTAGCCTTTCTGCTAGAAAATATACATTTTAATATTCAATTGGACATTGAAAAACAAAAAGTTGATCGATCGCACGATCCTTTGTCCAGTATACCTATCTGCATTACGATCCTATACGGGCTACACGTGTGTACATACGTGTACACACTGTAGCAAATCTTTAGGGATAGGAACGAGCCAATTACGATATAAACATTACCCAATTTTCCATCGAATCTGATTTGCACCCACATCGTGTACGAAAGAATATAGGTTAGGAGAGGTTTCGATATGAATTATTCGTGATTCGTTACCGCCCAGCACAAATTGAATATAAATATTTCCTACGGGGCCTGAACTCCTTGGTTCGGTTGCCGATAATAATTTCTTTGTCTCGTCGAGATCAGTTGCAGCTGTTTCGATACAAAATAGTCAATACTTTTGCAGTTTCGTGAATCCTTTATTGAGAAAATTGTTATCATCGATATAGACACCGAAATCTATAAACCGCAGTTCTGTTCGAAATGATTTCTTCCTATCAGATTACTATCTGTGTCTTAAATTTTATGTGGGAGACTCGATACCATGAAACAGCTGGAAAAATGAAAAATATTGTCCTACCTGCCTGAAAAACGAGAAAGCCCCGGCATTCTCTACATTATTTATTAATAAATTATTTATGAGACCTCCAACGCAATTCGATAGATCGTTTCTGTTGCAAATGATTTGGAAAGTCTTGCTAATTTCGTGAAAACTAAATTAATTTATCGAGAGAAATAAACAATAAAGAATGGCGACGGTGCATACGCATTTTTTTTTTTTTTATCTCTGTCCAAAGTCTTAGACAACGAGAGGATACAACTAACGCTTATAGAAGACATTTTGCTTCAAATTTTTTTTTTTTTTTCAATTAAATGCTATTTTATTAGGAAGCTTACAAAGTTTTCGTAAGACTTTCTGACTTTTACACGGAAAAAAACAATACCGTTCACGGCTCTCGAATGAATTGTAGTTTCAAAAATGTTTCTCCGTGGCTCCTTGATTTTGTAATCGCAATCAATAATACCCCTCAAAGACGCACGTATATATTTTGATGGATACTGTCTATTCGCAACGATCGGTAAACCCATACACACATAAAGATCAGCGATACACCACGTATTACACGCTTCGGTAACATAAAATGCACGCACTCTTCTCTTTCTCTCATACCGTTTCTTCGATTCGATTGTTGCTCTTCGTGCGAGAAGAGAACTTCACAATTTCAAAGACAAAAAAAAAGAGACAATACAAGTATGAATATCGTTTTTATCGGAAATCGATTCGTGATTCGATCGGTTGTAAGCTGATAAGTTATCAGATCGATAAAACGACGATCCACTTCCGCGTAAACGTTCACCGTAGAAAAGCAATGGAAGTTGAATAGCAAATGACAGAGCTATAAAGAAGAAAACAACATTGGGTTCGCTTAAAAGATGTGACACGCTCTTCCATTGTTTGTTTTTTGTACCTTCGTTTTATATACTTAAAAAAAAAAAAAATTAAAAGAAAAAAAGAAAGAAAACCTAATGCAAATGCCGTTCTCGACTGGTTTCGCACTCCTCGTCGCAACGTTTACTTATTCTCGTTGACTCTTTTGTACTCGTGAACGAATCGTTACAGCTTTTCGGTTGATTCGAGGACGGAGACGCGAGAGGACGCATCGTATCCGGAACAGAATATTACAAGACGATGAAAATGCACTCATCGACACCGTTGCGATATGCCGTTGCTTTTTACTACAATAGTTGTACGGAATTATCGATGGACACGCGTCACCGACTCTCGAAACACAATTGCATGCACACCATGCACACCACACAGCTCTTTTCTTTTTTTACGTACTCGATCTCAAACTGTTGCCAACTATTACACGGACAAACGAACATAAACTACACAGTAAAGTTCTCTCTATATGTAAAAGACTCTATAAAGAAGGGAGGACGTTTTTTTCTTTTTTTTTCCAGAAGAGATCAAAGGCGTTTTGATAAGACTCCTAGTAATTAAATTATAAAACCATCAACGGGGTATACTTGACAAATTAATATCTTTCTTTTACACATAGAGAGACTTTTACTATGGACAGTAAATGAATCGCGAGAAATGATTTGTATATGATCGGGGGGGGGGAAAGACTTGTCGGTATAGCGCAGCGGTATCTTAGTACGAAACCATAAAACATTTATACAAAGGTGTTCGTTTCTTCGCTTAAACGCTAGTATTGTTTCCGTCGTTCGAGAACACGTAGCGCGTAATTCGTTCGTCGCTCAATCTTCTCGCTCGTCGTATACGCACACACATTCACGCACACGTCTTCCATACACAGAGCAAACACATACATAGACGTTCGCGCGCACGGCACAGGGCGCCTCCTTGCTTACATGCTTACTAAGCACAAACGATATTATAATTATAGATCTATATATATTATGGCCGTAGGTTTTCTCCCCTCCTTGTTTCTGGCTTTTCACTCGCATAACAAAAACTTCGTTAGAATACGGTCTTTCTTTGCTCTACCGGTTCTCACTTCTTACGCGACGCTAAAAAATCGTTTCTCAAGAAAGCATTTTATCTACATGCGATTCGTTAACGTACCAACTTTTCGTTTATTGTACAACACACCCTCGATCGATAACGGTAGTATTACGATGACGTTTGTCTCGATCGTTCCGCAAGAACGTAAAACCGAACAAAATACCGCCGAACACTCTATGGACAAAAATTACATCGATCGACAGTGTATTCGGGTTTCATAACGAAACTATCGTTGACGATTAACAAACGACCAAAACATATCGTTTGAAATTTAAAGCATAAAAGTTAATAGAAAGAAAACACAATTTCAGTAACATGTGACAAATAACGAAGGAAAGGGCGATCGAAAGACACGACAACGCAAAGGACACCCAATTATCGTCGTCGTCGATATCTTTGATCTTACGAGAAAGAGACCTATAATCGTGTTATTTTATGTTTCAACGCTTTCCGTGATAGATGAATCACGTATAATAACATAATTGATTTTTTTCGTCTCTACGTCGTAAGCATGTGTTGTAACGTGAGTACACGCACTGTTTTTTTTTCATTTTATTTTTTTCTCGCTGTCAATTATAACGCTTTTATCATTCGCGAATGTTCGAATTTTTAAGGACATTACAGTAGGTCCCCGTACAAAGTAATACTGGTACAACGTGGTTATATATAACGCGATTTTAAAAAAAAATTGCGACAACTCTTACGTACCGTGAAACATTCCCCGCGTTCTATGGAGATCTATTGTACTTTTTTTTTATACACACACACACACACACACGCGCGCACACGTAACACACATACACATTGAGTGTTTCAACGACAACTCTCGTTAATAGTTTGTCGAGAGTGAAAACAAAAGTGAGAGCAATAGAAAAAAGAAGCGAGCGATTATACGTGTATTAAGCCAATAAGATATGCGTTTTCTCGCAAATGCATTCGTGGGGGATAAAATGAAAAATATAAATATTTCGTTTTTCATCGGTTGGTAACTCGTTCAAGCGCGTGCCTTGGAAAGTCTCTCGAGTGGGTGGGGAAACAGCTATGTACAAGTTTGAAAATTTGGCATGTAAGCAACTTTCGAAGCACTATTGTATATACATGCACACGTGCACATATACACCATTCCGCTCACGCACACGCTCACACTCACGCATACGGTTTTAGAGGTTTTTTTTTTTATCCTTAAAAATTCGAAGACTCGGTCGAATCGACGGAATAACGAAAAGTTATTGAAAGATCGATTATGATGCCTCGTTTCCGATCGATATCGGTAGAATAAAAAAATATGGCAAAATTACATCTCCAAATATATCGGAAAGATTGAACCGTCTTCGAAGAAACTTTCTATCTCTATCTACGTAGACAACTGCCGTAGGATATGCAGCGTGTCATTTAAGTTGTTGAACAAAGCTTTTCAGGGTTACGTTATAAGAAGGAAGAACGAGTAACGATTTAACTTTAACCCTGAACGAACTTCGATCGTGTATAGTCATAAACTCTTTCTTCTTAGTTCTCTTCAAACGCGATAGTATGCGATTCGTAACAAATTTACGCAGCCCGTAGCAACTGCCCTGAGTATAAAATCCCCCCACCGCACAGTACGAACTAGAGGAATATATAAAATTGAAAATAAATCGATTCGGAAAATACAAATCTTTCGTTTTCATTTTACACGATCGCGTGTGGTTTTTTTTTTTCTCAACTCTGCAGTGTTCGATGAATATATATATATATATATATGTTTACGATCTATCGTTACTATTATGCACCGCCATTAAAAAGTAAACGTTCCAATTCGATATACATAGAGTAGAGTAGAAGGAAACGATACACATTAAAAGAAATTCTGTTGCACGAATCGAACGAAAAGGAAAGATAAATTAGCGTGGTAACAATGATGCTGCGACTGTGGGTGGGTAGACGATAAAACGACATTTCGCCGATAAAACTCTACAAAAATACGTAACAGCAATTAATGGATGATTTCGTGTAATCTAGGTACGCCGAGAAATATATTTCTCAAACGCGTTCCTCTCGTCTTTAATCCTTTACGATTTTCTATACTTCTAACCCTATCTTTCTCGCGCTTCATTATTCACTTACGACGCAGGTACAATTTTTTCTGTAATTTTTTTTATATTTTTTTTCTTTTCCGCTTTTTTCCCTTTAAACTAACCTTATATCTTTCTTACGTGCTAACTTTCTACAAAGATACTTTAAGGGACATTTACAAAAAAATGGCCGTTAGAGCCGGGCCGGCAGCGCCTGTTTCTTTCTTGGACACCATTATTACTCGCGACTTCTTTCGAACTTACACTCTGCTAGATCCTTAGAAACCTACTGAGCAAACTATTCGTAACATGCACCAAAAAAAAAAAATGCGCTTTACTGGTCAACCCGTTACCCGTGTTATTCTGACTGGAGAATGCGTTCGGTTCCCTGTTGTTAAACCACACCCCGCGAAAAGCGACCAGGAAAGAAAAGAAACTCGGTATTTTCGCTTGCCATGGTTTCCCCGTGCTACAAGATTTATATCGAAACTGAAATATGTTCGCCAAAAGATCCGACGTTCCCATTTTCAAAAACGCCGTCAAGCATCCCGTAGGTGTGTACACGTCCGTCTCAATAAATTGATATGAGCATACACATACTTCTACGCACTATGTCAGCGAAAGTACAGAAAGATCATCTACCGTGAGTTGCGAGTTTAACTTTAGTTTCTAATTAGTCTACGTACTTCCAAATCGTTTCGATGAAATGCACGTTAAAGGCTTTTATGTCCCGAGACTGAGGACGATTTCAATTCGAATTTCAACATCTGTAGCGTTCATTTTTATATTTCCAAGCGTGTATCGTATCCGTGTATTCGTGGCATGAACCCCCCCTCTGTTCGGTATTGTTTAAAATATCCACTGTAAAACACATTTGAAAAAAACAGAACGACATTCTACTTCCAATTTCATCGAACAAGTACCCGCGAAAGATTATCGTCGATGCCGATGAACCCCGCACAGTAGTACGTATGGTTGGCCCGTGCATAGTCATCGTTGTCGCGAGTCGTTAAACCAGCTCGTTATTTTTAACGCAATTACCTTTTCCTTTTTTTTTTTTTTTTTTTTTTTTTTTTGACAATCATAAAACTGCTTATACTTTTGTAACCGTTTCGTAAACCGCCGATAGATAGCATTTGCTGTTCACAGACTGCTCTCCTCGTACTCTTATACGCAGATGTGTAAATACGAATTATACGCTACAAAGCAAGGATGATTTTAATCGCAAAGACGTCGCTTTTCAACCACTTGGGGACGCAACGACCGCTTTGTTGGTCTGGCGTTCGAGCAGATCCGATCGCGCCTTTAAACGACGCTGTAGCAAACGGCTCTCGCTAGGCGGCGACAAACCGAACAGCTGATGCAACGACGAATCTTTGCCGATCAACCGATTCTTCCCGATGGTCTTCGAATCGTTTATATCGATGCTCGAACGAACCGAGCAAGACTTCGGCCGCGAATTCGTGTCGAACTCACTGGAGGAATGAGTCGCGTACAGCTTGCTATGCTCCGATAGCTCGCTGCTCGAATCCGACATGTGCCCGTAAGGATGGTTATCTTCGTCGGTGGACGAAGTCGATAGTCTCGTCTCCCTATTCTCCGCCAAGTCCTCTAGATTCACGGAAAAGTGTTGAAGTACCACTCGATTCACAGCCATAGCCGATTCCGCGAACACCGATAGTTCCCTCGCGGAATTATTCCTCCTAAAGGTAAACGTAAACGAAATATAAAACGATTAACAGAGGACTCTCGAGAACAGTAAATCTACGGATCCGAGTATACGACTAAAGCTTTAACCCACTGACCGACTAATCTCTAATCTCTTGTAATTAATTATTTACTGCTCGTTCGAGGGTAGATCTCTGCGCCCCGACGCCTACGGTCGTCAATGAGTTAAACGTAATCTAATCCAGCAACGAGTTGACGAACCTGATGATATGAGGAGTCGTGAGAGATTTCTCGGTGTTCTCGACCAGAGACGGTCCCGGATTGATCCACGGATGTTTCAGAATGCTCTCGGCGCTGAGCCTCTGATGAGCTTCCTTGACCAGTAAGCCTCTGATCAGATCTTTCGCATCCTCCGAAATGCATCTCCACTCGCTGTCCGGGAATTCGTACCTGCCCTCTTGAATACTGGTGAACAGAAGCTCTTGGCAGGCCTGACAGTTCTCGCCCCTCTCCCAACCGCAATCGGTACCGCAGTTACCATAAAATGGCGGATAGCCGCATAGGAGAATGTACATGATCACGCCGAGGCTCCACAGATCGCAACGCTTATCGTAATAATTCGCTTCTCCGATGAATGCCTCCACGACTTCCGGCGCCATGAAATCGGCGCTCCCGACGGGCGTCAAAAGCTGCGGCGTTGCCACGGGACTGGACAACGAGTTGTTGAACTTGATGCCCGAGCCAAGATCGAAGTCGCACAATTTGATCGGTATCAATTTGTCCGGATACACGCACAAGATGTTCTCGGGCTTCAGATCTCTGTGAGCGATTCCTACGGAGACAAGAGCGTGTGCGCGTGCGCGTTAGTAAGGCGCCAGAAATTCATTTCGCTTGCGGGAGAACCGATTCGACGATTATAAAAAGAAAATATAACAGATTTACCTTTTTTGTGAAGGAAATTTAGCGCGCTAGCAATCTCTTTGATTATCTGACTTGCTTCCCGTTCGCTGAAGTGAATTCTTTCCTGAATTCGCCTTAATAACTGGCCGCCATCGACCTTCTCGAATACGAGATAAAATTTCTCTTCGTCCTCGAAGAATTCGATCAATTGAATAATATTCGGATGGCCCTGGCAATGATGGAACGTCTCGACCTCTTTGAATACTCGGGCGCGAGCATGACCGGGAATCTTATCGATTATTTTCACGGCATATTCCAGATCGGTATAAAGCGACCGGCAAGTCTGGACCGAGGCGTAAGCACCCTCTCCAAGAACTTCGCCAGTTAATCTGTACAGTTCTGAAACAAACATGCGTAATAATTTGTTATTTCAGCCACGGGGTTCCAAAAATGCGACAATGTGTCACCGTTTTTAAAGAAAAGGTATCTTGGAGGTTACGACTCCACCGATTGCAAGTAACAAGCGATCGAACTAAATCAACGTTGTCGATTTGTTGTTTTCTTTTTTTTGTAAATTTAACGAAAGTATATGCCTGTTCGCCTGAACGCAGACGACCCACAAGAATAAATCAATTATTCTTTCAGCAGCGACCTAACGACGTACGCAAACAAATTTCGAACTAAAAATAATTGTTGGTAAAGCAGCCACCTATGCAACCAATTTAATTATTTGCTCGCTCTTCGTTGACCGATTATATATCATTAATCTTTGCCTCATTATCGACCGAGCCAATAACTTCGTGACTCACTATGCATATTTGTGACATTCTTGATATTTTGAAATGCCGTTATGCTAACTACTTTTATCAAGGATTGTCAACTTTGCAAGTTATAAAACACATCTCTAACACCGGTACGTGAAACATTGATCAAGGTTCTGCATGGTGTGGTAGAATCAATGTTAAGGTCACAGAGAACTGGCCGCTAACACATCGAAACCATCGTCAAACTACTGCGCATATACATATATTCTAGCTCTCTCGCTCTCTCGCTCTCTCACCTCCCATTCCAGGTCTTTAAACTTCTTCGTCCATCCTGCTTTGGTTCTCTCTCCTTTAACGCGATATCTTCCGTTCCGTTCTATCCCACCGGGTTTATTCGTTTCCTCGTTCCCTCGTTCCCCCGTTCGACGATGCAACTATTGCGCCGTCGCTGCTATCGGCTCTACTCTCTTTTTACCACCCCTTCTCTCTCTCCCTCAACCCACGCGTCTGCTCCCCTTCTAACTTCACCCATTGGTCTCCTACCATTTTACTTCGCAGCAAAGATACGATTCTGCTTGGCAACACCGCCGTCGACTACCTAACAACCAGAAGTAGCTAATATTCACGTTCGCACGCTTCGCCGTACGACCTCCACGCAACAAACAATAAAAACCAATTGTATAATTTCATTTCAAAGCCACGAACCATAAAAAAAACGATTCAAAGATGTATGCCGCGCGCTAATGATTACTACGAAGCCATAATTTACAGAGGATAACGATTAACTGAACAGCGTTGAACGTAAGGTAAGAATTCGAGGAAAGCGATAGAAGAAGCTTAAGGCTGATATCGACAAGCAACCCGTGCCCTAGATTTCAGCGTTAGACGAACATTCGTGCTTGCTCGGTTTACCACCAGGGTGTAAGTAAGTACGAAGTCGAAGCTTCTCGAACCCGAAAGTCCGGTTTACAAATCATTCGTACGGCTGACGTAACCGCCGGCTGAGCTACACAACTCCGAACCGCCACTTTTTCTCTTTTACGACGCGTCGTATTTTCTAAGGTTATGGCGCACCTTTCCACGCAAAATCTACAGAATTTTTAATATTTAAATATACGAGGACACACAAGCCGTGTTCTGCGAAATCGTCAGCCGTTTCGCTAGAAGTTTGCACGTATAATCGATTCTCGAACGTTCTGAACATGCGTAAGGTCAAGTATGTAGTCTAGTGAAATGCAAGTCACTGGAGCATAAGTGAAACATAACCTGCTACATATACCAAATCTACAGAAATGAAACTGATATATTCCTATCTCTGCTAGCGTGAGCCAATAATTTTCTTGTCTCGCGTAGAGCATAAGTTGTAGCTTCTCTGTCGATTGATCAAGCTTTACCTTGGAAGCACGAAGACATGAAAGACGAACCAGAACGCTTCTTCCTGCGTCTTTTACGCCTGGCCTCTTCTTGCCGAGCTTGCACCGCGCTCATAGATTCCCCCGTTGTATTCACAGTGTCTCGACGATTCGCATCCTCTGTAACAAACGTTGCAAATATGCATTTAAATGAAACTTGTTTTACAAGTTTATCGTTTTCGGAACTTTTCCCTAGGTTCGACTTATAACTAAAAATAGTCCGAATATGGTTGTATTTGTATTTATTTTCATCGACCCATCCGTAATACGTAGTTTTTAATTTGCATTAATAGTTGTCGCGCCGACAAACACACGGTATGGCTTTGAACTCGTTGATCGAACCGCCTGTAATACGAGATTCCCTCGCGACACCTGGTATATATCTTGTCTTCTCGTCCAACGATTTACACGTGACTGGGTATCACCTCGAGATAAAAAAGAGATCTATTCCTGGAGTGAACTCGCGATACGTATACCGTAGATCTCTGATACCGATTTGTTGCATATACACCGACGCTAATGTAGCAACGCGAACGAAGATTTTGTAACATGAAAATTAACGAGTATTTTCTCTTCCGCACCATCCCCTTCAAGCACAGAATTTCGACCGTCGCTGGTCAACGTACTTGTATCCATCTTGCTTTCTCCGGTTATATCTATCCACTCTTCCCTTATCTATGAAGATCAGATTTCGCTGAGCTCGAAATACCGAGTGCGGTGGACACGAATCATTTACATTTAACCGTGCACTGTATTCTATTATAGTTGTACGAATATGCGGTGCAATAATGTTTGATTACGCAAGTGTTTGTTTGCAAACTGAATTTAAAAAAAAAAAAAAGAAATCGATCGACCATCCACACATGTGACACACCCGCTTTTGTTATCGTCACAGTTGCAATATTATTTACTACCATGAATTATCTACGTTACTCGAGCGTCAAGGCAAGGATATTAGTCACCGTTTGTTTTATATTTATTAATAATATTTATCATATCGGTCGTGGATGATGTACGCGTTTGATTCGTATCTGTAACTAGGCGGTTACATTATAAATGTTGCAATGAAATGCAGCATTTCGCTAACGATCGAGCATATTTCCAATTATCCACCACTCTGCTATTTTTACGAATTTTATTTTCGTAATTCGAGCCCGGTTAATCGTACGATAGAGTATTACGGGGATCGTGTGAGTGCCACACCTTCAAAGCACGATTCTAAGTTTGCGTGGGTCGAAGAACCGTCGATAGTAAGATGGTAGAACAATAACGAAAGCATAACTAGTATGTATTATCAGTATTTAAAAAAGAGCAATGGACACTGGTTGACTGTGTCACGATTACAACGCCCTGTTCGTTTGTCGCTCGATCATAAATCTTTGTTGCAGTTTCATAGTAGCGTGATAAATTTCGTATAATTGGTAAATGTCTTGCAAAGCTATCGCACGAAACAGAGTTCTTATTCCTGCAAATTGGCTACCGAACAGTTTATGCGATATATAAGGAGTACATAATTCGATTGTCGGTGAATATATTTTCGTTACTCGCGTAGCTAGACGAGAAATACATACAGAGTCTACGACGACCAAGATCTCGGAGTTCAATGACTGGCACAGAAAAGGAACGCCGCCATCTTACGCGAGATATGCACGTACGATAATGTCGCTGTATCCGCAAACTCATAGCAATGCAAAAACTCAACGAACCCGTCGGGATCACGAATAAAGAATGTTATTTGTCGTTTCTGTTCTTATAAACTCGAGCTTGGTGAGACTAAAGTAACTATATTCTTTTCTAATAATATCTTAATGTAATCACACTTTCGTTATATCTATTTAATTTCAATAAGCTATACACGACTTATATTGCGTAATGCAATAGATAACAGAAGTAAGTAAACACCATGATGCGTAATAGTAAAATACATGCACATAACAGGACTGAAATACTTGTGATAAATCAGTCCGCAGCTATCTTTAAAATGCGTTTCTATCTATTTGATAAACAAATAATTCAATGCAATATCATACGTGGCGTCCCTTCGCCAATAGTTTAAAACGTTTCGTGTACGAAGTTTGTGGAAGTCATTAAAAATGCAGCGTATACGTATGTACGAATATCCCTTTGTCCTTGGGAACGAACCCTTCCCTTTAAGCGGAGAGGAGAAACGAATCTGTCATGCGCAAGGTCTTTTTTTCTCTCCTCCCCTCGCCTATTCTTTGTTTGGGTTGCCCTTACCAACGCCCTTCGCGATGTGCGTCCGAACTCGAACGAACCGACTAACCCACTTCGACCCTCGAAAATAATTCAACGACTCGTGGCTATGTGCGTCGCGTCGCACCGTGTCACTACCCGACTTATGCTCCTCTCCCCTCCCGGCATGTTCAAACATTATTGTACAACCGTTTTTTCAATGTTTCGAAAAGCAAGCAAATTTGTTCGAAACATTAAGATATACACGAAAACACACGAATAAAAATACTGTTCGAAATGACAATGATCGGTGCCAACGTTCAAAAAGTTACAGATCATCGGAGCATGGAGAGATTCGTATACATAAACTAAAGTTTTTATCAAACAAAATGATGAAAATCAGTATTCTACAGAAAGTATAGAAGTCGATGGTAATTGTCGTAATTTTATTTTCTATATAAAATTAGGTTATGATCGTCGAATGCAAAGATCACGTTTTATATTTACTCATTTGATTTTTCTATCGAATCCAAGTACAACGTGTTACGATATGTATTACAGAAAACATCGAGTTTCGATGCGAGGAAGGTTGGCAACGACGGCTGTTATGTACCGGCTTCGAGAAAGTTCTTTCGTTAACCAACACCGAGCGTCATGTCCTTCCATTCGCGACAGATCGTGGAAATTCGTGGCTGCCGGCACGAAATTTATTCGAAACGATTTGCAAGCGAAATTCGAGCTTTCGGTCGATACTTGGATATCTCTTCTTTACGAACAATGGCAGACTTCACGGCATTCAAATGACACGCATGTAAAATTTGTCATATTAGACACACTACTGGACAAGGATCGAATAGATTGGAGCATCCACCGAATCATGTTTTAATTTCGTTAGTATAAAAACATAGAAATGGCCGTGTACAATTTCGAGGATACAGAAGAACGAACGGGGAACGTACTACGTACTTTACAAACTGAATCTTTAGAAGGGATTCTAACAATAGGAGTAAATTTCCATACCTCTTCCAACCTCCTGGCACCCATCCTCTCGTTCTTCCAGAATTTTCTCCACCATTTTTCCACGCGACAATATCACTCGTCGCAGCGTCTATAAAAGAATCGAAGAGTAAATTTTCTTCTTTCGAAACGAAAACTTTCTTCTGTCCCTCTCTTCCACTTTCCCGTTTTGTTTTCGTTTAACGAACACCGGCGGAACGTTCTCTTAATCCGATATCAATAAATGTAAAAAAGAGTCAGTCGTATATACAAAAACATCTATATCCACTAAGTTACTGATATAATCTTCCTTCCCAGGAATCAACGATCGTTCTGTGCGGGCACAACGTCGTTCCTTCGGTACGTAGTACGTATACGCGAGTTTCGGCTCTACGTTCTTCTCTAATCTTCACGATCTGTCTTCCTCCCTCTACCGACGTACTTTCGGGATAGATCGATGTATATCAGTGTCGGTATCACAGATATAAATAAATATATAAAGGCTATCTATTGCTTCGCTTCTCTAGCTCTTCGCGGCCTCTCCGAACGATAAAAGATGCTGCTGATGCTGTAGTGATACGCGTTGTAATTTCGTACCTTTTTGAATAAATACTATCACAGACTCTGACACTGTGCTTGTTCTCTTCTGCTCGCTCGTTCACTGTTCCGCAACACCTTTATCGCCAACAATATCGGCCGATAAAGGTCTCTTTCCACTGCCTATGATCCGATGACGTGGTTGTTCCCAATAGGCGAACAAGAACCCAATTTTCTCGAGTCCTCGATCACCAAACAAAAACTTTTGCCTACCACCGTTCCTCCTTCTACTCCTCTTTCCTACTCTGAGACTTTTCGGCCGGCTAAACCGGGGTTTCTTCGTACGCGCAAATCCTGCGGTGTTCGCTGCTCCGTTGTCGCTATCGCACAGCCTCTCGCACGTAGCGGTAACCGGGCTCGGAAGCGCATCAAAAATCCTTCGACTAACACATCGGATCTTTTCGTTCACCTTCCCTCACTGCTCGGCAGTTGGTTTCCGACTGAACCACGGCAAGATGGCCGCTCCGCTTACTAAACCCCCCCCCCCCTCTTCCCCTGCACCGCGCCGCGCCGTGCGTCCGTCCGTCTCCGCATCGACGAGACCCCCACCCCGCCGTCTCACTTGCTACGGCTGCTTCCCTGCCGCCTGTACGTTCCGTCCACGTAGGATCGGGCGACTTTGTCGACGCCCTCTGAAACAGCTCGCGCACCGCGTCACGTAGCCTCCGGCCAGAGGTTCTCGTTACGGGGAGTCTCGCACGTACGATCTATCTAGGTACACTGGGATTACAAAACTATTCGTAGCCTACGGTATGCACCGCTTTAACGGTTTATATCTTCATCAATTATGAAAGAAATCAATTCAGACTTATTTGCCTCGATGAAGTATTTATTGTACCGTATCGCAAGATCAATAAATAGGTAATTAAAGGTCTACGATTACGAATTCGCTCCATTTATACCAAGTAACAAATACATAAAGCGTCCAAGTAAAACATGACTTGGTGTCCTAATATTTTTGTGATTCACTGTATGTATCATCGTACCGTAATTACACACAATTAGCAAATCGTATGATGCAAGCTTTACGTGGTTTGCAAACATGTATTTTAAATCGATTCGAGACCAGTACACACAAAATTGATAAACGTTGCGCATCAACGAGCAAAGTTCGTCGAAGAATTGTGTTATCGACATACGATTTGTTACGAATTATCAATAAACGAACTACCGTACCCATCGTTTCCTTTCCTCGTTTTTTTCCTTGTTTATGGCACTTCCGAATTATCTCGACTGGAAAAACGAACAAAATCGAAAACAATTTAAATGGCACGTGAGAGTCACTGATCGTTCTCGTTTGTTTGGAAGCGAGTTGCCGGTAATAGCGTCATTTCTATACGTAAGATGTTTAACATTTTCACCAAAAAGTTTGAACAATATGCGTTTGCCGGCTCGGTCCTCGATTTAGCTAATCAAGATGTTTATATCTAGCATTATTTATACTCTCGTTACCGAGGACGGAGCCAAATAAATATACAGGATATGGCGCCGGCATTATGTAGCCTATGAGTCGTTTTGAGAATGGTTGCGCGCGCACACAATGGCTACCGGCCACGTAAGCAAGTAAGTGGGTACCTACAACGTCACGCGATGTTGGAGAAGGACCGAGAGATTCGAGTGTGTGCGCTCCCCGCTCTGAGAAGAATACATACAAGGCTATGAAAAGACAAAGAAAGTAGATGCAGCGAGAAGAAAGAGCGACGGAAGGGCTGACAGAGTATAGGTTCGGCTTCTCTGGTGTCGTGCACATCTATGCACACTCCACCGACACATGCATATGCGTCCAATGCGTAATTCTTATAGTATGCGTAGACAGTATGCGCAGACTCGTCGCGTCGGCCATCGAGGTTTGTTTTCAATCGCTCGACATCGCGTGAACTTGTTGCCTGTATAATCGGCATGGAATTGCGTCGTAAGTTTATCATCCGTATTATTATTACGTAAGGTCGTTCGTTCGATTGTTTACCTACACGGCTGACGAATACCCGTTCCTATTTATGGACGATACGAGGGTGAACGTTTTGTTTAATTGTAATTAAACGTTTTCTTGACCAATGACGAATTGATTAACCGGAACTATTTTTCGCTCTCGACTCATTTATAATCGTGATATTAATTTTTACACGGTATGTAGATGTTGATGCTGTACGGATGCTTATCTGTACGGTTGCATCATCGATGTCATGGTCGAGCACGAACGACGTTTACAATAATGCATCGGATTAACGGTAGAAGATCAACGTCCGATTACAGGATAAAAAAATGTTTCGATGTTCAATGTTTTGGACGTTTTCGTATATCTTTTGATGCAGTTGTACGGTTCCACGAACCATACTATTTTTAGCTTCGACCGGCTCGAGTCAGCATTGCTACCGTGAGAATTGGAGATTTCTCATCTAAACATCAAATTTAAAGGATAGCGTTTGATCGTACATAGTAACGAGCGGAAACCGGTTTCTGTACGTGACAGCATTCGCTCGATCATGTTCGGTAAACTAATACTCTCTTACAATATCCATTGATTCGCGTAACTCTTTTACCACTTTCAAAACAATCTTTAACGATTTGTCACGAAAACAAAACGCTAGATCTAGATATAAAAGTAAGTAAATCAAACGACACCTTGAGCCGATAAAGCCAAGGAAAGATATCGACGATTACAAAGGGGAAAACAAATGAAAAATAAAACTTATTTCTCAACGAGCTGAAAGGTACGGATGCACCTTAAAGAGTTATGTAGTCGAGTTGTTTTGAGCGAGATCGTAGATAAAACGACGATAAGTCGTTTATACTGGCGACATGTGCTAGTTTGATTTCAGTTTCAGAAGAGCAAAGGAGAGAACTACGCCGAGAGCGGTCGGTTTATTACCTTAAATAAATTTTTCAATGTTTTTTTAATTTCTTAAGAATTCTCGAGAAACGTAAACTGTCGAGAAATCAGGAACACCAGCTGGCACGTTAAAGTAGTGGCAGCTATTTCTTTTTTTCTAGCATATACATAGATACAAAACTTCTTCAAAGTGCCAGTTAACTTATCACTAAATGTACACACGAGAGCATTAAATCTGTCCGCAAGGCGTAAAGTGTTCCGATTGGTGGAACGATATTTGTGGTTCTCAATTGGTAAAATGCGGCGTTTTCAGTGCCATTTCACGAATCGGAAGCTTAGCACCATAGAAACGCCGTGACCTCGCGACGGATTCAATGCTCCCCTCCCAATGTACATCTACATATGTACTTCCAAGACACGAAATCTAAAAACATTTGTACACAATCCAAGTACGCATTTTTTTTAACGAATTAACACTATTTCCACCTTTGGCACCTTTGGTAAAAATAGTGTTAAAAAATTGAACGTACACTGTCTGCACGTTAACTCGTTGGAGAATCGATCGTTTCGCGTATATTTTATATAAGACAACTATTACTCGGATTGAAAATTCCAAATAGACATGACGAAAGAATGACTAGTTTTTTTTCGATTACTCGACCTCGGTTCGTTTTCTTCCGCGTACATAACATAACCTACAAACTGCGAATATCTTGAGCGTTCGTTAAAAAAGATGGCTGCTAAAAATTTGTTTGGATAATTGCTTCAACCTTCGTACGTGAGACTGACAAAAGCGTGGAATTCGTTAATTTTAACAAGCTATTGTCGTTCTCCAGTTGTTAGTGACTCATACAGCCAACGTTTATCACCTTACTCGATCTCTGGCCGCTCCATAAAGCAATAAAAACACTTATTATAAATTACTGTCACGAGTTCGCTTATCGTTCTATCGAAAACATCTTCGAGTAATCGACAACAGCGTCGATACTCATCAATTACCGGATAAAATTAACAATCGTAATTAGAAATATGTATACCGCATAAATTATTATTGAAAAATTTCACTTTCAAATCAGCTTGGATCCGTCGAATCGTGTCCAATTGAATACGGAATTCGCTAGACGGGGATCAATAAATTTGTGAAAATTAATAAAATTCCGACTTTTATCGTCGGAATAAAAATAAGACGTCACGGGAGTGTCAAAGCATTTGCCAATCAAGATGGTTCTCTTAAAAATTTATGCGATTACGAAGCTGCTCGAACGATCACACGATGCACATTTCGCTATGTCCGTGAATAATTCTTAATTACGAACAGCTTGGCGGTATCGTGTAAATAAGGCGAACGAGTATAATTAGATCGTGTTAGGAAAGATATCACGTGCATCCGGATATCCGAAGACGCTGTATTTGATTAAAGGCAGGAAGCCATCGGTTACGAAGAATCGCTCAACACGCATAAAATAAATTGCACGCCATATTTATTATCGTTAGAAGCGCTTGGAACGATCTCAGACGTATTTGTTTCCCGCGCGTAGTCTTGTCACCGGAATCACAGGCAAATTCGAGCTGTGAGTTCCGAATTGGTCGAGGTCTTTGACCGACGTACACCGACCTCTCCAGAATTTGTCCACCACGATTATTTCTGGATGTCGTTAAAACCACTTCCCCACGGTTGAGTACGACCGCGCGCACACACACACACACATACACACATACACCGGCTACAGCAAGGCCAATCGAACTTTGCGAATCAACTATCGATTCACAAAGGCAGACAGTCCGTAACATTTATCTAAGTTTGTTTACAGATGAGGTATACAAGTAGATCTTACATCTTATAGACTGAAAGTGCATAAAGTCATAAATTTTTCAGCAAAAAAAAAAAATTTCAAATCGTTCTAAAAAAATTATTTACAGTTGCAGGGGTCAATTTCAATCATTTTTGCTTAATAGATATACCCTCGAAATCCTAACCAGTTTCGAGAAAAAAATTCGAGAAAATGCGAAAATTTCCACAAAATTAAAAAATTTCAAATCGTTCCAAAAAAATTATTTTCAGTTGCAGGGGTCAATTACAATCATTTTTGCTGAATAGACATATCCTCGAAATCCTAACCAGTTTCGAGAAAAAAATTCGATAAGATGGGAAAATTTCAGCAAAATTAAAAAATTTCAAATCGTTCTAAAAAAATTATTTTTGATTCCGGGGGTCCATTACAATCATTTTTGCTGAATAGACATACCCTCGAAATCCTAACCAGTTTCGAGAAAAAAAATCGAGAAAATGCGAAAATTTCTACAAAATTGAAAAATTTCAAATCGCTCCAAAAAAATTATTTTCAGTCGTAGGGGTCAATTATAATCATTTTTGGTGAATAGACATATTCCTGAAATCCTACGCAGTTTCGAGAAAAAAAATTCTTTACCGAAAATGTAATGAAAAAAAAATACATGGATGTAAGGTCTGCTCGTATACCTCGTCTGTGATTTGTTCATGAAATATCTTTTGGTATCGTCGGTTCGAATGGGTTACATACATAGGCACGCATCGATCGGTATAAAAATCAATTTTTAAAACGATGTCTAATTTCGATTTAAGTTTAACTTGGTTTCTGAGAATATCTGCTGTACGCG